GGAAACAGTGTTAGTAATACGTGTAAACTTACATTTAATCCTAAATCCTTGAATCCTAACTTTCAGTTCACATCTTCAGTGTGCCTGTACATGTACATGTACATGTGGAAAGTTATTACGCTAAGTAAGACTTACATGTGTGGGGGAAAAATACTTCCAAGTGTACAGAGTGTACGTGTGCACATGTGCAGTACATTGCTATTGAAAGTTAACCTGGGAATGGGAATTTCTCTTCACACTTTTTGTCTTCCCAAGGAATTCATTTTTATTTCACTAAATGTGAAAAGAATTTCCCACAGTGGACAAACCTTTTCACGCCTTTTCACACACGTGGGAAAACATTTTCACGCCTTTTCACACATGTGGGAAAACATTTTGGACCTTTTTACAAAAGTGGGAAAACATTTTCACCCTTTTCACACACGTGGGAAAACATTTTCGAGCCTTTTCACACACGTGGGAAAACATTTTCGAGCCTCTTCACAAAAGTGGGAAAACATTTTCACCCTTTTCACACAAATGGGAAAACATTTTCACGCCTTTTCACACAGATGGGTAAATATTTTCATGAATGCGAATACTAATTCTTTCCACAAAATCTCTCATTCCCATTCGCAGTGTTAACTTTCACTTTTCACATTGGCATACTTTGTCCATAAGCATAAGCACCATCGATATCAGAATTTTAAATAATCAAAATTTTTTGAAATCCAATATTGAGCATATTCGCTACACCGATTATCCCATGTAAAAGTTAAAGACCATAAAGATGACCATGAAGGTGATTAAAAAACAAACAAATTAGGCCCCCAAAAAAGTCTCCGGTTTCTGGTATGGAGCTTGCCCAAAAAGTGGTGCGGTGACGCGGCTTTTTTTTTTTTTTTACCTGATTTTTTGGCTTCAAATGTCGGCCGATGACTGCAAATGGTGCCCGACTAAACTTAGTGCAAATATATGGGAGTCCAGAGAGGCCACATAAAGCTGATTCTCGACCATAACCCAATCTAAAAACATGTTAAATTTGTGCAGCAGCAGGATTCCAGTCAAACCAGTGAGTTTGGCAGTTTTGAGACATCATCTTTCATTGAAAAAAACCCTTTTTCATTTTGCCGACGGGCATGGCTACGGCGACGCGCGCGCACACCAGAAACCGGAGACTTTTTTTTTTTGGCCTTAAGTCCCAATTTTCCGTGACTTTCTCTGGAGCATGTTGCTCAACCTTTTTAAAACAAGTCTCGGCACTGAGAGTTTGTCCAGAACGGGCCTTTTTTTTTTTTGGTGTATAGTTTTACAGGGAGACTGTGAATTCCAGCGAACGCCGCTTGGCATTTCGCGATGTTTTGTTTTTATTTTGAGTCACAAGCACAAATTTCCGCTGAGTTTTATTTCATTATACCGCAAACGATAAGCACAAACGGGAGATTTATTTTGACGATACTTTAACGCATTTTCGATATGATTCCTCAATATAGGAAACTTTTGATATTTCGATATGATTTAAAAATTGCTATTGGTGATATCGATATCAAAATAATTTAAAATAATCCAGTAATATCGATGTATCAACAGTGTTTACATTTAACATTTCATGGAAGATTCACCATGACAAAATTGAAAATTTTGACTGTCCTGCACATACAGTCTGTCTATATAGGGGGAAGGGTGTACTTTTACATGGATAGTTAAAAAACCTAATGAAAAATTCCTTATTTTCTACTGTCTCAAGATATATGAGAGTTTTTTGTTGCATGGTCACAGTGGACTTGATGTAAAACCAAGTTCCTTTCTTTTCGCTCAAAAGCCACAGTATCCAACTTTGCACTTTTCTACTTTTCACTAAGTACGAGCGTCTTCCCGATAGATTGCCCGGTATTACTTGGTTATTTGCTCACGTATTGTGTCATCCCATCTTCAAATATACAGCATCTCCAATATGGAGTGGGTATAGTGTCACACCTCCCTATTGCCGCATTGTATCTGTAAGGCTCTCTAGGGAGTAGCACCAGTGTCATATTCCTAATCAATATGCTATGCAGCAACTGCAGCACAATTAACTTTTCGCTGCTATGATCTGTCCCAGACTTGATCCAATTGTATTAATCTGAGGCGACTTCCACCAATGTAAATATGTCACAAAAGAAAAAAGGGCATCAAATTCAGGAAATGCTGCCCTTTTGTCTGACAGTTCAGTGTGCATGGCAGTTTTTGTATTTAATTTTGTTTTTAATGTTGTACAGCGCGTCCCAAAATACCGGCAACATTTTGTTGCGAGGCTCTAGCGTCGCCGCGGAAACACATACCGCCATTTTTTTAATATCATTTTAAAGCTTGGAATCTGAACTTTATCCCCGGTAAGTATTGGTTTGATTTTCAAAAGGGTTTTGAAATTATTTGTGTTCAAATGAAGGCAAGTCAAAACAAACTCAACCAATTTCAAAGAAAATCAATCATGTGCATTTTTTCTAATGTGTATGGTTCATCATGTTCATGATGTGACGATCTCGTTGCCTTTTACTTTCTGTGTTTACTTGTCTTTTCGATCCACGTAGACTACACCTTAAATGAATGCACAATATTGTTCTTTGTTTCAAGTTTATTGTGAGTCTCTTTTGAAATTCACGTGCAAGTATGTACCAATTCAAAAAGCGCGCTCAAAATGTGGCTCGAGTTTGGCATCTGATGTACCGCATCATCAGTTTTCCTTGAACACGAATAATGCTAAAACTCTTTTAAATATCAAACTGGTATAAAATGGTATAAAAAATAATGGCATTACGTGTTTCTGCATCAACGCTAGAGCCTCGCAAATAAAAGTTGTGGGTATTTTGGGACGCGCTGTACAAGGAATTAACATGTAAAAGTTGAAATGTAGTTTAAATGGATCTGAGTCATCATTGAGATTTTAAATCTTGACTAAACTTGGATCTCATAAATTCACATTTTTCATTGAACACACACATGTAGATTGCAAACATACAGTGTGTACATGTACATGTACGTTACACTTGTGTTGTACCGTACATGTGCATGCCTTGTACGGTACATTGGAATATGTACCAGTACTGTCGTGGCGCCTGTAAATTATACAAGAATTTTTGATATGCATTTTGTATCATCTCCAGATGTTCAAAGAATAATATTTCCTTAGTCTTGATTTAAGGTCTACATGTACCATGATGAACGCTAAACTTCAAGTATCGTATATTACGTGCAATTGATACATGTATGTATGTACAACACTGTGGTATCCACGCTAAATCTACTAGTCATACTGCATAATGTACATGTACTTGTATTGTTCCCTTATGACACATCCAGTTATTTAAAAGAATGACCTAGGAATAAGCACGGTCAATATCAGAATTTTCAATAATCGATATATTGGAAATCCGATAGCGAGAACATTCAATATATCGATTATCCCAGGTTTTTCAAAGAATATAAAGATGAAACTTTGATTAAAAAAAAAAATTAAGTCTCAACTTTCCACGGCTTTCTCTTTCTTTTGAAGTTTACATTGGGGGAGACTGTGAATTCCAGCGAACGCAGAGCACAAAGCGACGCCGCTTGGCATTTCATGATGTTTTTATTATGAGTCACAAGCACAAGTTGCTAACAAGTTTTATTTCATTGTACAGCAAACATTAAACACAAAGTTAAAGCACAAACGGGAGATTTAATTTGCCAATAATCTCATGCATTTTCAATATTTTCGATATTCCTCAATATCGAAAATTTTGATATTTCGGTATGATTAAAAAGTTGCTATCAGCGATATCGATATCAAAATAATATAGAATAATCTATGTATCGACGGTGCTTACCTACATGTAGGAAGCTATAATGTTGATGATAGGAATCGTTCACCCCATTAACTGAAAACATGCACGCATGTATGCAGTGCATATGATATTTCTAACTTGGGCCAATATTGCACAGAAATTGCTGAAAATTTCAACGTTCGAGATACGTTTGCTTAGAAGACTAGGTCACCAGCCAAAATGTGGTGGGAATTGCTGGTAATATGCCATGTTCTTGAACAATAGAGGGCACCATTTATTAATTACCAATAGTAGAAGTATGTACATTGTATATTGGAACAATTTAGATGTATGTACTTTAACTAAGGGAAGCTGGGCTGGTTTTAAACAGGGATGTTTTAAACCTGTTTGGAGCCGGATGACGATATCGGCGATCAAGCCCCAAGCCGGTTTAAAGGGAAAATACAACATTTGCAAACATAAAAAAAAAACTACCAAATCATTTTGAAATACCTTGCTGGACTGACAGTGTAAAGCATCCTGTAAAATCATGGCACCTGGTATACTGTCATTTTCAAGAAAAGTGGTATTTTTGTATCAATTTCCAACGCTGGTCGGCTGACCAGCGTTGGAAAAAACTGGCTTTTTTTTCAAATACTGGCCCCAATTGACCATCGCACTTGTTTGCAATCGATTACACACCTACATGTATGAATGGGTACAAGCCAGCTAGACTGGTTCCCTGACCTTACAATTCCCCAATGTATGTAAACTGCTCTGTTTCTTCTTATATGGAGTCAGGGAACCAGACTACAGGAAAATGATTGTTTTTCTTGGTTTTTATAGCATTTTCGAACCCAAAACCTCAAAAAAGTCGGTGTAACTTTATTTGCTATATATTTCCAACCCCCCAATTCCATCCATTTCTGAAAATTACAGCAAAAGCAAATGATGTATATTCCCTTTAACAAGCCAAGCACATAATGCGAGTCCGTAGTGAGTGGTGGCTATTTCTGCATCGGCGTGATCCCGTAGCTGTGCCAATGATCGAGTTTGGCTGATCTCACGTAATCCCTGCGATAGTGAATAGAAAAGGAAGATACGTTTGCTGCCACCAACAGTCTCAAAAGTCTCCCATTACGAGTCACTAGATTCCACATTGTGTTGAATATCCATGGTTTAGTCTTACATTTATATGAATTTTTTTCTGATTTGAGTAATATTCTATGATTTTGACAGGCACGAGCTGCGGATCCGATACTTACCCAAGGACTACCATGAACTCCTGGAAAAAGATAAGGTCACCTTCTTCTACTTCTATGATCAGGTTAGAGTCTTCAGTTTTGCTTATTCAGTCGTGTACGGTAATTCCCCCACCCTAACCCTAGTCTGTGGAATGGCTGCTTGCGAATTGCACACAAGCGTCTATGACATTCGCGCAGATTCGGTGATTATACTTATGCAAAACAAGACTGCGTCTTGACCTCCAGATTCTGACTATTCAGCGGGCACCTTCTATGAGGTCTTCTGTAACCTATTTATAAGAACATGGCAGCCAATTGACCAATCAGCGTATAGGCCAAACAACACAGGCCAGATGTCTGCCGACAATTTCTAAAGTCGACTCGTATTGGCTGGCGTGCGGGTGGCATAAAATGTGTGTGCTTGGATGTATATCGGACATTCGTAATAGGCTCTGCAAACTTGAACATCTGATCCCCAGACTACTTTAACCTTTGGATGCTGTGCATGTTTCATTCTCCAAAATGCTATCAAAGAAAATCGTGCTATACAGGGTGAATTAAAAAAAAAACCATAATGTTGGCAGCAATTTTGCATTGAAGTTTTGCCTGTAGCACTTTCATAATCTAGGATATGAAAGCCAGCTTTTTTAGTACAGAAAATCATTCAAATCACTCATGTACTTTTCAAGTTATGGAATTTTAAACACAAACAATGTTCTGTCCACAGGTCACAAGAAAACTAAGTGTTCTTTCATCAAAACGAAAACAATTCTGATAGGGATGCATGTGAATGCATGCATCCCTATGAGAATTGTTTTCGTAAAAGTGAAAGAACACTAAACTTAAATTTCCACAGGTTAGTTGTTATGCACCCTAATTAAGATTTTGCGCAATTTTGTTACTTCAAACCAACAAAAAATGAGCAAAATGCAAGTGATCCTTCGTACCTTTAAATAAGCTTCAATATGTGATTAAGAAAATATTTCAGTGAAAGGCTCTCCTCATTGTCCACGAAGTTAACTGATGCAACCGCAATTCATGAATGACTTGAAGTACAAATAATAAGACTCACGTTTCACTTCAGGCCAAGCCACACAATAGACTTCCAATTCCCCTGGTGTCCTTTTGTTCATGAATATAATAAATGAATGGACTGGGAGCAGTTGATAATGTTAAAACGAGGTAACTCTTAAAAAAAAAAAATCCTTTGTGCTTTTAGTTCGTTTGTGATGAAATAAAAAGTGTATTTGCCTTTATGTGACAAAAAGGTGGATGAGGTCTTTCTACTGTAGACTCATTGTTAAGTAGGAATTAGTATGCGTGCAAGGGAGAAAGTATTGACAATACAGTGAAAGAATGATCGTAAGGCACAATTAAGATGATTTTTGAAAGGATTCTGAGATACGTTTCAGTTCTGTACACATCATCAACAGTAATCCTTCTTTTGCTAAACTCCTATAATCAAGTACATTGCACAATGTACATACATGTATAAAGTACATGTACGATATACATGCGTATACATACATTGTGTTGCGTTTAGGAATCAGATGTTCATTTGCACTTTTCCAAGGTCGAAGCACTTTGCGCACATTTCAGTTTCATTGTCACGGGCACGGCGTGGTGCGGTAAATTGTATTAGAATGATTCAATCCAATTACACGAGAATGTCTCATCACATCACATCTTAAACGTTTCTCCGACACTTTCCATTTTGGGAATTACATCCATAGACCTACATGTGTATTTTGAAATGCTGTGTGCTTAATTGCACACATTTCAGTCCCATTGTCGCAGGCACGGTGTTGGGCGGTAAATTCTATTAGAACGATTTCAGTCCGATTACATGACAATGTTTCATCACATCACATCTTAAACATTTTTTCGACACTTTCCATTTTGGGAATTACATGCGTAGACCCACCGGGGTATTTGTACTGGTATTTTGAAATGCTATGGATTGCTCAGATAGGAATATTTGTTTTGTGCACATGGAAATCCAGTAAAACTGACACAAGACGATTTTGCGTCAAGAAAATTATTGGTGTCAAGTATTGCACTCATACTGGAAAAAGTACAGTGACAACCAATGTTTTTCTATGAACAAGTGGGTACAGATACTTTTAACCTCTGCCAGGAGGTATATGTTTTCATTGGTGTTGGTTTTTCTGTTAACAGGATAACTCAAAAAATTATGGATGGATTTTCATGAAATTTGTTTTGGGGTGGTCCTTGGTACAAGATTTTGGACATGATCCGGATGCATGATTTGTTTTAAAGATTCTTTACCATTTTGTATGTGCAAATATGCCACAGACCATGAAACTGGGGCACCCCTCCCCCAAAAACACAATAAGTGCAAGTGGCAGGCCGTGTTTGTTGACTCATTTTACAGGGTGAGTAAAAAAACCCAAAAAGCCAAAATGTCGGGACCATTGTTTTAGTGAAGTTCTGCATGTAGCACTTCCAAAATCTGGGATATGAAAGCCCATTTCGTAAGCTTTCTTTTAGTTCAAAAAACATTCAGATCACTCATGTACTTTTCAAGTTACGGAATTTTAAACACAACCACCATTTTAAAGTTTTGTCCACGGATCACAAAAAAGGTGTGCGTTCTTTCAGCAAAACGAAACCAATTCACACACATCCTCACGTGATTTGTTTTTGTTTTGCTGAAAAAACACTGAACTTTTTGTGATCCGTGGACAGAACCTGAAAACGGCGGTTGTGTTTAAAATTCCGCAACTTGAAAAGTACATGAATGATTTGAATGATTCTTGTACTAAAAGAAAGCTTATGAATTGGGCTTTCATATCCTAGATTTTGAAAGTGCTACATGCAGAACTTCACTAAAACAATGGTCCCAACATTTGGGTTTCGTATTTTGGACTAATTTGTTTATTTCTTGGAATAAGTTGTTTGTTTCATATTTCACTTTCATTCTTCCTTTGTCTTTTTTTTCCCCGCAAGGTCCGGAATGATTACATGAATGAGGTTGCAGAGACCGTAGACATGGACATGGCTCTACAGCTAGGATGTCTAGAAATGAGACGGTTCTTCAAGGACATGCCTCAGATTGCGCTGGACAAGAAAGCCAACTTCGACTACCTCGAGTTAGTACAAGCCTATTAATTCTGGAACCTTACTGATAACTGACATAGCATTGTGCAGGGTGCACCAAAATAAATGAACCCTCGAAGCGCCCTCTTTTTCACAGCTTTTATACAAATATCTTGCAGATATCCATACATATTTAGAAAGTTTAGTCCATTAGCTTTTCAACAACAAAAAAAATATAATTATTGAAAAAAACTGAAAATTACAGTAAAAGCAAATGTTGTATAGCACCTTTAACCCTACCATTTTGAGTGATTTACTAGGAACCTTCCCCACTCTTGCAAAATCCAACACCATATGGTAAACTCAACACCCAAACTGTTGGACTCTGATTATTGGTGGTATGCCTGACCCCATGTAAAGCATAATCAGTTTACTAGTGCAGTACTCACACCAACAGATTCCAACAAACCCTGGTGTTGGAGTTTGACTGGATGGGGAGTGTTAGGGTTATCTGTAGAAACTGTGCACCTTTTGTTATCAACCAAGGCCAAAGGTCCGCATATACTTCTATGCAGATATGATCCTAAGTGTTTCTTTTTCATTTCACATTTTATCAACATCAGACAACAAGCATTTTGTTAATTGATTGTGTACCTACAGATGTAAACATACACCTGCCATATTTCTTTCCGTTTCACATCATAATTAATTCCTTGTGAACTATTTTTCCCTTTATTTTTTAATTTAGGAAAGAAATAGGTCTGAGGAGATTCATTCCAAAATCAGTCATCGATAATACAAAGGTATGTGTACATTAATGGATTTTATGTTCACTGTTAATTTCTGTTGATTTTGACCAAACACCAACTGTTTCTTTGTAAAAAAAAATTGACTTTGATGTTGCAGTGGCCTCTTACCTGCTTAACATTTGCCAGAGTTGGTGTCAACTCCTCAGAAGTGGGTATATACAGTAAACTGTCATTAAGTCAAATTTGGATAACTTGAAACTCCATTTATCTCGAAGTAATACTCTCTGCCCGTCAAGAGAATAGGACATTATGTACATGAATACCCCTGTAGCTCGAAATGCCCGCACCAGTACGGTACCGGCGTTTATCTCGAACTTTTGTTCAGCCAGTCCATAGACAACGCTATCAAAACAGCGTAAAAAGATCGCATGAGTCATTACTGCCCAACACACACTCTATCTTTTCACGTGGGGATGCAGCTGCGTAACTCGAGCCCGTAACCGCAACAAATACTGGCTTTCGAGTTAGCCTGATCGATACCGCTGGCTCAATTGTAACCCACACGCCGGCAGCCCAATCGCTGACTCTTTGTGATGGTCATGTGACCGCATTGTAAACCTTTGCGGATGCGTGTGCCTGGCTTTCCAGTTAGCCTGATCGCTACCGCTGGCGCAGTTGCAGATCCAACGCTGGTGCGCCCTCTATCGGCCATGTTACCGCACATCGGAAAACCCCAAGCGAGGTTACGTCGATCGCGATATACAAACGACACGAAAGAAAGATTTGCTAGATGTAGTTTCACAATTGAGTGGTTTATTGTCATGTTTACGATAGAGCAGACACTGTTACGCTTAAGTCCTACGCATGGCGTAAGTTGCGCACTGTGAAATCAGCTGTAGACATATCATGTGACCTTTGATAGTCAAAATAGCAAACCTGGAATTTCTTTTGCTAGTTATGCAGTTTCTATTGATTTTGTGCTTACTAAGTGATTTGTGTTATTTGATACATTCAGCCCAAAAACCTACGCAAGTTGATCCTGCAGTACTTCAAGCAGTTTGCTAATCTGAACGAGGAGCAGTGTGTCTTCAAGTTCTTTGAAGTCCTGTCCAAAATCCACCGCTTTGACCACGAGAAGTTCAAGTGTGCCCTGGGGGTAAGTGGGATTCCAATAGCCTATTCACATAGAACAATCAGGTCTTTGTTCCTCTTTGATATGCATGAGTAGAAAATTCGTACTCTCATTATCACTGAATTTAAAGGTAGAGTAGATCATTGGCAGCTATCCAAAATGTAATTGACAAAATGTTTGTTAAAAAGCGTACTTGGTTTAAAGATAGTAATGGCACTAAACTCCCTGTGAAATTATTCCTTCTGACATGCTGTCATTTTGAAGAAAACAACAAACAGAATGTCATTTCCAAAGATGTGTCAAGTGACACATTTTTGGAAATTTCCACTGGTAGTTGGTTTTTAATTGGGCGAATACGTGAATGGGTGCGCGCAAGCGTTGACACGACTCACAAACGCGTGCGGTTGCTATTATTTGTCAGTTCAGTGTGTAACATTGCGTAGCTGCCATCGGCTGAATGAGAACATATTCAGGACGCTGATTTTGGGTGCAGCGCAAAATATGACTCGGCACATTTTGAATTGAAATCGAGATGCTAGAATATTGTTTTCTCGGAATATACAGCATTCACCGAGCTGAAACTTCATCAGGTTAGTTGTTAAGCACCATTCTTTAGATAGTGAGCACTTGTGTTGCTTTAAAATGAACAAAATGCACAAATGGCAACAGGGCTGCCAACTCTCACAAACTGAGCATGAGACTCACGCATTTCAGGTTTTCTCACGCAAACAAAATGAATAAATAAAACTCAAAAATTATGTTTAAATGATGATCTTTTGCTAAATTAAATTGGTTAAAGTGGTCAGAAATTGCTTCAGATCGCACCGCAGAGGGTCTAGAATCCAAACTTTTTCGGGGCCCTTAAGCGGGCCCTGAACCCACGCCATTAGGGCGTTCACATGAGCATGATAATTCTGATCAAGTTCCATAGCCAAAGTCTTACTCAAGTTGGCAACCCTGTGACAAATGATCTGCTGTTCCTTTTATTGAATATAATTAGAATGAACGGAAAAACCATCACACAGGCTCCTTTATGGGGAAAATACAGACAAATCTAAAACCCATCTTTTCAAAACACAATTTGTTAACATGAATGGTTTTTTTTCCTTCTATCAGACTGGATGGAGTATTTCGGTTGAGTTGGTCATTGGTCCCGACGATGGCATCAGCTGCCTAACAGACAAAGCATCCGTGGTAAGTATACAAACAAATCCAGCCACAGTTCCATGTAGCCTGGGACGAAATATAGGTAATACCGTGTAGTGGCAATATGGTTTGATTTCGAACTATGTTGATAAAATACCGAAATACTGACAAAGTTTGTATGAAATTTCAATACCATGATATTCCCTTGAAAATGTGGCCAGGTGTGTGCAAAAGCCCCTTAACCCTCCTGCTGTCTGAACAGTCACAGACAGTCAGAAAAAAATCTGTCAAATCAATCACAAGTTAACCCTTTCCGTACCACATTGTTTATTGACCAGGAACCAATTGTTTTTGCTCAGTCATGCGGAAATCACTAAAATGTGACAAATGGATCACAAAGTTGAAAACTCACTTTTTCACTGCCAAGGAGTGATTAAAATCAAAGGTGTTGTGTGTGAAGTTTGTTCCTGGAACTTGTTCCTTTGAACTCTTTTATGTGATGTAAATATCAAGTCAATATGTGCAAAAAAAAAGAGAGTTATGCCTGTTTGTTGATCTGGTCCCAGTTATCAAACTGCAAGCCATTTCACCACATGACCACATGGCACTCCATACCTCAAATCGTACGTGGACACTTCTGAAGCATTATTCTTAAATTTTTGTAATGGAAACACTACATGTATGTATAAATTCCACCGTTAGAACGATCTGAACACACTCTTTCAGCTGGTATATGGTTGATGTATGGGCAGCCAAACATACATGTACCAACATGCCAGCTTGCTGAAAAGCAGTGAATAAATCTGTATGGAGTGTGTTGTGTGTGTGTGTGGTCCATCAGAATCCACCAGTGAGTCCATCAGAATCCATCAGTGTTGTACATATATATCTCGTACATACCAAACATATAGCCAAGGAGTTCAGCTGTTGAGATCCTGAATCAATCAAAGTCCCCAAACTGCTCCATTTCGAGATATCCTGAATCCATCAAAATCCTGCAGTACCGCTTGGCTCACTGTCCTCAATCCATCAAAATCCCCCAACTTTTTCAATATGGAAGTATCCTGAATCCGCCGAAATCCTCCAAAACAGAGGTGTGGATTTTGATGGATTCAGGTACATTAGGGTTAATCGACCAGTGGTCCTCAATCCAACATGCTCTGGTTTCTGAGAAGATAAAAACCTTTTTCATTGTGAAACTGACTTGATTTTTGTTGGTCTGTCCTCACAGCCCACCAAGATGGCCGATTTCACCCAGGTCCAGTCGGTGCAGACCTTGGGCGGCGACATGGAAAACAACAAGAAGGGACTATTACAACTCAGAATATCTGGTGCTAACGAGGTAAGCATGATAACTCCTTGGAAGGAGAGAGGCGGAAGACATAGGTCACCTCACAGACCCGAGAAGCAGAATAAAAAGTGCTTAGCATAAATGAGCGGAGAACCAGTTAAAGACATTGTAAATCACATAATCTTTAGGCTTGTAACCGTGGGTCTGGTTCAATGTGTCTGTGCATGGCATATTGATACGCTTTGATTAGCTCTGTGACGTTTGACCCTGGAGTCACAGTTGCTAGGTCAGGGGTTAGAATCCAGCTATACCTGAGGTCCAGTCCATAGGCAAGATACATTACTCTCTTTACGTAGGATGGAATTTCAAGATAGGGTTTTGCCCTACACCAACAGATTTTTATAAACACTGTGTACTCGGTGTGGAATGCGCCCAGTTCGGCTACAAAACACATTTTAATTGAAACGATATTAGTTGGAAAAAGTTTGATATAAACGTCCACACAAGCAGTCAACCGTCCTTTAAAAACTGGGCATTTTTGTGTTATTCTTGCGAGAACCATGCGAGAATGAATTTCGGGGGTCAAAACTTTATGACTCTCAAAAATTGAGCTGTTGACTGCTAGTTGTGAATCCTGCCGCACAGTGTTTTCGCTTTCTGCGGACATGTGAGAAACAATATTTGTGTATTGGCCTTATTCACGAGTCGGCCATATTGGATTGAGAGTGAGGTAAAATCTTGATTTCTGGAACTTGTGTAGAGAAATGAAAGCAAGTTAATTATTAATTAATTCCAGTCTGATTCAATGAAAAATTTCAAATTTGTAATTACACGTTCCCTAGTGTGTAAAGCCAGATTAAAAAAAAAAATGACAGTAATAGTCTGGCGCCATCCCATTCAGCAGATAACAATTAATGATATACATTCAGGGAACTTGACAAATATGGCCAACTCGTGAATAAGACCCATTGGTGCTGTGTGTATCATGTGACACACACATGAATGTGTACTGTACATTGAATGAACATGGCTGGAAATACATATGGGCATGTCCGCCGCTTCCGATGTAAACAACCATTTTGTTTTCGTCTTTTCTCGGGAATGGTAAGACATCAGGTTAGTTTCCTTGCAACCAGACCTTTGAAATAGGATAATTAAACAATCCAAAACATGAAATGTTCGGAATTTCAGGCCGTAATGCCCCTTTAAGTTGTGAATTTTTTTTATAACAAATGATTTGATTTTCATGACTGTTTTGCATGCATCTCTTTTCCGTAGTCAAGTCATTAATATGCATGATACATTCTAACCTTAGCATAGATGGGCTGTGCCTTTATTCATTATTTAAAGAAAGAATTTGCTTTAGTAGACCTTGTTCTGTCGCATGGTAAAATTAACTAGCATGATGAGTTCTAGCTGAATATTTCACTGCCATCTACTCACAGTCGTTTGAGTTTTGGTTATGTGAGTAATATAGGCCAATTGGTATTTTTGTTGCGAATGACGAAACTATTTTGATCAGTCAAAATGGTACATTTATTGAAATAATTTAGTAAATTTACGGGAATTGATACAATACCCCAGGGTCTTCATTTTTTTCATATTACGTGCAAAATCACGTGACCCTTCCTTCCGGTCCAAACTTGAAGCACCTTGTAATTTGAAATTGGAAAAAGGTGTGAACTTGCTTTCAACGATGTTAGTCTCTGGCTAGGATGTACTTGAGAAAAAAATTAGCGCCCTTTAGCGGCAGGTTGAAAAATGTTCAAAACGATTTTCAGTAGATTATTGCGGCAAAGTTTATGACATATGAAATAGATGCCAGCCCGACCACTCTGCGTTTGTAACTCAACAAACGCGAACCTCTAGGTTTTACTAGTTGCATTCACTGACTTGTGTCACCAACGATAATGGCGCATGGGTATACATATATATTAATAAGCATAGATCCTTTGTCTGAATTCTCACAAATATACACCACATGTAGGATTGGTGCACCATTTTCTGTGATGCGTGTTGGATGTACATTCCAAGTTCACATATTGATTCATGTAATTGACTCCCACAGTAATGGACAGTGGTAGGCATGTGACTATCACTACGAAGGGTCTGCATTGTCTACCATTCATATATATATTATAACATTAACATGAAAGGGGGATTTTGTTTTCACTGACTGTAATTGCATGCCTCATCCCCTTAGTGTTTACTAGACAACTAGAGTTCAGCAGTCACAAACGGTCAAGTAAATATCATCATACGGCAAGACTTTCCCTCCTTAATTTAACCCTCACCCCCTTGAGTGACTTACTAGGAACCTTCCTCACTCTTGCCAAATCCAACACCATATGGTAAACTCAACACCCAAACTGTTGGACACTGATTATGGTGGTATGCCTGACCCCATGTAAAGGGTAATCAATTTATTAGTGCAGTACTCACTCCAACAGATTCCAACAAAACATGCAGTTGGATTTTGAACGGTTGGTGTGGTAAGGATTAACCAGTTCACACCGGGATTGTGACAAGAACGGAACGAGGCTCGGGATTACTTTTCACTCGACTTCATACCAGGAGGGTTGAAGCCATCACCCTCGGCCAGCACACTCATATTTCTGGCCTCACTCGCTGTGAGCGGGTCGCTGACAGATATTTCCGTCCTCGCTCCCTGCGTGTTTATCCGTCATCGTTCCGAATACCGCAAAAGCTTTGCGTATACTCAAGTAATCCGGCGCGAACTGGTTAAAGGTATACAGAACAGAAATAGGAACAAATTTGGCACGATTTTGTGTATTTTAGGTTGGTACCGGTAAGTACTTTAATATTTCCAACAGGTAAACAAAAGTGTGGCATTCTTTGCACGGATATTAATATATTTACATGATTTTTTTTTCCTAATCCCTATATCTGGTAAATGTTTTACTTTTTGAAATATTTGCAATTTCCTTCTACTGACCTTGAATGTGTCATGCATAGAACCTCTTTATCTGAAAAATCTGTAGCTGAAAAAACACGAGTTGAACACAAATTTGATATAAACCATTGTGTAACGCAAAGGTTTCATTTTCATGTCAAAACTTTTGCAATGTGATAATATTGTAACCTTCAGGGACATGTACGTTGATATAGTACAGTGGTACAGGTTTTGTTCTTGGGGTTTGTAGTTGTGTAACGGGCTCAGTGCGCCAACAAAAGAGGACACGTTTTTACCTCTTTTAAGAGCTCCGTGGACGGGACACACAGCGTGCGCGTACTGTACTGTAGGCCTACTGGTTCGCGTGCAAAGTACCCATGACTTTTTGAATGTGCAAAAGCTATAGCTGCTGTGTCTTCGCGTGAGCGTCAGGCGTCGTCGGTGCGCGAATGTGTTCAAATTCAACTTGTGATAGTCTCCAAGACTAATACCCTCCTCCAATAACTTTGGATACATTCGGAATACGCATATCGAACAAAGTTCCATGACTTAGTAGCTGTTTTTGGCAAGCCTTGTAGTTGTCTAGATATAGAACTTTAAAATATGCACCTTTAAGTGACGTCACATGACACATGATGAAGTCATCATGACGTCACCTCAGTTTGACCTATAACTCATCCCTGTCCATGGCCATACCAAGTTTCAAGTTCAACCTAATGTATTCTTAAAAAACAACTTACAAACGTCAAAATTGTTTTGTGAGAAAAAAAATGAGTTCCTGCAAGAGCAAGGAGCGTATAGACGTTGATCATGCTGCCACCATTTCAGTCATGTTCCCTGTATCCAATAACAGTACTGAATGATAATTTTTTTGTGCAAAAAGGAACCAGACTATTTTTCTTTCCAGCCTCGCTTTGGTTATGTTGATTTGAATGGGAAAAAATCAAGATGGCCGCAACATGAAAGTGGTCTATATCTTACAGACAGGTCACAGACTGGGCAGGAACTGGTCATAAACTTGATAATCTGCTACAATCACTTCAGTGAAGTTAACTTCGTGTGTGTTTCTTGCATGTTCAACTGGAGTGATTTGACTTAACGACTGCCTCCCGTGTTTCTGTTTTCTGATTTGTTTTTTATTCCTACCCACAATCCTTTAGCCCTTCCCTATCCCACAAATCCCTGGTTCTAACGAGGTTGACGCATGTGTAAGTATGCACTCTGTGTGTCTGGCCTAACTCTTCTTTTCTTTACTTTTTTGAAGTTAATTTGCCTTCTAATACGTTTGCCTTTTCTTTGTCTTTTTTTAGTTAACTTGTTTAGTTGCTTTTGCTTGCAAGTGCATGGCCTAATTACGCATGAATTTGTTATCAGATTTTGTGGACAAAAACTGTTGTATTATAATTTGTTAAATAATTTGAACTTCAGAATGAGAAACATTGTTTTTTGCGCACAAGGCAACATGTGCGCACGGGAAAGATGATCATTAAAGTCATTTTTTATAGATTTCTAAACTGGTTTCAGATTGCCTGGAATCAGTTTTGTGTTGACCCCTGAGATTCTCCCAAGTACAGGGTGAGTCAAAAAGAAAGTGACCAAATTAGAAAAAAATAATAATTAAAAAAAATGTATGGCTTGTTTCATTTCATAAAAATAACACAGGGATAAAGTACATGTTATTGACTAATAAGTATGAAAATTCCCTGTATTTTGCGTACTCCGTATCAAAACTTATCTCTATTTTATTAACAAAATCACAAAATTCAGCTGTCCACCACTGATCGTTTACCAATCTACAAACTGATGAATAATCATGAAATACATTGAAACATAAACGTTTCCCACCTCCATGAATGAACAAAAACTTGCACAGGAAAACAGACAAAAATCACCATCCATATTTCAGACAAAAGAGTTGACTTGTTCCTCATATTCCAAACACAAAATCTGACAGTAAAAATAATGTTGCAGTCTTGACTAAAACGGTTAAAATCTCAAATTTGTATTTGAATGCCTGTGTGTAATCTGTAATTCTCACTCAGCTCAATAGCTTCCAATGGCATTCCATGGACAGCTATAAAAATGGTTTCCTTTAGTAAAACATGCATAACTTCTGATAGCATGGATCAATCTCAGTATTTTTTGGTTTAGATGAGTGGAAGAACATGCTCTTTTAAGACATACTTCATTGGTGTATCAAATTTGATTGCTTTTAAGGAAACAAAAAATGAAACCAGGTCACTTTCTTTTTGACTTGCCCTGTAAACTGCTCTTGCCGATGCATAAATCTTTCTAGGTGGGACTTAAAACCATCTTTTATTGAAAGAAATGGGAATTGCTTGGTTTTATCACATTTTGGGCAATGGAATGAGGCAAAGATATACTTCTTTTTATAGGAGTTTGGTAAATGAAGGCTTGAACAAAGATATCTACTGAGCATACAAAATGGTTGAACAAGAAAAGTAAATCTCAGAAAAAAATTGTTGTGATTTTTCCTTTTGAGGCGTTATGTAAATTTTTGCAGAATTTAGAAATTTGGCAGCCACTTTGCAAATTCTTTCAGATGTATCAATCGAGAATGTCGTACTTATTTGATAAGACTAACAACCTGTATATCTGTGCTCAGATTAACTCAACCTGATATTTGTGTTCAGTAGTTCTCATTGTTCAGGTGGTTTAGGGAGTTCATAATATCCTGATGCCATGCAGATTTTGTTTACTGCCATTGCATGCGGATTGACTAACACTACCGTCTTAGCTGCATTAAGTCTTAGCTGTCGCGCCTTGCTGCTCTCCGCTTTCAATTTGCAGACTAATGCTTTCCAAGTTAGCAGAGCTCTGAGGATAAACAGTACTGGAAATTGTGGGAACCAATGCAAACCCTGAATTCTGTGCCATAGAATTGATAATTCGCAGCGAAAGCGAAGCAGATTTCTTAAAATGAACCATTATGGTTTCATTTTAACAAGTTCGTTTTACTCCAGACCAGGCGCGGTTTTTGAGCCAATATTTTGGGGGTGGGCTAGCAGGGTGGATCCAGAATTTTTTCAGGGAGGCGTGCTGATATATAGACCGTTTTTTTTCTCCAGACACTTTAATAGGCCTCCAAAAATCAATAGGTGGGGGTGGGGGGGGGGCCCTCATGACATTTTCAATGGGGAGTGATGATAAAATCCTACAATCAGGCACACTATATTAACTAAAAGTGTACAAATGCACCCTTCTCACGACTATTTATTTAGTTGGAGACTGTTCACATGTACATCACATTCTTACATTTTGCTAGTGCAATTTTGTTTTATTGAATTTTTTTTTTGGGGGGGGGCTAGACAAATTGTTTTGCCCCCCCCCCCTGTTAAAAGCCTGTTAAATGTACACATACTCCCCGGTTAGTGTTGTCAAGTGGCATGATGTCTTTGACTGGTTTGGTTCTTTGAATCAACAGCAGGGGTGGGGGTGGGGGTAGCATGGCCCCCAGGCACCGAAATAGTGTAGGCTACTCTAGGCCCTGTATCTGGGTTAAAAATGTTCTCTAGTTGACTCTCTGGAAATAACAGGAAGGCCTACATACACTACAGTTGCCAATGCATACCGGTGAAACGGGTTTTCAAATTTGCACCGGCCGGCACTGGCGATGCTTTGCCTACCCCCCCCCCCCCCTTCAAAACTGTTCCGCCACCACTGCTTCGAATGCCTGTATTGTCTGAAAAGGCCAAGTGCACTCAGACAGAGATGAAATTGAAACTGAGAGAATTTTCTTCAAACCCCCAGTCAACATTTCTAGAATGTCCAGTGCAAACACATGCTTTCTTGAATGAGATATTATGGGTGAAACCTTACGCAAATTTGCGCACTTGTGTAGGGTAGGGTCTGCGTAACACTACATGCCAGCCAGCTTTCTGCATGATTGCAATAGGATTGCTGCTAACCCGCATCGTAGCCATGCTGTTACTAATGCCATTATATAACATGCATGAGTTTATTGCCTGTTATTATATTCCATTGGATTATTTTAATTGAATTTAAAATTACCTGTACAACATGTAGTGGTACAACATTTGTGTTGCAAAGGTACATTGGCCATTTCAATTTTCCAAATTTGTTTTTGTAACAATTTTGATTCTTATTTGAGCATTTCTGTTCTCAAAAACGACAAGAAAATGAGAAAAGTATTAGTGGGCATTGCAAGCTCTAAATGGTGCCACGTAGCAGACCACATGTCTATTACATTGTACACTTGCTAAGAAAACTTCAGTAAGAACCAGCCATGGGCTATAATACACGTCGCTGTTGCCGATGAACAGAATTTTTGGTGAAGAAAAACTCCTCTGTGCTTACTGAATAAAGCTTAAATATTGGAAGTTAAAGGTAGATTAGATCATTTGCAGCTATCCAAAAAGTAACTGACCAAATTATTGTGAAAAGCGTACTTGGTTTAAGGATAGTAATGGCACTAAACTCACTGTGAAATTATTCCTTCTGGCATGCTGTCATTTTGAAAAAAATAATAAAAGAAGGTCATTTTCAAAGATGAGTCAAATGATGCATTTTTGGAAATGTCTGTTAGTAGTTGGTTTGTAATTCGGCGAATCTGTGAATGCGTGCGCGCAAGCATTGACATGACGCACAAGCGCGCAGTGTTGTTAAGCACCCGTCTTAGATTTTGAGCACTTTTGTCGCTTCAAACAAAAAGAATAAACAAATGACAAATGATCTACCGGTACCCTACCTTTAATTTTGATGTATGTAGATAAAATGCATATTCTGGTTGAGGCTTACTTTATTCTATTGCATACAGTGTATTAGGTTTTGGAAATAGTTGGGTGCTTTGGGAGTGGTCACAGAATTTGCTGCGATCTGTACTGTGATCTTGGGAACTAGACAAAGATGGCTCCTTTTGTCGTGTGAATGGTACACGGAGAGAAAGTGGGCACCCTAGGTTTATAGAAGTGATTGGCTTAGGTGTGGTGTAATGGTTTGCAGCACTTGAACATATACTAATCACCACAAATATAGGTGGTCCATCTATGGAACCACCAGTATTGCTGCTGTTGTCTGGTGTTGAATGCTGTTGCAATAATGCACATGCACTTGATGCATTTGTAGGTATGCACAATGTGATGCTGTCTGTTTCGCTGCCAACTGCGTGGTTTGAATTGTGAAATGCTCCCAAATCACCTTCGTCAATGTATGTTCACACCAGGAGCTGTACATGTACCCTGCATTAGTCTCTTTAATTTGGAGAATAAGATCAACAAAGTAAAATGGAAATTTTTGAAATCTTTTGCCCAATTCAGGCTGGCAAATGAAAATTTGAGAGTAATTTACCTGACCGCTGATGTCAGGAATCGGTTCCAGATTATAGAACCAAGCACCCGTAACCAACTTTAAATAGTAACTTCTCAAACAATGAAAAGAAAGGTTTTGAATGCCATTTGTGGGGAATTTTCAAAATGAAAACCAGGCTACATGGAAAAACAAAACAGATTCATGTTTACGATGCCTGCGAAAATGCAATGTACACCGTAAAGCTACGTGTATTAAGCTCACTGTACACACTTGTATCTTGCTGTATCGACGCACCGATGTGGTAGTATTATCATGCAGACCTTTATGAGCTATCTGTGCAACAACTTCCGAGATTTAAAATTTGGGGTTGGTTTTCTTTATTGGGTAGTTGGGTAACCGTGTTTCTTTTTCAATCGGGTACCCGATCCCCATACTACCCGAAAATGCACACCCGTAGTCTATAGAACTATTAAATGTATTGGTTGATAGAGGAACTATCAATGAAACTGAAAGTGTGTAGTCATTTCTAAACTTTTAGTTAAGCTTCTTAGAAAATCCCAAACTTACCTGAAACGTAACAACAAGATAATTGTCTTGATAATTTCTCATTATCTGTTTGAAATAAAGTAAGAATATGAAGCTGTTTGACTTTTAAAACATGGCGTATTTGTTTATCTCTGGTTATCTGTAGTCTGTGTACATTACGACGCCGTCAGTGATGATAGCTGAAGACATGGCTGACTTGATTGACGGTTACTGCCGGCTGGCTCTCAAGACAGAGATGTCCGTCATTGTACGACCTCAGCAAGGTAAGCCTTTCACTCACCCCCGTCCTCCCTAGTGGACTCTTCCTGAACTGGGTCAGGTTGGGTCAAAGTTCAGGGTGTAACCAACATGAGCATGGACTGTTGTGGACTTTTAGGAGTAACTAATGGTAATGTTTGTTGTGTTTTGCAGTTTTTATTAGAACTTCGAAAACCCTGTATCGCTGCAGCTGTTTTGTTGCTAATTTAACACACACAAAAATCCCCCATTTTGGCTATCAGCTTGGGTCCAAAAATTGGGCCACCAGTATCAAATGATCGAAAAGAACAATGTTCATAGCGATTTTTGGCAAGGTATACACATCTAGAATTGGAAAATGTTTGATAGCTTTGTAGTGTGAGTGGTGGTAGTTTTCTGGGTGTTACCACTTTTAATTTTTTTTTTCAAAATGGCCGCCAATATGCTTGAACCGGATGAATTATATGTGGTAACAAGCATGTTTTGGCTGCCATTTAAAATAAAAAGGGATAGCACCCAAAAAGCTGCCACCATTGTAATGCTATCACATATTTTCCAACTACAGGGGTGCACACCTTGCCAAAAATCACAGTGACCATTATTCCCCTCATTTGATACCGACCAAATCCCCAGGCTGATGGCTTAATTTTAACAACATTGTTGAGAGCAAAAAAAAGGACAGTGCCAAATGTTTTTTTCAAGTTTTTAATGTCAATTCTGTTTGAGTAAATTCATATTTACAGTGATACCAATATTAAATTCATTGCAACTTTCCGTACTACCATCCTGAATATTAATTTAACAGACTTTTCTATGAATGTTGTCCAGTCCAAATGTGACTATTAAAATGAAACCTGCACAGTTAGTGTTTTCTTTCCAATAATATTGACTGAGTTTGTTTTAACGATATCTGAAAGTGCAACATTACTACACACATTTTTTTCAAGGAAGGCTTTTGAAATTTCGATTGTCATGTTAGTTTTAGTTTTTTTATTTTATTATTATGATTTTTTTTTGGGGGGGGGGTGTGTTTATTTGGATCCCATGGTTAAACAGCGATGCTCATGTTTGGATTAAAAACACTGTTCAAGTATTATAGTTTTGAAACTCTGGGGGAAAAAAAAATATGTAAAGTTCTTCGAACTGGGCATGTGTACTCCCATTTTAATTTAATGACTGATCTGATGATCAGCTTATAAAGACCGGGTAAAGTTGACACAATAACAAGCCTTCGGGGTCAGTAATTAACAGAAGTGTTTTCCTTTCGTTATCTTTTCCTGAATGCAAGTTATAGAATAGTAAAGAGAAAACCATCCAGTTGTAATGAATGCATAACCTGACCATCTAGTGCATGCACTCTTGTTTTACTATACTCCCGAGGACAATGCTTTGTGTTTTCCTGCAATATAACACTCTCCCACAGACTAAGCACACAAACTTACTACAGAGGACCGTTTTGAACAAAAGACCCAACTCCCAAGGACTGAAAGGATCTATTGTTCTCCCTTTGTGTGTCTGTCCTCGGGGGGTTACGTAGAACACGCACATGTTTGCAGTGTAGGTGTGTTAAGTATGAACTGAGTGACGTGGTCTGCTATTTTTCTCCACTAACCCTAATCACTGATGGAGCACAAAACTATATGTTTTACAACATTTCGATTTTATTTTGAAATCAATTCTTACATGTGCATTCCCCTCCCCCTTTTTTCTGGGGGTTGGGGGGGGGGTACATTCATGTAAGTGTTTGAATGTTGATGCCAGTTTTGGGTTTTGTTTATGTTGTTGTTTTTATTTGTTTTGTTTTTTTAGGCAATTCCACATTTTGTTTTTAAATAGAAGGGGGGATTACATTTATGTAAGTGTTAGAATTTTGAAGCCAGGTTTGGGTTTTGTTTGTCATTGTTGTTGTTGTTGTTGTTGTTTTAGGCAAGTTTGAAAAGTCTCAAAATTTGTTCATCAAATACCACATACGTGGCTCTTCATGTTCTGCGGGACACATCATTGCATACGCAGTCGTGCACGACATAACTCTCGAGGACAAGGCATTGTCTTTCCTTGTGTTCTGCAATACATGTATAACACTCTCCCTTAGACTAGGCACACAACACACAATTGAGAACCGTTTTCAACAAAAGATGAACGCTCGAGGACAAGAAAGAATCTGTTGTTCTCCCTTTGTCCATCTGTCCTCAGGGTGTATGTAGTGCGCGTACAAGTTCACATGCATTTTGCGAAAAACACAAACACACCATTAATTCCAGTCTGAATTTGCACATACACAAACCCTTTATGCAAGCGCCAGGCGTAGGACGACAACGGCATTCACGAATCTACCTTACTCTTTCTTTGTCGGGGTGCTTATTTTAGCTTGTGTAAATAAAAAGTACAAAGTGATACAGATTTCCTAGTAATCAGGATATATTGAGCAGCTTGTTATAACACATGTTGCATTGTTTAGGTTTTGTTATATTAGGAGTCATTTCATTACAAATCCCGGATGAGTTGTGGATAAGTTTATCCACAGTAGGCTGATTGCATCAGGTGTTTAGTGGCTGGATTTTGAGCAACGTCGCTAGTATCACAAATGAAATCATCAGTTTGTAAACAATGCTGGTAACTTCACTGTAGGAAGATTCCAGTGAAGTTGTTCTGAATCCTGCCACTCATACCGGATGTAATGCGTCTTTTGCGGATAAACCTATCCGCAACTTGTCCCACATATGTAATGGGATGTTTCCTTAGGTTTACATCCCAATTTCTACACATGATAATTAATGTTTAAAAAGCGCACGTATCCACCAGTATTGGTGTTCAAGGTGCTACATCATTATTACCCTGCTCATTGGGCCAATGAAACATTCCAAAGACAATCTCAGCTCCCTGGGAAGTATACAGCTCCATACAGCCATTTCGGGCGCAAAGCAGCTCAAATCAACCACAATAACCATCTCTGCCCTCACAGGTACATGTACATGTACCCATTTACTCCTGGGTGGAGAGAAGCAATGCATGACCAAATGCCTTGCCCAAGGGCACACGCACCATAACCCCAGGCTGGACTCGAACCCACAACCTGCAGAATTACCCGCAGACCACAAATTCAATGCTCAGGCCACAAGGCCACGGCATGGTGTAAAGTGACTAATTGCTTTCCTTCTGAACCCTTCAAATTGATACCCTTCTAAAAACTTGTCCTAGAAATATTTCTAAACACTTGAAGTCTGGGGGGAAAAAACATCTGCATGATTTCCAAACAAGATATAGTCTGGAATAGATGGTTTGCACCGCGGCCATGTTTGAGGTGTGATCTTTTGTTCAACAGGGAAATGCATGAATGGATCTCTTGTGCATTCATTGTTAATGAATTAACATAACAAAACACACCTCCAACATGGTTGCTGAATGCAATCTATCTATTGGGCTTCGGTTTCTTACAGTCTCTTCATCTTGGTTGAATGGGAAGATACTTTTTAAATCTTTTTCTGAATGAGCCAGGCATTGGTGTGTGTATCTTTGTACTTTGAGCAATGTTTTATGAAATAATCACCCGTTTTGTCTGATGAAATATTCACTATTTTTGGTTCACGATCATTGATCCATTGTTTTGTCTTGTCCCACATTTGAGCACATCTGTGAAAGATTAAACATGAAAGGCTCAGCTGTTAGTAATTATGTCTACAGGGTGAGTAAAAAAAAAACGAAACCCAAATGTCGGGACCATAACTTTAGTGAAGGTTTGCATGTAGCACTTTCAAAATCTAGGATATGAAAGCCCAATTCATAAGCTTTCATTTAGTACAAGAATCATTCAAATCACTCGTGTACTTTTCAAATTTTAAACACAACCACTGTTTTAAAGTTCTGTCCACAGATCACAAGAAGGTAAGTGTTCTTTCAGCAAAATGAAAACAAATCACATAGGGGTGTGAATTGTTTTTGTTTTGCTGAAAGAACGCACACCTTTTTTTTGTGATCCGTGGACATAACTTTAAAACAGTGGTTTTGTTTAAAAATCCGTAACTTGAAAAGTACATGAGTGATTTGAATGGTTCTTGTACTAAACGAAAGCTTATGAATTGGGCTTTCATATCCTAGATTTTCAAAGTGCTACATGCAGAATTTCACTAAAATAATGGTCCAGACATTTGGGTTTCGGTTTTTTGGACTCACCCTGTAGAAAGTAAAAGCCCTTCAGCAGTCGGACAAACAAGCAGTCAAGCATTCGTAACTTACACTTTCACATTTTATGAATTATAATGTTCTTTGAGCCAAGTTTGTATTCATGAAGATTAGAAAAATACATTTTTAAGTCTTCGAGAATTTGGGACGAACAAAAAGTTTACGGTATTTTTCCTTAAGGTTATTTGAACAGAAGAAAAAAGTTGTGGAATATTTAGACTTTGCATCCTTTAAAAAAAAAGTGTTTAAAGATCACATCATCTCCATTAGAGGAAATTTCTTTTGCGAAGATAAATTACAAAAGTAGGTATTAACATATTGCCCCCCCCCCACCCATCCATTCCTGGAAAAAAAAAAAGAGTTTACCCAATTTAGTTTATATAGGTCTCTCTCAAATGACGTCATTTCCTACAGACCAGCCACGTGCATCTGCATTTTGAGCGTCAACTTGCATAACGCTCATCAGCTGCATCGTATTTCGAGTAAAAGGCACGCGTGTTTGGAACATTTTCAACACTGCGCAATACTTGCTTGATTGCGTGAAATACACAGTGGCAGTTCTACATAGATGGCCGTCATTGAGAGTGACCTATATTAACTTCCCCTTTTCCTCAGTTCCTTGTAAAGAAATTGAAGCTTTGTTTGGAATCACAGTTTTTACTCTCCCTTTTCAAAACCTGGCTATAACCCTCTTAAAAACACCAGTTGTTGGTGACGTCCATTCTGAACTTTGTACCTAAACCCCTCTGTGTATGTGTGTATGTGTCATAGCTTTTACTGTAGTCCCAAGGGACAAGACTTCATATCTCCAATACACCGCTTGTAAGTACCTGTAAGAAACAATGGAACGGTCTGATTTGTGTTTTCTGTACGCACTCTCTGTATGTGCATTTTCGAAGGGGGGGGGGGGGACTTTTGAGAGCGTAGTGGTCGAGTGCTTTTGACTTCGGATGACACGTTCAGCAGTATCATGCATGCGCCTCTGCATGTTACACGTTGCACTTTGTTCTTGTTTCCTTCACATTTGCATGATGCACGTTCTTCAGTGGTTGTGTCTGTGTTCTGAACAGCACTTTGTTTAATTTTATTTTCGTTTACAGTATCTTGATGTATGCGTACCAATGAATAGATGGTTTGCAGATGATATCAGAATGATGAATTGAGGATATATCTTATCTTCACACATACTTGAATCATCGATCTTGATTGGTTGATCCATGGCAACAACAGTGTGATATTTATACAATATTGGATGACTTTGAGGGGATACAAGAATATGTTGCACGAGCCATAACATTCGACTCGTGCAATATTGTTAAAGCGAGTACAATATATTCTTGTATCCGTGAAAAAAAAGCCATCCAATGTTATTATTATTTATATCAGACTGACTTGATCCACAAAAAATAAATTTTGAGATACTGTCTTTATTCCTCAAATTATGTTGAATATTGTTCGCTTACTGAGCAAATTTTGCATCGCTCGAAGCTGCCATTGTGGTGTTGACAACAAGCGCATATATACCCTGCTGCATGCTGTGTCCGCGTGCGACAGTACTGCGTGCTATGCTGTTGACTGGTTGACAACCGTGAGTTTCTTCACCCTTGATTGTACAGGAACCAGTGAAATTTGTTAAAATGCCCGAATGAGGACAATATGAAAAATAATATTGTCCGCAATCCAGGTACTTTTACTTACATAATATTTGCAGTCATCTGGGTTACTTTTCACGAAAGCATGCAATACGCTGATTTCTTTTTACCACTGGAACCCTGATATAAATAATAATATTCCATATATCATGGTCCATCCCTATGTGCCAAGATGGCTGCCTAAGACAGTCGTCATGATTTTAGTACCATGCCTGCAAACCATCTATTCAGACTGTGATACGAAATCTACACTTAGCTTCAGGTATTTAGTACAATTTAATATATTGTTGTTTGATTTTGATTTAAGAATTTATTGAACGGAGCATGGATAAGGATTCAAAGGAAATATTTTTGTATGTACACATGTAAATATACATGTACCAGCAGTGTTAAATTTTACGTGCACTTTTGTTAACATATTTGTTCACTGGCCGTACATGTTATTACTTAACTCATTATTGTACAGCACATTGTGGCGTTGACAAATCTGAGCACGTGAATTCTGCACATTTATGGGACACTGTATTTATGGCTGTACTATTGTGGCTGCTGATTTTTTTTAAGGTAGAGTAGATCATTTGCAGCTATCCAAAAAGTAACTGACCAAATTATTGTTATAAACAGGGGTGTGAAATCTCAGCTTTAAAGCTGATTTCAGCTTTTTTTCTTTCGGATTTCAGCTTTTTTCCCTCGCTTGTTGTGTACAAAAGTATAGGAGATTTCCAAAGTTCAGCTTTTTTTTACACCTTTTCCAGCTGTTTTCAGCAATTTTTATCAGTGGTCATCTCACACCCCGGTATAAAGCATACTTGGTTTAAAGATAGTAATGGCACTAAACTCCCTGTGAAATGATTCCTTCTGGCATGCTGTCATTTTGAAGAAAACAATTACAGAAGGTCATTTCCAAAGATGTGTCAAGTGACGCATTTTTGGAAATTTCCGTTAGTAGTTGGTTTGTAATTGGGCGAATCCATGAATGGGTGCGCGCAAGCGTTGACTCGACGCACATGCGCACGCACATGCGCGCACAGTTGCTCTTATTCGTCGGTTCAGTGTGTGACATTGCGTACATGTAGCTGCAATCGGCTGAATGAGAATGTGTTCCGGATACTGATTTCGAGTGCAATTCAAAATTTGATGCGGCAAATTTTGAAATGAAATCGTGATCTTAGAATATTGTTTTCTCGAAATGTACAACATTCACAGAGCTAAAAGTTCATCAGGATTAGTTAAGCACCCGTCTTTAGATTTTGAGCACTTTCGTTGCTTCAAACAAAAAAAATGCACCAGTGACATATGATCTACTCTACCTTTAAATAACCACCACATCGTTACGGTAAAATATGCAGTGTCACATACATTGTACATGTGAGTGAATTTAGAATGTGCTCAGATTTTGTAAAATGGGCTGTGATTTCATGTACATGTACAGTGTTTTGAAGTTAAATTTCTTTTTTGTTTGCGTTAAATTTATTGAAGTAGCTCATCACTTGACCATTGTGTGTGTATATACAACAGTTTCTGACGTTCTGTGTGTTATTTGTTTATTTATTCATTTGCAATGTAAAGCACATTACTTTACTCACAAAGGAGCACATTATTTTATTTACTGTGTTATGTTACCAGAGATGTATGTGTCACTGCAGCTGTGCACTTTGTGCTTCGTATTTATCATTTATTGGAATTCTAATTCATTGATAATTCACTATCATCAGTTTATAAAGATAAGATTTCCCAGCAAAAGATTGTTTAACCCTAACCCCCGGAGACCTTTTGGCTAGGAACCATCCTCAAGCCCGGTTCATACTCGAAGCGAACGCGAATTTGTGACGTCACGGCAAGTATTCGCACTGCGAATTCGTAAAAGTTGAACATATTTCCACGAGGGCAAATTTCACAGCGAACGTGCCATGACGTCAAATTCGCTTCGCATTTGCGTGAAGTATGACCGGGCTTCAATCCTGCAAAATCCTCCAATTGCTACCAAGTAAAAATTGGATTCAGCCTCAATCCTCCAAAATTGTCTGTTATTTCTTGAATTTGTTCAGTGGAGCAGTGACCATTGCCTCAATCCTCCAAAATCTTCCAACAACACTGTTAAAGGGTTGAGGCAGTGCCGATAACATTCGGAAGAAGTGAGGGTGATATCAAGCATAATGCAGGGCTCAATTATGCATGACTGAACATAAACAATGCTGGGTACAACCTACGAACTCGACACAATGCATGCATCCTCCAAAATCAACCGACACTATTTTGCCATTCAACCTTATTCCTCCAAAATCCTCCAAAAGCAACAATCTACCATGTTGTGGTCGGTTCCTATGATTTGATAGCTGTTACTTATACATCTTTGGATGACACATGTGCCATTGAGTTGGTCAAATCAATTATATTATGACAATAATTTTAGAAAAATGACCATGTTTCATAATATTATCAATGTCTTGAGGCAAAATTGAGAAAAGATTGAATTTTAAGTGTTACTTTCGAAATGCAGTTCAGAACTGAAGCAACTACCTAAAAACGTTGTTGATATCACAGAAATTGATATCGCAAAATATTAAATTTGGACCTCCATGAAAACAGGGGTCAATTTCATGGCCCTGCTTACCGTTTGCGGGAAATCCCTGCTTACTGTAGTGCAAAATTTGATGCTAATGGTTAGCATATTTTCACGGGTCATCAAAACAAGGCCCATTTGAATGAGTGTTTAGTAGACAACTTGAGCTAATTTGTTATAGATTGGGGCATAGCGTTCTGCCACCTTATTGATAACCAGAAAAGAAAAGGGCAAACATAGACTTGACTCATGCGCTTACGAAACTACTGACCGTAGAAAAATATCAATTTCAAAAGATGCGCTGCAAATTTGTCGACCATCTCCTAAAAGGCACTAGGAAAGATGAACTCTCTGTGGCAAACTCTTGGTGGTGCACTGCATTGTGATTGGCCCGTATTGTGTGCTAAGCAGAGCCAAAAAATTGGGCCCTTCTAAAAGGTTAGAAGACGGCACACAAACAAAAAAATGGAAGATTCGGTCTCAGCTGAATTCTCAATAATTTCAAAAGATCCCTTTACTTTTTAATGATCCTTCCCGTTCCACTCTGAAAGCTAACCCTGGGCCTACCTGTGTCAATTAACCTTTGACCTTTTTATACCTTTGACCTTTAACCTCTTGCTGCTCAGCTATTAACGCCTCCAGGAGAGGAGGGGATGTGTCTGTATCACAGGCCACACAGCGTAAGTATACCAGGCTAGGGTCAGAGGTCAAAGAGCTGCTAATCACAGATCGCTGTTCAATAGCTTCCCATTGGTTTTTTGGTGAACGGTTACTAACCAAAATTCTGCTAAGCAGAAATAAACGCTGCAAAAAAGAAAGTCCACACTCATTGGAGGGGTCATAATTTTGAATATGATCGTCTAATGATGACGTCATTTGTATGGACTTTTGGGGAATGTTGTTAGCTACAGTTTGATATGCCGTTTGCTATCAAAGACTGTAAATCGTCCAAGATTGACAATGGTTTATGAAAAACGATGCAGTTTGAATATTGCAAATTTAGAGACTACGCAAAGAGAAATTGCTAGGCGTAACCACACATGCCCATAATTGGCGCCTATCGACTGTACAGTGCCGAAAACAAAGTGTGGTAATTCAATTCGCGTGCTCTTGCATGCAAGAGCTGTGTGATCGATATTTCCGGCATTTATTTCAGGCAGTGCCACATTGTCACGCAGCAATTTCTACTCGCGTACTCTTTAAATTTACAACTTTTCAAACTGCATCCTTTTTCATAAACCGCTGTCAGTGTTGGACAATTTACAGTCTTTGATAGCAAGTGGGATATCAAAATGTAGCTAACAACATTCCCCAAAGGTCTATATAAATGACGTTATCATAAGACAATCAGATTCAAAATTATGACCCCTCCAATGAGTGTGGATTTTCTGGGGGTTTTTTGCGGTGTTTATTTGTCATAAAGTCTTAAAAGTACTTGCAAATTGCTTTGTGCCTAGCAGCTCTTTCTCTGCCTTGTGGTGTTCTGACTTTTCTTCTGGAATACCAGTTCAAGATTGTTTTGTCTTTAATGGTGACTGATGTTGCATTCTGTTACACTAAGATTTGGGAATTTCATTATTCACACATATTCCTTAACATGGATAGATGATATAACCTTTAAAAATTAGTGCGGTGGTCTTCATGTGCATAAAACACCAGCATAACACCTGCTGAATTGACCATTATCATGTTGCGGCCATCTTGATTTTTTCCCCATTCAAATCAACGTAACCAAAGCAAGGCTGGAAGGAAAAATAGTCTGGTTCCTTTTTGCACAGAAAACATTATCATTCAGTACTTTTATTGGATACAGGGAACATGACTGAAATGGTGGCAGCATGATAAAGGTTGATCACAATATATCTTCCACATTTTTTTTTATAGCGTACTGCACAGTTTAAGTTAACATCAATGTTTTACCACTGTGTCCGGTGATAATAAAAAGAGTGCAGAACATTAGTTTTTAACCAGGAAAGTTTCATGACACAAAAAGATACAACCAAGAAAGTTACATCATTTATTGACTACATGCTCAAACTAATGAGGGCACTAGCACTGGGTGCATTCAATTAGCTCACCTGGGTCAACTCTGGTGAGCCCTGTGCCGTTCAGTTAGCCCTGACGTCATTCTCGGGGCTCACCCGGGTCAGCCACCACAGACTCTGCTAGTGGAGCAAAGTCAGTGGTGGAAATAGGTCACATGCATGCTTTGTTCATTCCAAGAAACAAACAATGTGGCAGCCAGACAGCGGAAAAGCTCAAGTGAACCAACAGATGAACTTTATTTAAAGTCTAAACATAATTAGTTATTTATGTCATTGCGACTTTAAAGGCTATAATTCCAGCCCGACGTTGTTACTGTTTGAGATTGACGGAAAAGCAGTAGATCTGAAAAGTAAGACTCAGTCCGAAGAAGGGCATTTTGTCAGTGTCTACGGACGTCACGTGAGCATCATGATGGCCAACGTTTGAGCGTTCGATTAGCCTGGCTGCCGTGGCTAACCCGTCTGCCTTTACTTGAGTTGATCCGGGTGAGCTACTCGCATGCACCCACCGAGTATTAGTCAATGGCACTTACACTTCACTGGTCCTCATCCACTGGTCATTCATTTATAATAAGAAATCCAGGCGAGCATACCAGGGAAGACAAGCGTTAGCCTAACAGGAGCTATACAGGCTGGTTCCTGACTCCTCTATGAATGTGCAGGACTTCACAAAGAAAGGGGCAGGAACCAGTCTCAAAGTGCAAGCTCTCGTGCTTGTAGAAGGCTATATTATCTCACTTTTAGGTTGCGCCGAAATTATCTCGCTACGGCTGGCAAAAAATATGTGTCTATGTCAAGTGGCTTTAGCTGGTTCCATAGGCACATGCGTAACTGCAAGCCATTGCCAACTTATCTGGATGTGGCCTGAGAATTTATGCATCAGTTTTGTAGATGGAGTTCATAGTCTTACATACTGTACTGTACAAGTAGAGCTATCCAGATGTCCCTGTCATGTAGACAACAGAACACATCAGTCACCATGAGGGTTTTTACTCACCCTTTTCATGTTACAGTTCATATTACTATATCTCATACATATTCACAAGCGAAAGCAGAATTCTTACTGGTCGATTCCAGCTGTGCCAGCCAACAGTTTTGCTATGTACCAGCACGCTCATGTTGAGTCACACGGGCAGTGCGAAACCTCATACCTATTTGACTATCACACGGACTACCCCTCCGGGTGCGTGTGATAGTCTACTGCGATCTGATACACCGTGCCCTCTGGAGACGTGCACACAATAGGGAACAAAATATTGTATACGTCTCCACAGGGCAATTTCTATAGATGAATACGTCTCCACAAGGTTTTCACGAAATAGATATATGGAGTTTACTCAAAAACTAGGAATTTCCAAGGTGGGTTGATCGTCCCAAATGGAAGAGTTTCAGAAAAGGGATATTAAGTCCAAATTTCAACCAAGGAAATTAATTCTGGTTAAAATAAGAGCATTTTGAAACTTCACTTTCAAACTCGAAAACCTTACTACACGAGAACAAAGAAATGACTCCACAAGGATACAAATTTCAGTATGTCTGCTTGCATATTATTAGTGACCAGTAACAGTGCAATAGTCAGCTACGCTTGCATATTATGGATCAATCATGGAACTATTGCACGGGGTAGTGCGCATGCACAAACATCACCCTAACTAGCTACATGAACAAATGATGGTGCACGCACAGCAGTAGTTTGCCGAGATAACTCATGCGTATTCAACAGACTTTTTGTGAATAGGTATGATGTATAGTAAAACAAATACAACATGATTTACTTCGGGTGGATAGTCGAAACTAGCTCTCTGAGGTATTGGAAGTTGCATGACAAACTAGTTCCCTTGCTTGGGGAACTAGTTTGTCAACTTCCAATACCGAGGGGAGCTAGTATTCAAATAAACCATGGTTTGAGGTTGATGGTCCATATTGGCTCCCTGAGGCATCGAAAGTTGAAAGACTAGTTGCCTCGCAGAAGCTAGTCTGTCAACTTCCAATACCGAGGGGAGCTAACATCGACTATTCACCCAAACTAAGCCATGTTTTACTTGTTTACTATACCTCATACATATTCACAAAAATTTTATGAAGTTACGTATAAGTTTTTTTTGGCAAAATGATGTTGTGCATGTGCCCCGTTTTTTTTTTCATGCGATCTTCGCACGTGCACACTACCCCTGTGTGCTAGTTCCACAATTGCTTCGTAAAGCGCATGCGTAGTAGACTAGCCCACTGGTAACCAGTGCGCTTGTCTACTACGCATGTGTATTTAACCTGTGTGAGGAACCTTGCGTGCGCGCTTGGTAAACAGCAAAACTGGCGTCTGACACTTGATGGTAAATGGACCCAGTGAGAATTCCGCTCTCGATCATGAATATGTATGAGATATAGTAATGTAATATGTAAATATTTGTACACTTGTACATAGTAGAGATCTGGATGATGGTCAAATACATACATTAACACTTGTTATCAACATTGTGGTAATCTCTGGCTAGTAACCATGGAATCATGAGTAGTCAACCTCACTTCCATTTCTGCACACTTTTTTTTATTTAGTATTGCAGCCTTGTTTGCTGGCCACAGATTAATTAGAGTTCCTTGGCCAGAAATCTGTTGGTTGCTTGTTTGTGTATTTTGTATTAATATCTGTACAAAATTTCGACTGTTGATATTGGTGTGTATTTTGTGTGATTTATTCAACTAACAATCATCATTTTTGTGCCGATTCAAAGCATTGGCATTAAAAAGTGATCACGATTATTGATAAACTGAACAGATACAGCTGGAGGAAAAGAAGCTGTGGAGGAACTTTGGAAAAGAGATATTAGTTAAAGATGATATCAAATTCGCTTCTGGTCACTTCAGCTTAAAGCTACAGTCCATCATTTGCAGCTATCCAGAAAGTAACTAACATAATTATTGTTGAAAAACATACTTGGTTGAAAGATAGTAAGGGGACTAAACTCCCTGTGAAATTATTCTTTCTGGCAAGCTGTTAGTTCAAAGAAATCAACGAAAGGCCTTTCCAGCGGTGCGTCTAAAGACACACCGTTGGAAATTTCCATTAGTAGTTCGGTTTTGTTATTCAGTAAAGCGCGCGCAAGCGTTGACACGATGTACATGCGCGCGGTTGCTATAATTTGTCAGTTCGTTGTGCAACATCGCGTAGCTGCAATCGGCTCAGTGAGAACGTGTCTCAGACGCTGAATTCAGGCCCAATTCAAAACATGATTCAGCAACTTTTGATTTGAAATCGAGTTCCTAGAATGTTGTTTTTCTCGAAATATACAGCTGAAGCTGAGCTGAAACTTCATCAGGTTAGTTGTTCAGCACCCTTCTTTAGATTTTTAACACTTATGTTGCTTCAAACGAACAAAATGCACAAATTACAAATGATGGACTGTACCTTTAAATACAATCGCGGGGTACGGTCTAATTTCCATTTACCAATGATGACAATGTATTCATTACTAAATGATATTGTAAACCACATGTAGAGGTAATGTATTACTTCATGTATATATTGGCAGTACGTGTTAGATCTTAAGCGTGTTCTTCTAATTAAGTTGTTGTTGCTCAGTTGCTTGTTAAACTGCTAGAATACCACTAATTCATGCTTGCAAATTACTAAACACATCTGACAACTTCAGTGGATGCATGATGTAACAAACTAATTGAAGATCCATTAACTCTAACAAACTCCCTAGGCATTTTTGCTAGGATGCAACCTCAATCCTGCAAAATCCTCCAACTGCCTCCAAGTAAAAAATTGCATACAGCCTCAATCCTGCAAAATCCTCTGTTACTTCTTAAACATGGTCTTTGAAGGAGCAACCACTGCCTCAATCTTGCAAAGTCCTCCACCAATCACTGTCAATATGTTGAGGCAGAGCCAGTGACATCCTGGAGCAATGTGTAGGATTTCAAGTATAATTGGCCTTAAATTTATGCACGGCTGTAAATGCACTGGTTTGGAGAATTGTTACATTTTTATGGTCTAACAAGTTGAGTAACAACTTCAAAAGAAGTGTACATGCAGAAAAGCATTCTGAAGCTATGAAGAGTTGTGAGGTTTTTTGGTTTGTTGTCAGTTTTGATATTTTCCTAGAGTTTAAAATTTCATCAGTTCCATTGAAGCTTGGTTCAGAGTCTTTTCCACTGATTTGCTGTGATTGACTTGATTTTTTTTTAAGTCCATTCTGAGTTTAATAGTTGCTAAGACAGTCTTTGAAGAATCTTAAAATCAAAATTGTTGTAGTCATATTGTATTCAAGCTAAGTGATTGCATTTACTCATATAAACCATCATCTTGTCTGCACTTTTAAGTAAAAATGTTACTGTATCTTTTAAGTCATAATCACATTACTTCCCGGTTGCTTACTAGTTGATATATTGCCTACTTCTGAAGCAACAGAGCAGTTTATAGATGTCAGAGAATTGTCAGGTCAGGGAACCAGACTAGCTGGCTTGCACCCATTCATGGATGTGTTACCGAATGCAAACAAAATGTGGACTAACTAAATTTGGTAAACTGGGGGCAGTATTTGAAAAAAAATCAGTGTTTTTCCAATGATGTTTTTATTTTTTATTTCATAATAATGTGGTAGTTTTGTTTTTGGATGTTTGTTAATTTTTTATATTTCCTTTAATCCTGTGATTTTTGGGTGACATTTTCCGGCATTAGAGGGGGAGTAACCTGCGATGGACTAGCATCCCATCCAGGGGGAGTAGAAATATTCTCAGTCGTTTCATGCCAAGGAAACCGGAGATAAACGACGGCCTGATTCGCCACATTGGCTAGTGACAGACGTTTAACAGACAGACACTTAATATGACAGTATACAAATATTGAGTGGCTCAACGTGGAATGGGAGGACTTTTCCATTTCACGAGGCGAAGCCGAGTGAACTGGAAAAGTCCAGATTTTACCGAGCGATAATATTCCTCCCATTTCACAATTTAAAGCCACTCAATATTTGTTTTATATAACTGACATATAGATCCTTGTCATTTGATATATTTGAACTTTTATTTCAATAAAAACTGGAGGAAAATGTATTTCTCTCTTCCAAACCACCCCTTCACGAAAATGTTTGAACCCAACGCTGTAGCGCTGGCTCTTTGGAACAATACGCGCAACGCTAAACGCACACACCAGCATGCATTTGCACACAAATACCGCGTCATGGAACAAGAATGATCCTAACTGTTCGATAGTATTTCCCATTCCCCATGGGCGTATGGGACTTTTTGAGCCGCAGTGTGAATGGGAGCAATAACGAATGTCACGTGATGTGAGTTCCACCAATCAAATGACAAGGATCTGTATGTCAGTTATATAATCACTCATGTAGCTCTCACTTGTGCACACATACATGGTAGCGAGTACTTTGTATACATCATATCCCTTCACACCCAACAGATGTACCGTCATCCCAACCAAACTTAACTTCAACTATTTATTACTGACCCATGTTTATTATCACATGGAGTACTTGTACTATACAAGCCAGTAACTGTTTACATCTTGATGGTAGTACTACTACGTATCACGTGTGACTTTGTTACGCTCCAACCAAAGCAGTGGCCCCAACTGTAGTTTGGAAAGTCCCAACTATAGTTTGGGCTGACTAGCGCCCCTTGAATAAAGATATTGACAAATTGGGGAACCGCCAACATAGGGCTGGATACCTCAGTTGGTAGAGCACCGGATGGCAATCCGGAGGTCACAGGTTCAAACCCCCTCCAGTCAATTTTTTTTCTTCAACTTTTTAAAAAATTGTCACAATTCATCAGTTAGTTTCCCTTTGTGGTTCACTTTAAAATAAAAAATGGAAAATATGTAAATTTCCATTCCTTTGAAATGTATGAATATTATAAGACATAATATGGGATGAAACTTTTTGTAATGTGCACTTTTTTAACTGTTTAAGATGTTCCATACTTTTCTTGACAAGTGAGGGCGCTGTTGCTGTGATGTCATTTAAAGTACACAATCTTGAGTTTAAGGGTTTTCTGTTCAAGTCATGACCCTTGACATGCTCATTGGCAACATTTGTGCATGAAGCTTGCTCATTGACTTGACTGTCATGTTCTGACACAAAATGAGTCACCCAAAATCTAAAAATTACTGCAGCAAACAAAACATTTGACAATCTGTCAACTTTTGGTGCTGAAGCAGTTGTGTAACTCTAAAGTTTCTGCCTTGAATGACATCACAGTTTTGCTCATGAATATGCAAATTTGCATTGGTATGAAAACCAAAAAGACACCAAAATACCATTGTAAATAGCAATTTGAAGTTTGAAACTTACATGTAAGTTAAATGGGATGGTGTACTTTTAAGGTGTGTTATATTTGGCCATGGTGTGCATGCAGAGAACAAAGGTCTGGTTTTTGGGCATGTGTCTAAATCTCCCAGCATGCACTGCTTCTGTGACTGATCATTTGTTGACAAAGCATGATCAGTGGCAAAAATCTACTTCCCTGATTTGAAATGACACTCAATGCACTTGCATGTGTCTTGCAAGTTTAAAACTTACTATTTGACTCGTATTGTAAGCAAAAGTGTACTGTAAGCTCCAAGCAAAAACTTATGTCTTGTAAGCCCAAACTTACATCACTTCGTCAATTATGTACCGGTAAATTTTGTATTACAAAAATGTATTTTTGTCTGTGTGTACATGCATGTGTATATATCCTTACTGTTGCAGAATTCTTATTCCTTCAAACCTTTTCTCCCCTTACATTGCAGAAGGCGACAGGGCACTTCCTTCATTACCGCCAGAAAATGAGTAAGTCATGGTCAGAAATTTACTTATTCTAAACATAAAGGGGAACTTCATATACCTGCTAAGCGTTTCTGTATCTGTATGGCTACGTTGCAGAAACTATATTCAGGCATTAACGCAACGGAGTATAGGTACTCAAGGTGCGTGTTACGGGGTGAGTCAATTAAGGAAACCCAAATGGCAGGACCATTTTCTTGAAGTTCTGCATGTAAAATTTTCAAAATCTAGGATATGGAAGCCCAATTTATAAGCGTTCTTTTAGTACAAGAATCATTCAAATCACTCATGTACTTTTTAAGTTACAACATTTTAAGCACAACCACTGTTTTAAAGTTCTAACCCTAACCCACTGGGCCCTTTTTGCTAGGAACCATCCTCAATCCTTCCAAATCATCCTCTGTATGTTCAAATGAAGGATACCCACTGCCTCAATCCTTCAAAATCCTCCAACAGCCTTGTCTCTCAAAATCCTCCTCTTCTTTGAACACCATTCAGCCTCAATCCTCCAAAATGAACCGATACTGCATGTCCATGTGCCCTCAATCCTCCAAAATCACCCAGAGGACTTTTGAGGATTGAGGAAGATTATTATTATTTTTTTTAAGTACATGAAATTTGCCCATAGCAGACTTTTCAACATGTGTGCAGCCCTACCTGTGCATTTATCCCGTGCAATGCACTATTATAGAAACAATTTATATTACAAAGACCTATCACTTGAGTGTGGCTTCCGAGATGCAGCCCCGAGTGGTTGATACAGGTCACATCCTGTGGTGTATTAATGGGTCATAATGCCTTGATTTCCCTGACGTTCGCTTTTCCCATCTGAATGTTGAGTTGTCATGGAAGTAGCCATTGCCTGCATATCTATGTAAAGAGGAAATTGGGCCAGTCATATCACAACACTGCTCATGCAGGATGCTGTCAATCACCAACCAATGCATTGTTTTCCACACCCTTTCATACATGTAGTTCTGTACAACTGTGCATTAGTGACGTATTGGGTCTAATATAGCACAGAATAACACTGCAACAGACCTAATACATAATGACGTCATGCTTTGTTTACATGTGTGATTCATTCAATCGTCCCCACCTGGCTCCCATAGGAAAGAGCACTTGTAAACAAATTGTGATGTCGCTATGTCGTAGGTCTATTATTTGGAGGAAAACAATCGAGTTAAATGCTTTTTCGTTCAAGTTTTTTTTTCATTGAATTGTATTTTTTTGGGGGGCCCTTTTTTGTGTCATTTTTATCGTGGGCATTTAATTGTGTTTCTGGCTGAATTTGTTGTTTTTACTTCACGATTATAATTCTTTGTTGAACTTGTTTGCAAACAAAATTGGAAATGTTTCTCAGTCCCAGATTCATGTCTTTTCAACATTTTTGCAATGACTGACCTTCATTGAGATGATATATGAAGAAGAAAGTGGCGTCAGGTTGCAACATTCTTTCCAGGGTTTTCCTGATTTCAGGATTTTTAAATTTGAAATCTAAAATTTGTGAGATTTACCATCAAGGTCTCTGTACATAGAGATTTATATAGAACATAAGAAATATCTATTTTAAGTGGTGCCTTTAGACAAATACCAGCCTATACCATATACCCTATGATGCTCTGGGGCCCTCTTTTCTTTTGGTATCGTCCAAATGATAACAAACATTCAATAAATGCGTTGTTCAAAAACAAAACAAGAGGAAATGCCAAGCTTAACCAGATTTTATAAAGTGTTTTTCAATTTCTAATGACATATGAGTGAAGTGCAAAACAATTCAATCAGATGATCTGAGAAAAAGTTGCATGCTTGTTGAAAGTAGTTTAAAAAGTGGTTTTATGTGCATTAGCAACAGAATTCAGATATGACACCCACAAGATTGTGCATAGGTTCTCTCAAAATGCATGGTAAATTAATTTAAAAATGTGTCACTCTTCAAGTGAAGCCCTGGAGCTTTTGTCACGATTGTTTAAATGGATGACACTTTTATTTCATCGCCTAATGGTTCAACAATTGGAGATAGAGTAAACCTCTCATCGTCACTGTTCTTGCATTGTGACTGCATTGACAGGTCAAACATTTATAAACTAATTGCTATAGTAAACATCAGCGTGTGCCATCACTGGGAATAAGACAGGAACAACTCCATCAAATAACCCTGGATCTTTTCACCGAGGCTTAAAGAAACATTGGTCATTTGACGGAGGTAAATCAAAAAAGGAAAGAAAGATGTTAGGACCGTCATGAGCATCTCCTTATCAAATCTGTTTGGAGACAAATTGCTTGGAGACAAAGTTGATACTGTACCTCACTCCTACGTGTCTGGCGCAGAAAGTGAATTGTGTTTGCATGAATAAAAGGCACAATTGATAACTGGTGTCTACACTGTGCGGAAACATTACACTTCATTCAAGCAGGACCCACTCCTGAAAACAAAGATGCTTGAGTACTTTATGTAACCTGCTCAGAATGACAAGCAGCACAAGGGGCCCGAGACGGCAATTTGTAAACAGCTACATTAATAGCCAACAGATGTTCGGCAGATTCAGCACATACATGTAATATTTTTGTCAGCAGTTTTGCTACAGCTTTTAATTGAAAAAACTATAGCAGTTGGACAATTAGCAAACAGTGTGGCCAACATGTGTCATAGCCTGAGACTTTGCTGAATCCTGGAAGAGAATTTGTTCTACTTAAAGACGAGCGATGAGATCACCTTAACACGAGTTGGTATTTAATGACAAATTCTACAGTTCACTAGCACTTTTGTGTGTGTGTTTCGCACAAAATATTGCACGCTTATCTTCAGAGCAAATCATCTCTTGTTTTTGGTCATCATGGAAACTACACAGTCATCTTATGAAGGAATAATTGTCACTTCAAACTCAACAGAAGAAAATGTTGAGAAGGAACTCGCATCAGCAACTGTGTTGATTTTGATAAAGGTTTTGGCAGTACTTGCAATCTTTCTGTGCATCTTACTGAATCCACTGATGCTTGTCACCTTACGTCGTGTCACCAGCATCCAGCCAACAACCAAAATATTCATGGCTTCTCTCACCCTGTCTGATCTGTGCAACAGTTTATGCGGGATCCTTCCTTTAACAGAATTGTTTGCTGGATCATGGTTGCTGGGGGATTTTCTCTGTGTGGTGTATGGTGTGACTATTTACTTATTTAATGGACTGGGCATTATTTCTCTTTTAATTCTGACTGTGGATCGTTATATTGCCATTTCACATGCTCTGCAATACCCTTCAATCATGACTGTGTTCAGATCAAAGATAATTGTGTTTAGCACATGGGCTACAATGAGCATTCTCTGCATTTTGGTATTTGGGATTGATGGGAGTCGTATTGTCTCACCTTATTGGCCATTTTGCATTGGCCATTTTGACTGGAGACTATATCTATTTTTTACACTTCTGGTTATTACAATTCTATCAATATTCATCCTGTATGCATGCATCGCCCGGATAGCTCGCAATCAAGCCAGACGCATTGCTGCTGAAAACCAAGCAGGCAATGGTCAAGGTGGGCAGAGAATAAACACTAGATCAACCACCACCATCATCATCATAACAGGGACATTAATCATCACCTGGATTCCTACAGTAATCAGGTTGCTGATACCACAAAACACACAGACGCTGTACCTGGCAGGCATGTTCATGAATGTTCTGCTGCTGTGCAATGGCTGGCTGAATGTTATGATTTACTACCTGAGGAATAGGGATCTTCGTCAGGCAATACGTACTTTACTATCTGACTGGCATAGAAGTCTGCAACAAAGATTCTTGCATTAAGCAGTAAGAATATGCGCAAGACAAAACCATTTGGTTGGATGCTAAGAGCAAAAGAAAAAAAAACACATGTTATTCCCTTTGCGTCCTCTGCTAGTACCATAAAAACAAATTGCCAATGTTTTCTGAAAGAATAGAAGGAAAAATGGATACACGACATCTGCTTTGCATTTGAGTTTCAACAGAAACAATTCACTCCATCAAGGAACTGCACTAAAAGCAACGTTTTGGTGGTTTTTTCATTTCCTCCCATCTCACTCCTGCATACGGTATATGGGTGCACCATTAGGGTTGTACACAACTGACACACAATGATGACGTAATACATAGAACTGATATTGTCCATTTGGGTTTTGACCTCAAATATGCCTGTGGTCAGTGCTGTCATAACTTGCCCACTGGGGCTCAGAAATCTTGTGAGTCATACAGAATCCATTTCCAAAAAAACCCTGGCCCATTTGCCATAAGTCATGTCCCCTCTAGTCTGACACCCCTTGGGAAAGCCCCTTTGAAGCAAGGTGTGACATCCTACCTTCTGAATCACGGACGAGTTTAGTTTGAAGGCCAACGGGTGGTGACAAAGATTGTAGTCACTGAATACCGGTCACCAAATACTGGGTTTTCCTGGCAGGAACTACCACTGTGTGTCGAAAAAATTGCTTTCAAAATATCTCTGGAATACAAACTAGTCATTTAATCCTGTGTATCCCCGAAACCCTGCTGTGTTTGTGTATTCATGTCAAAAACCTGAGTCAACATAACGTCCTTTGGAGAAAAATCCTTGTGGTGTGTTTCGTCCGCTTTGCCGTGTACTTTTTTTCGGAAGCGATATGGCTTGGGTCGTGGTGGATATCTTTGATGTGGATTTGAGCTGCGTGTTTGAGGACATGGACTGGATCATGGTAGACGTAGTGGAATTCGATGTGAATTTGTCAGGTCAGGAGGAAAAACTTGCAACATTAGAAAGGGAGCCGAGCGGGTTATTGTCGGGGTAAGTAGAGTACCTTCCACTGTCGGCTGGGGTTTTGGAAGTGTTATTCTTCAGTGACAAGATTGTGAATTCATTTGCAATAACACAGTGCAGTATTCTTACTGCATTTTAAGATTGAACAGCGTTCATGGACCCTTTTACGGATAGATCGGAAGTGTACAGTTACGAAAAATTTCTGCTTCGGCCTGAACAAGGTTGAACAAACTCATCAAGGAAATAGCACGGTAATTTTAGCAATAAAAGTTAGCGAAAGTCGTGTTCATTCCATTTGTGTATCCAATTTATTCAAAACCCAGGATAAAAGATCGCGAGTGCGATAGCAAATTTTCCGCAACGTGCGCGGTCACTTGACTACTTTTTGCGATCAATTTTTCCTTTTCGGCTTGGTGTCGTTGTTAAAGAAGCCATGGGACTGTTAATGCTGTGGAATCGTCATGGATCGCTGGTCGTGGGTGACATGAGAATGGTTGCCATTATTTGCGATGCCGCTTGTTTTACGAGAATCACATGATATCTCAGTTTAATAATAATAATTATATCGGAGTCTTATATAGCGCACGTATCTACCAACAATTAGGTACTCAAGGCGCTGGAGATATGTCTATTATTAAAGAAAGGTAAATAAAGTTTATGAGAAATATGAGACCCATTATGTAGCACCTTATAAGGGTTTACAAGGTGCTGCGGCGCATATTGCAGCCACTGCCAGAAACACCGGGGCAAACCCCTTCTCTTAGCGATAAGTGTTACTGGGTTCTTTAACGTGCATTACTCAACACACGGGACCTACGGCTTTAAGTCCCATCCGAAGGACGAAGCAATAATGGTAAAGTGCCTTGCTCAAGAGCACAAGCACCATGTTCCCACGGTCAGGATTCGAACCCATGTACCACGGCACACGAGTCAAACGCCGTAACCATTGGACCACAGCACCCCACTTGTGACCTGGGCATTATTGTTCTGCTTGATGGTGACGGTTCCGGAGCAGCGCCAACAAATCACAGGTCCACCTAAGGCCGGCTTACGAGATTCTATCTTCAATCTGACCGAATACCTTACAAGAAATGATGACATGTTTTTTATGCTCTCATTCAATAGTGTGCTTGTTTTATGCTTGTCTTTCCAGCCAAGAAACTGTGGAGAACTACACTGAAGTCAAAGTCAGTACAAGCAGGAGGAAACACATAACGCAGTCAGGTAAATGGCAATGTAAAGTCATTCTTTCATTGGAGTTTATATACAGGAGTTGATCTTTTCGGTCGAAATAGTGAGGTGTCAGGAAACGGCCGGCAAATTTTGGTCCAGAAGACCTCCTTTTGGGGTGAACTTAAACTTTGATTAGTATACACAGATGATATAGAAGTACTGCATGCCACATCTTGCGAGGTTTAACAGTCATAATAATGATGATAATAAACATTTCTAAAGCGTGCATCGATGTGAAACCCCATGAGCTGACATGTTTAAAACAAAGAAAGGAAAGCCATGAATCAATAGACTTTAAGAACAGTTTTTAAATGATCACATGTCCCTGATGCCAACTAAATATAAAATCAGGTTTCAACTTTATGAAACTTAACCTACAGTAGTTCACTACTGGGTGAGTCAAAAAGAAAGTGACTGAATTAGAAAAAAAAAAATTTTGAAAATATGTGGCTCTCTCTATTTCAGAAAAATAACACGGGGATTAAAGAACGTGTTGTTGTTTGGTAACTGTTAAATTTTCACGTAATTTGCTTACTCTATTCCCAAGTTATGTCTATTTTAATAAAAAGATCACAAAATTTGGCTGTCCACCACTGATCATTTACCGTTCTGATCAATACCCATTAAATACAATGAAACATGGACGTTTTCCCACCTCCATGAATGAACGAAAACTTGCAAAGGAAACCAGACAGAAATCACCACCAATATTTCAGGAAAAAAAATAGTTGACTTATTCCTCATATTCAAAACACAAAAAATCTGACAGTAAAAATATCATTTCAGTCTTGACTCAAATGATTCCAATTTCATTTGTATTTGAATGCCTGTGTGTAATAAATCAGTTTTTTTATGAGGCGGGGCGAAATTGACTTGTGCAACTGGTGGACAATCACATTTTAGCAAGAATTGCATATCAGTCACTGGTTCCAACCACTCTTTTTTCCCTGGTCTCCAGCCCTATCGGATGACTATGCAGAGATAATAGAAGACGATGACTATGCCTTACCTGCCGCCAAAGACTATGAGATTCCTCGGGACCAGGTCTCTTTAATCGCTACCATAGGCGAGGGACAGTTTGGCGATGTGCATAAAGGTGCCTTTAAAGATGAGGTGAGGGAGGATGCGTCCTGACTTGTGATTGACTTGAGATTGACTTGTGATTGACTTGGGATGGAATTGTGATTGACTTGCGGTTGACTTGCAGTTTGATTTGATTTGATTTTGACTAGCAGTTGACTTGCGAATGACTCGTGATTGACTTGAGATTGACTTGAGATTGACTTGAGATCGACTTGAGATTGACTTGAGATTGACTTGAGATTGACTTGCGATTGACTTGCAGTTGACTTGCAGTTGACTTGCGAATGACGCGTGATTGACTTGCGATTGACTTGAGATTGACGTGTGATTGACTTGGATTGACATGTGATTGACTTGAGATTGACTTGTGATTGACTTTTGATTGCTTGAGATTGACGTGTGATTGACTTGAGATTGACTTGTGATTGACTTGAGATTGACTTGAGATTGACTTGTGATTGACTTGTGATTGACTTGCGGTTGACCTGCGATTGACCTGTGATTGACCTGCAACCTTACTTTCTAATTTTATTAGCCCATTTGTTGCATATAGTACTACATTAGCAGTAATTGTTAAATTGGACTGTTCAAATTCATGTGATGTAGCCAAAATCAGGCAACAAGTCAAAATGAGTTTTACACCAGTGTGATTGTACCGTAAGGGGTCCAAATCTGCTTTTCCCATCCAAAATTGAGCTATTTGTTGTGATGCAATTTAGGAAACCTGTGGGATTTCATCAAATTTAGTAACAGTTAGAGTTAATTTAACTATGTTTACTTGTCATGCTTGTACAAGTTTGTGTTCTTTAAAGGGAATATACAACATTTGCAAACATCGAAAAATAAAACTACCACGTTTTTACGAAATACCTTACTAGGATGTTGGTAAATGACAATCTCAAGCATCTTGTAAAATTATGGCACCTGGTGTGAAGTCATTTTCGAGAAAATTGTATTTTTGTATACATTTCCAACGGTTGTCGGCCGACCAGCGTTGGAAAAACCTAACTATTTTCAACTACTGCTCCAAATTTACCATTTTTTCAGTCCAAATTTTGTTTGCTATTGGTTTCATGTTCATGAACGGGTGCAGGCCAGCTAGACTGGTTCCCTTGCCTTACAATTTTCCATCATCTATAAATTGATCCATTTGATCTTTTGTGGTGTCAGGGAACCAGACTTCTTGAACATTTTTGTTTTTCTTGGTTTTTCTAACCTTTTCGAACACAAAACTTCACAAATGTCAGTGTAACAATATTTGATTTATTATACTAACCCCTTGAATAGTTCATTACCGAAAATTACAGCAAAAGCCAATGATGTACATTCCCTTTAATGGTTAACACTACATTGTGTCAAATTATTTTCAGGATGGTAACCCAATTGAAGTTGCCATCAAAACATGTAAAGTGGAGAGTACAGAAACGCTTGGAGAAAAGTTCCTTGAGGAAGCATGTAAGTATGAGGAAATAAACAAGAACAATTTTTTTAGGAACAAACTAAAAGCCCTCTCTGTCAGGCCATGGGATAAGTTTTTAAGCAGCAATTTGATATCAGCACAATTTGGTCTCTACCCTCACCGACACCCATTTATACACCTGGTTGGAGAAATGCAATTGAAGTAAAGTGCCTTGCCCAAGAACACAAACACCATGTTCCCATTGGAGTTGGAACCCACCTGCCATCACACATGATTAGTTGATCCTTTTTTCAAATTTGGGTTCTGTTTAAAGTTCGGGAAAGTTTCGGAAGGGATTTTGAATTGCTTTTCCACGCTTGAATGTGCAAATGTCACATTCTTACAATGTACTGGCCAGTAATGTATACATGCCGTTTTCATTCTGTTCTAATTGAGATTATTTGTTTGGATGTTACTTCTGTTTTTGTAACTTTTTACAAATCTTCCTTTTCTTTGTTCAGATATCATGAAGCAGTTTGATCATCCTCACATTATCAAGCTGATTGGTGTGTGTACAGAGCCTCCTATCTGGATTGTGATGGAGCTGGCACCATTCGGAGAGGTACGTTCAACAAGCATTCCGGTCAAAGATACTATGACAGAAACGTGCCTTGAAGATTATTCTTGGGGTCGAGTATTTGTCATACACCCAAGCTTTATCGCATTTCAGCTTAGATTCTTTGGCAAACAGACGTAATCAAATATCATTATCCTTTTTCAACAAAACCCTTAAACACACTGATCTTTTTCGTGAATTCTTTCCGCCTCAACATACTAGAATGCTGCGGAATAAACCATCCATCCCTGAAATCCGTTGCCGAACAAAACGTTATTATACCAGTGCGCTTCCTACCTTAATCAGATTGCATAACCAATAATAATAATTTTAATTTTTCGATATGTAAATTGTAATGGACATGTTTTTAACAGTATGCTTTGCACACGTGAACTGTAAAAGTCATTGTTCGTGTTTTAATGGTTTTTTGTTTGTGTGTGTAAATTGTAATGGTGATTGTTGTCAAATAATTTGTTGATTTGGTGTTAAATAATTTATTATTTTGTTAAATCCATTGCAATTCAGTTTTTAACTGCGATAATGGATTGAAATAAACCAATATGAATGAATGAATGAATGAAAGAGTTCAGCCCCATATCTGCAAATATCAAACACGTTTTAGTTGATGTTGCTGAATTCAAGTACTGGCGCCAATTTTAAAATGCTGCTAATGTGTAATTTTTTTTTTCAATCAGATGCGAACATTTCTCCAGGAACATCTCTCTGAACTGTGTCTGTCCAACCTCATCTTATACTGTTATCAACTCAGTACTGCACTCTCGTATCTGGAGAGCAAGAAATTTGTACACAGGTAAGGTATATCAACGGTCAGTATTTGTCATAATGGTCAAAAGATTCAAAAACAAAAAATTCACAACTATCTGCATATTTTTGTTTGTAATAAAAAATATATACAGTATGTCCCCAAAAACTGTCCGTCTGACTATTTTTGAAATAACTACTAAATCACGAGGTCAATTTTGAAAATGTTTGGTTGTGCAGATACTCCTAAGCCTTGGCCTAACCCCTATGAGTTTCATCGAATTTCAGTCACGCATCACTGCACAATTGTCAATTGAGCAAAACCACATTTTTGGACACTGTAACTAAGTTCCTTGCCTTAATCAAATTCAGTGCTGTGTTATGTAAGCTGTGTAAAATCCTGCATGTTGTGAAAAGGGCTACGGTTGGGATTGGAATCATCTGCCTGGCTATCAGTCATCATGGCAAGACCTCAGTTTAATGCTCAAGGGCAAATGATTCCAATTTCAAACCATGAGGCCACGGCACTGAGGTTGTGTTTGCTGGTTTGTGTTACATTGAGAGCTCATATGAAATCTTTTCCATCTGATATCAATATTTTCCAAAAGACACGCACATTCGTTCAAACAGTCTGGTTAGGATGCGTTTGAAAGTATTCTATGTAAGGAAATAAGTAATAACGTGCCAGCACTAGGAATTTCACGAGTATTTGTTTTTACAGCCAGTTATACAAATATAATTGAAGCTGGTTAATATCTGATTGTTATTTTGTTTATATAGGGATATAGCTGCCAGGAATGTATTAGTTGTTGCCAAAGATAATGTCAAGTTGGGAGATTTTGGTCTGTCCAGATTACTGCATGACCATTCATACTACAAAGGTGAGTGGTTGTTGTCATGAATGTGTTTTTGTTTGTTTGTTTTGTTTGTTTCTTTTATTTTCTATGTTTTGAATGGCTTGTAATAAACACTACATCAAAGGTTAAGATCAAGAAAAAGTATTGCTGCAATCAATTTCGTCCACTTTATACAATTTTCACAAAGTGGCGTTCTTGCAAAATGAGACAGAACTGGGCAGAGGTCGAAATGAGGGTGTGCAGGTGTTAGGAAAGAGTATAAAATTCTCCTTACAATACTGTTTGTTGCACTTCAATTGGATGTTCCATTGACAAGTTATAGCTGTTTAAAAATGGCTCTTATCGACAAGTCAAAAAGTAAAATACTGAGGAAAAGGCCTTTAATGTTTCAACTTTGTAGTCATGCAAATGAAGTTTGCCAATTGGATTTTCTTAAAAACACTTTAATTCCACAATTTTTGTCTGTTTCTTTTAAATATGTATAGTAGACATGTCGAATGTTATAAATATCCATGAATCTGAAAATCAGGGAAAAAGTTGCCCCTGTTTAGTTTCTTGCATTTTTTCCAATACGGCCTGTGTCCAGTTCCGTCTCATGTTGCCAGAATGCCTCATAGAAGTCTTTTCTTTCTATCAGCCATCTTCATTTTGTTTGAATTAATTGGGTTAATGATCCACACCCGAAAAATAAGTAATTATAAGCATTTGGATCACAGTTTAACACGCAATCCCGGCTTATCACAAAAGAATACTCGTACTTACAATGTACATGGAGTACGGAAGTGCGCCGCCTATTCTGTTCCATGTGCACAGCTTAACCCTAACCCACCTCACTCTTCCAAAATCCTCCTGGCGGTTTTGGAGGATTCTAGAGGATTGAGGATAAATGGTGATTGAATCAAATGAGGATTCTGGAGGATTGAGGATGAATGGTGATTGAAGCACATGAGGATTTTGGAGGATTGAGGATGAATGGTGATTGAAGCACAAGAGGATTTTGGAGGATTGAGGATGAATGCACTTTGAGGCAGGACTGTCTGATGATTTTGAAGGATTTGGCGTTGGTTATCCTTCAATTAAACACGAGTGCACAGTTTTGGGATGAGGAGGATTTTGGAGGATTGAGGATGAATGCATTTTGAGGCAGGACTGTCTGACAATTTTGAAAAATGTAGGCGGAGTTGCAAAATTTTGGAGGATTTTGGAGGATTGAGGATGGTTGTAAGCAACAAGGGCCTAGGGGTTAGGGTTAAGTGTTTCAAGACATCAGCAGGCGAACCAGAGTGAACCAGAACAATGACAGCGGACGTCACATTTGGGTACTCTATACCGCCTTTATACATGCTCGAATTCCCATGCGGAGCATTATTGTACTGGTATACTGGTTCCTGCCACCAATCCTTCAAAATCCTTGTGTTTCTCAAAACACCATTCATCCTCAATCCTTAAAAATCCTCCAAAACCACAATGAGGATTTTAGAGGATTGAAGTGGGTTAGGGTTAATGCACATGTGCTGTTTGAAATATTTATTTTAAAACAAGGGCGGGGAGGGGCAAGCATGGAAAAATTAAGTTTTTGCGAAGTCTGTGAATTTTGATTTCTCACTCATTGTGTATATGGTTTTTCCTGTTATTTTTGGATTATTCATTCATAAAAATTGATGTCCTTTCCCCTTTTTTTATTGCCAGCTTCCAAAGGCAAGCTACCCATCAAGTGGATGGCGCCGGAATCCATCAACTTCAAGAGATTCACATCGGCCAGCGATGTCTGGATGTTTGGTGAGTGGCTTTCCCTCCAAATAGTGACTGTGATATGACATTGTATGAAGTCAATGCGAGTGTGAATGAAGCTTGTGTTCTTGGGCAAGACACTTTACTACAATTGCCTCTCTCCACCCAGGAGTGTAAATGGGTACCTGTGAGGGTAGAGACAAGAATGCACTGATCTCGAGCTGCTGCAAAAACTGGTCTCATGGCCTGATGAACAGGGGTAATAATTGTGATGCGCTTTGAGACCTTTGGTATAAAGCACTATATAAGCACCACATTATTATTCTGTACTTCACGGAGATAAATAGTGCTAGCACTAATTTTAGGAAAATGTCTTTATGTGATTTGATGTTTTTGGATTTCATTTCAAAAAATAAACTTGTCGTTTTGCTGTTCCTTTTCCCAGGGGTATGTATGTGGGAGATTCTCATGTACGGTGTCAAGCCATTCCAAGGGGTGAAGAACAACGACGTCATTGGCCGGATTGAGAACGGCGAACGATTGCCTATGCCTGCGGGCTGTCCACCTACCCTGTACAGTGTCATGACGTTGTGCTGGTCTTATGAGCCGTCTAAGAGACCGACATTTCAAGACCTCAAGTTGAGACTACAGTGAGTACATAAAGGCAAACTGTGAACCACTCTAACAAAATGAGGAATAAGTCTCAAGTAGCTCAAAGTAACTTTCTGTTTACAATTCAAGCGATTCACAATGCAGTGTGCTACCAAGAGTCTGCCACAGAGAGTTCATTTTTCCCAGTGCATTGTGGGAGATGGTCGTCAAATTTGCAGCGTGGGACATTTGAAATTGATAGGTTTTTTTTTTGATAAGTAGTTTCGTAAGCGTATGATTGAGTATGTGTTTGCCCCTTTCTTTTCTTTTTATCAGTATGGTGTTTTTTGTAAGGCGGCAGAACGCTATGCCCCAAAAGGAGCTCAAGTTGTCTACTGACACTCATTCATATGGGTCATGTTTTGTCAACCGTAAACTTTTTAAAAAAATTGGATTCTCCATGGCAAACTCTTGGTGGCGCACTGCATTATGAATCGCCCGAATTGCTTAACCAGTTGGCGCCGGGATTATTTTGACAAGAACGGAACGAGGCGTGGGATTACTTTTCACTTGACCTCAAGCCAGGCGGGTTGAAGCCCTCGGGCAGCACACTCATATTCCGCTCGTTGCGAGCGGGTCGCTGACAGATATTTCAGGCCTCGCTCCCTGTGTGTTTATCTGTCATCCGTTTCGAATACCGCAAAACCTTTGCGGGTATACACGTCATCCGGCCCGAACTGGTTAAGATCTACCTTTTTGCAAATACAAACGTATACCATAGACCCTATGTTGCTCCGGGCCCTCAGCGGCCCCCAAGCCCTCTGCCAATTATTTCATGAATTGTCTATTTCTCCTAAATCTCACCCCTGGTATTTGACCTTTGATCTGTGACCGTTGACCCTGTAGTGAAATTCAAGACGAGGAGGTCGAGCAGCAGGAATCGTTGATGAAGCAAGAGAGACGACGAGTTGCATCCACCTGGGGCTTCCCTGTCAGTGAACACACTGAGGAACCACCGCCAAAGGTAACTAATACTGCTGCCTAACGTCAAGAAAACTGTACACGTTTTGCTTTAGGCCTCCAGGCCCAAGTCCATCATACTCCAATCAATATTTAGTCAAACCAGGCCTGCAGGACCAAGTCCCCTAAAATCTACCAAACTGGGGGGGAGGGGGGGGATTTTGATGGAGTTGGGGAGGTTAGGTTTAAACAGTGATTGTTAAAGGATTTTGAAGGATTGAGGCAATGGTCACCCCTCCACTAAACAAATTCAAGAAATAACGGATGATTTTGGAGGATTGAGGGTGTATCCAACTTTTACATGGTTGGCAATCGGAGGATTTTGATGGATTGAGGATGGTTTCTAGCTAAGAGGGCCTTGGGCTCTGGGTTAAAAGGAACAATTTACAAACATCAAAAAGCAAAACTACCAAATTAGTATGAAATACCTTACTGGATTGTTAGTGAATGACAGTTTAAAGCATCCTGTAAAATAATGGCACCTGGTGTGCTGTTTTTTTTTACCAATTTTTTATCAATTTCCAACACTGGTCGGCCGACCAGCATGGTAAACAACTGGCTTTTTTCAGATACTGCTCCAAATTATGATATTTAGTTCCGCATTTTCTTTGCAATCAATAACACACCATGCAAGCCAGCTAGACTGATTCCCTGACCTTACAATTCCTGACGTATATTAGTTGCTTTGTTACATCTTAAGTGGGGTCAGGGAACCAGGCTGCAAGAACATTATTTTTTTGCTTGGTTTTTCCAGCATCTCCGAACCCAAAACATCAAACAAGTCAGTGTAAGAATATTTTCTATAAAATACTAACCCCCAAATCCATCCATTTCTGAAAATTACAGCAAAAGCAAATGTTGTATATTCCCTTTAATGTGTAGTAAAGTGACGGAACATTTTCATTAGAATCCTTTGAAGTAAACCCATCTGCTGACTGTATTTTCGCTGTTTGTTGTGACAGCCTTCGAGACCGGGCTTCCCAACCTACCCAGGGACCAGCAGTCACCCACCAACCTCCATATATGAGGCTACTGCCAATCACTACGCAGCCACCAGTACAATCAAAGGTCCGTACATGGGCCATAAACCACCAGAGGAGATGGCTGCTATGATGGCTAGCAGAGCTACGCCAGATGAGGTGAGTACTACGGACTCCTTGCAGACTTGTATTCGAGTCACGAAACATCGAGTCCAAGTCCGAGTCCGAGTCGCATTTCTCGAGTCCAAGTCTGAGTCCCAAGTTTTCCAGGTCGAGTCCGAGTCACGAGTCACAAAGGTCGAGTCCAAGTCCGAGTCACGAGTCACCTCTGGAAAAACGTACATTTTAGTTACATGCAACTTGCATGTAACGTTACCGAAACGGGCAGATCAGCAGACTATTCATATCACGTTATCGCGATGCGACAGCAATACACGTGTGAACGACAGGACCTCTGACAAGAAAAGTCTGGTACCTTACCCTATCAATCTTGCACCAATGCAGTATTACGTGCGGACGGCGGGGTACAATTTTCGGTACATTGATTTCTTTAATCAATATATCGGTAACCAGCCATGGCCACACACGCACCGCATCGAGCGCCCTGTACATGTATTGCACAGTAAAGAAAACGATCGACTTACGTATATCATGTGCGCGTGTGCAGTGCGGTAATTTCCGTCGAGTCACAAGTCAGTTCGAGTCCGAGTCCGTAGCCCTGAGTCCGAGTCCGAGTCGTAAGTCAAAGTGACTCGAGTCCGAGTCCAAGTCATTAAAATGTGACTCCAGTCGGACTCGAGTCCGAGTCCGAGTCACGAGTCATACAAGTCTGACTCCTTGTATGGACCACAGTCAAATGCACGAAACAGTGCTGACATACAATGTATATGCCATATGTGGCATGGGTTGCGCAGTGCGTAAAGTGCTCCCCTCTCACGGCTGTGGCCCGGGTTCGATTCCCGACTTAGTTCATATGTGAGTAGTGTTGTTCATTGATTCTCTCCTGTGTCACAAGGGTTTTTCTCCGGGTTCTCCGGTTTTCCTCCCTCCGCAAAAATCAACACTTTCGATCCATCTGTGCACTGTGGTCAGACATGGGTTTAATGCTGCTGCCTAAGGCAGCTTTACATGCCTTCAGCAGGACCACGTTGTAGCCGCGTCCTTCGCAATTTAGCTTCTGCTGTGAGTAAGGACGATTAGCCCCCTCTCCCTCATATTGTAGGGTTTACACAATAAACTTGCGATAGATTTTACAAAACGTGGCATAGCTGCGTAAGGTCTGAAGTCATTTTTACATCTCGGAAGAGGATGACCAGCTTAACAACGGCTGCCTGTGTACGATTTCTGTTCTTGTATCAACTTAGGTAACTTCAGCAACGACAGGCTCCACGATGATCTCAAATAGTTTGTAAAACAGTCCATTTTCAGCCGCCATGCCATTACTACGCCACCTTAAATGACTGCGTAGGGGAGGACACACCGCATGCACACACAGTCATACTTTACATAACTCTCTAGGACAAGGCATTGTATTTCACTTTGTCCCTATAATATAATCCCAGACTAAGCACACAAACTCACGCTTTCAACATTTCGAGGACAAAAAAAGAACCTGTTGTTCTCCCTGGACACCTGGACACCTTCTTCCGATGCTTTCGGACAATTATAGGTGGTGCTCTTCAACATATCACAACACTTGCAGGAGGTAAACAAGGGCACTCGTGAAAAAAAGGTGCTCATAAAAAATTACACTCATGAAAGAGGGCAATCAATAGAAAATATTGAGTTGCAGTATAAAATTCTCGTCCCGTTTTCACCATCCCGATTTGCTTCCATCACCGTCCCGATTTTGCTTTTCAAATCTCCATCCCGTTTGCAATCTGCCACTCTCACCCCCCCCCCCCTTTCCCGGTTCCCTGGTCTCAATTAAGGTATGGTATTCTCACTTCCAGGAACGACAAGAGATGGAGAGGGAGCATCAGGAACGTCAGGAAGAGATGGCGCTGAGCGAGATGCAGAGAATAGAAGACAAGATGAGACAGCAACGGCTAGACAGTGAGGCTGACTCCAAATGGCTGGCAACCAGCGCACAAGTACTGGTCAGTATACAGCAGGGCGCCAGTCAGGGTTGTGATAAGCCGTGTCCAGTACGCTTGGCTGTGGCTAGCAGTAACACCACGGTTCCCAGGCACTCTGAAAATCAGGGAAAACCTTAAAAATGAGTTTCCATTTTTCCAGTCGGGGAAAACTCAGGGAATTTGGGGAAAAAACACCAAAAATCAGGGAAAACCTCAGGGAATTCAGCAGTGACCTAGAACAAAAAGGTATTTGCCAGTTTGGCGTATGTGCGTCTTGTTTAGCATGTTTAGTGTTTATGCAGTGTGAATTTTATCAGTTAAGTTGCTGTGCTGCAACCACCCCCTGACTTCCCAGCAACCTTGCTAGAGTGAAATATTTCTCATGGAATTTTGGCTATTTCTCAGAGAAATATCAGGGAAAACTCGGGGAATTTTGTTTTCAAAAAGTGCTGGGAACCGTGACACTACTCCATCTGCTTCCATAGACACATATGTAATTGCAAGCCAAAATAAACAGCCAAATAATTCCGAGGCAGCCATTTGGTGAAATTCGGAAGGGCTGCTTAAGTGCTCATTATCTTCACAGTATAATGCTAATAAGAAACTTTCCTAATTAATTACAACAAATAAAACTTGTAACTAAATTAAAACATATCTATGGTTTGTAATTCATTCTGGTTCATTCTGGCAAAATGCAGTTTGCATTTCTTTATCCCTAAACCCCCTATGCCCTTTTGACTAGGAACCATCCTCAATCCTGCAAAATCCTCCAATTGCTACCATGTAAAAAATTGCATTCAGCCTCAATCCTACAAAATCATCTGTTATTTCTTGAATTTGTTCAGTGGAGGGGTGACCATTGCCTCAATCCTTCAAAATCCTCCACAAATCACTGTTAATGGGTTGAGGCAGTGCAGATGACATTCAGAAGCAGTGCGGATGGTATCGAGAATAATGCAGGGCTCAATTATGCATGGCTGAACTTAAACAACGCAGGGTACAGTCTACGAAATCGACACAATGCATGCATCCTCCAAACTCAACTGACACTTTCTTGCTATTCAGCCTCAATCCTCTCAAATCCTCCAAAATCGCCTGGAGGATTTTGGAGGGTTGAAGAAGGTTAGGGTTAAATAAGGATCTCGTCTCATGAAATGAATACGTCTTTGTGGTTATCTTTCAGAGACCGGACGTAAAAGAAAACGACTTTATTGACCAAGACAGCAGACAAGAGGTTAGTGATAAATTTATTTAAAGATGCACTGTTCATGCTCTTCGAAATATTTAATTGTTTTTTCCTACAAAATTTCAACTTAATTTAGAAGTTGATCAAAGCAAATTGACTGGACCCGTATATGCCATGTAGCCAGGGATCACGCCCAAAGTCATGATGCTAGCAACATTAGCAATGCTGCAAACCTGGGAAATAGCAAACGGGGATCACTCAGAGAGGATACAGCTTTCTATTCCAAATCATCAAACTCATTCCATCTTTATGAATAGTTAATGCGGTACCCGCTGCTGTGTACATCAGATTCGAACCAGCCAACCGATCCCATTAGCTCGGTGGTCGAGTGGTAAGACATCTGCACTAGAAAGCAGGAGGTCGTGGGTTCGAGTCCCACCTGAGTGTTTTTTTTCCATCTTTCACTCGTGAGGTAACACACTGAGTATACAGTGTTTATACGTCGGTGAAGGGCAAAACCTAATTTGAAATCATCAATATGCTGAATGTAGTATCTCGGTATGATGTAACTGGTATGAGTTTTCTTCATTTTTTCTTCCCTAGAATAATTCCTCCGCTCATCAGCCTTTGTATCAGCCCTTCAACCGACCCAGTTCCTACCACCAACCAGCCGGTGAGTTGCTTCATATTGTAACCATTTTTCGGGGGGGGGGGGGGGGGGACTGAAGTTAGAATCTGAACTTTGACTTCCAACGATCTCCCAAAGGACCAGCAGTATGTGTGTTCCCAATGCACATTTTTGTGACATACATATAACAATTTGAGTTCTTGATACATTCTTGCTAACATTTGTAAATTTTTCTTCCCAATTATTTCAATGATGTTGTACAATTCTTCAGACTATCGCAACCCTGCAGTGGAACCAGCCAAGCCTGCTGAGCCTCCTAGGGCTGAGGAACCACAAACCCCACTGCCAACTGTCCAGGTAGGTTGAACAGGGTCAGACCACTCCTTGCAAGCAGGAATTTAGCAATATTTGGATGTGCCAATATTTTGAAAAAGTGGTTTCAGAAAGTTGGTTGAAAATGCTGAGTCGCTCAGTAACATATCTGAGGTGATCTGTTAAGCAGTATATATGTGAGTGTATGAATCATGATATAAATTTCAAGCCCTTTTGTAATGATTTTATGATTCTGGAAGCATTCTTTAACCCCAACAGAACTCAACCCATGAACCCCCAACGGCATGTTTTGTTGGAATCTGTCAGGATGGGTACAGTACCCCTAAACTGACAGTCTTTTACATTGGGTTGGCACACCTCCAGAATCAATATCAGAAATATATGTGTGAAGTTTGTTTCCCATATGGTGTTGGAATTTGACAGGATGGGTATGGTTCCTAGCAAATCATGCTAGGGAGTTAGGGTTAATGCAGTCATCCTACAAAGAGTGATTATGGCAAACTAAGTACCCAACAAATAAAGAATCATTTGAAGTCATTCTCAATGATACTTGAATGGGAAATACAAAGTTTTGAGTTAACGGGGACAGGCAAAAATGTGACACTTTGGACCCTTAATTCGTCACTGACACCATGAACTGACTTTCAGTTGCGTGCGAGTGCCTGGCGCGCGTATGTATTTTACAGAACTGCATTATTTTCATTTTCACAAACTGACACCCGGCACAGTGTGGCACTGCATGCGCACACTCCATACACGAGCTGACACTGATTTTAATTTCACCAATACAAAAGATCAAATTTTTGTGTAAACCTACAAGTATACGGATGGAGTAAATTCGTTTCAAACCTTTCAAAGCATTTTTCTCCTTTTTGTAGGGCCGCAACATGCTTGCGTGTCAGTTCGTGAAAACCAAAATTGTTCTATTACGCTTCAGTGTCGGATGTGCACCTGGGTGTCAGTTTGTAAAGCTGAAATTGTTATTAACGCGGTTTTCAAGAACTGAATACACTAGCGTGTAAGTGTCAGTTTGTGGTGTCGGTGACGAATTTATAGAATGACCCATATGTTTGGCACTTTGCAGTGAAATAATCGGGTGTTATAAAAATGTACATTGCCCTATACCTTTTGATCAGGTTGGCCCAACTATGGATCTGGACCGAACCAATGATGAGGTTTTTGAGAATACCACCCAGGTAGTGCGTGCCGTCATGGAGATGGTTAACATGGTCCATGCTGTCCGCTCAGACCAGTATGTCAACCTAGTCAAGGTCAGTGTGTTTGCTTGTTTGTCCAGTCACTATTAGTACCCAGGTAGTACGTGCCGTCATGGAGATGGTTAACATGGTCCATGCTGTCCGCTCAGACCAGTATGTCAACCTAGTCAAGGTAGGTGTGTTTGCTTGTTTGTCCAGTCACTATTAGTACCCAGGTAGTACGTGCCGTCATGGAGATGGTTAACATGGTCCGTGCTGTCCGCTCAGACCAGTATGTCAACCTAGTCAAGGTAGGTGTGTTTGCTTGTTTGTCCAGTCACTATTAGTACCCAGGTAGTACGTGCCGTCATGGAGATGGTTAACATGGTCCATGCTGTCCGCTCAGACCAGTATGTCAACCTAGTCAAGGTAGGTGTGTTTGCTTGTTTGTCCAGTCACTATTAGTACCCAGGTAGTACGTGCCGTCATGGAGATGGTTAACATGGTCCGTGCTGTCCGCTCAGACCAGTATGTCAACCTAGTCAAGGTAGGTGTGTTTGCTTGTTTGTCCAGTCACTATTAGTACCCAGGTAGTACGTGCCGTCATGGAGATGGTTAACATGGTCCATGCTGTCCGCTCAGACCAGTATGTCAACCTAGTCAAGGTCAGTGTGTTTGCTTGTTTGTCCAGTCACTATTAGTACCCAGGTAGTACGTGCCGTCATGGAGATGGTTAACATGGTCCGTGCTGTCCGCTCAGACCAGTATGTCAACCTAGTCAAGGTCAGTGTGTTTGCTTGTTTGTCCAGTCACTATTAGTACCCAGGTAGTACGTGCCGTCATGGAGATGGTTAACATGGTCCGTGCTGTCCGCTCAGACCAGTATGTCAACCTAGTCAAGGTCAGTGTGTTTGCTTGTTTGTCCAGTCACTATTAGTACCCAGGTAGTACGTGCCGTCATGGAGATGGTTAACATGGTCCGTGCTGTCCGCTCAGACCAGTATGTCAACCTAGTCAAGGTCAGTGTGTTTGCTTGTTTGTCCAGTCACTATTAGTACCCAGGTAGTGCGTGCCGTCATGGAGATGGTTAACATGGTCCGTGCTGTCCGCTCAGACCAGTATGTCAACCTAGTCAAGGTAGGTGTGTTTGCTTGTTTGTCCAGTCACTATTAGTAGCCAGGTAGTGCGTGCCGTCATGGAGATGGTTAACATGGTCCGTGCTGTCCGCTCAGACCAGTATGTCAACCTAGTCAAGGTCAGTGTGTTTGCTTGTTTGTCCAGTCACTATTAGTACCCAGGTAGTGCGTGCCGTCATGGAGATGGTTAACATGGTCCATGCTGTCCGCTCAGACCAGTATGTCAACCTAGTCAAGGTCAGTGTGTTTGCTTGTTTGTCCAGTCACTATTAGTACCCAGGTAGTACGTGCCGTCATGGAGATGGTTAACATGGTCCGTGCTGTCCGCTCAGACCAGTATGTCAACCTAGTCAAGGTCAGTGTGTTTGCTTGTTTGTCCAGTCACTATTAGTACCCAGGTAGTACGTGCCGTCATGGAGATGGTTAACATGGTCCGTGCTGTCCGCTCAGACCAATATGTCAACCTAGTCAAGGTCAGTGTGTTTGCTTGTTTGTCCAGTCACTATTAGTACCCAGGTAGTACGTGCCGTCATGGAGATGGTTAACATGGTCCGTGCTGTCCGCTAGTCAAGGTCAGTGTGTTTGCTTGTTTATCTACTGAGAGTTCACAGTTCCTGTGTGATCAAAGCAGCAATTAAGGCTGTGCTGAATATACGGAAATTGGAATATTCGATTTTCAACCAAATAGCACGTTTTCAATTCTAATATTAGACAAAATATGAGCAGTCTCGTGGAGATGATAAAAAACGTCCACGCTGTAATTTCAATCGTATAATTTGTGCGGTTTAATTGTTTGTCACACGCCAGTGTTTTATCAAAAAGCCACTTTTGTGCATGATTCAAGAGCTTCAATGAGGAATTTCAGCTCAAATTTCTTCTTTAAGTTTCTAGGGTGGTGGTTAGCGACCACCCTGTGCACCAAAGGATTAATATTTGTTGAGCAACATTTTCCCAAAATCACAACTAAACCAAGAACCGAAGGTTTTTATGATTTCACGTTTTAGAATTTTTTTGGTTACAAATTGATTGCTATGAAACTGGCCATAAGTACATTATACATTCAAAGTATTTTAATCCTAACCCCCTGTGTACATGTATTGAGGGCTCTGGCATTGATATTGACAAAATGAGGAACCCCAACATAGGGCTGGATGGCTCAGTTAGTTGAGCACCGGCACGGTAATCCAGAGGTCGCAGATTCAAACCCGGCGCCAGTCAATTTCTTTGTTCAACTTATAAATTACATGCATAATTGTTAGAAATCAGTTTTATCTTCAGACTATTTTGCCTTGCTTCGATCTTTGGATGTTTAGACTACTTCTTCAGACTACTTTGCCTTGCTTTGATCTTTGAAAGTGGGGTGCTGTGGTCCAATGGTTACAGTGTTCCACTCGTGTGCCGTGGTACATGGGTTCGGATCCTGACCGTGGGTACATGGTGCTTGTGCTCTTGAGCAAGGCACTTTACCATTATTGCTTCGTCCTTCGGATGGGACGTAAAGCCATGGGTCCCGTGTGTTGTGTAATGCACGTAAAAGAAACCAGAAACACTTATCGCTAAGAGAAGGGGTTTGCCCCGGTGTTTCTGGCAGTGGCTGCAATATGCGCCGCAGCACCTTGTTAATCCTTATAAAGGTGCTACATAATGGGTCTCATAGTTCTCATTAACTTGAGGGCCTCCATGGAAAGCAGTGCCTTGCACTGATCGGAGTTTACCCTCATTAAAGATGACGTAAAAAAAAAAAAAAATGTTTACTGTTTTTCCTGATTGCCCAGGATGTGGGCTTGTCCCTCAAGAACCTCCTAGCCAGTGTAGACGGCCTGTACAGCTCCTTACCTCCCCAGACCCATCGCAGCATCCAAATGGCTCACAAGGTGCTGAGCTCAGACATGGCCGAGTTGATCAACGCCATGAAGCTAGCCCAGCGTTACGCCACCACCACTCTAGATCAGGACTACAAGAAGGGGATGCTGTCTGCTGGCCACATCCTGGCAGTGGATGCTAAGAACTTACTGGATGCTGTGGACACGGCGCGGCTCAGAGCTCAAGAAGTATGATCTGGAGGGGGGGGGGAGAGAGGGGGGCATCTAGGCACATTTGTCAAACCTCCGCTTTGTCTTTTGGCTTTGGCTACATCCATGGATCTCATACTGAGCTTGGCTCCCCCACGTTAGAGGCCGGTGGTTACTGTGTACAAGTATCCCTTAACAGTTGCAAAGAATAAGTTGGAAGGGGACCCTTAGAAGGACTTTAAAGCGTCACCGATGGTGCCTGACGCTCACAGGTTTATGCACATTTAGAATGTTAGTTGTGCGTACTTCACGCCATACTCAAGTGAACCAGCAGCATGGTTTGTCCCTCCCAACAGGTCTCGTGAGTGGCGCTAAAGCGCCCTCTACATTCATGCATAGAGTCAATAACCATGGAATTTGAACCAGAAGCCGAAGAGCAAAAATCTCCTGAGCTTCTCGAAGGCCCCCTAAAAACACTGAATGCACATCGCAATACAAGTGTATAATAGTTATTCAGCTTTAACTGACATACGGATCCTTGTCATTTGATTGGTGGAACCCACATCACGTGACATTCATTATTGCTCCCACTCACGCCGGGGCTCAAAAAGTCCCATTCGCACATGGGGAATATTTCGAACCCTGGTGATTGTCCAGATTTTTGCAGAAAGCTGCAAAGCAGAAAATGTTGCTTGACAAATTGTCATGCAACACCTTACAATTAGCTGGGGAAAAAAAAGTCACAGGAAATATTTGTCTGTTGATACTATTTGGCTGGTACAAGTTCTTTGCTGAGCAACTGTGTGTCACTATAAATAGGGTGCTTAAAAAGGGAAAAGTGGCATTACATATTGTGTCTTTGTACAAAATCACCAAAGGGGTCTGAAAAGTACATGTATATAAATGTCTACATTTACAAAACCTGTACATGAATACTGCACAAAAGTATTACAATTTTACCTTTTACTTTGTTGGTACATGTAAGCAAATAGTGGAATAAAAAAAGTATTGTACAAGCGGCAAGAAAGTTTCTGTAATCTTGTTGCTTTTTTATGTATTGCTGCATAAGCTTGTAAATCTTGTCATTTGGTGATGAAATTAACGTTGTGTTTAGTTTTGGCAAAATTGGTGCTCCAAGAGATTTTGTTGTGAAGGGCACTCAATTCGGAGATGTATTAAATTATTACAGATTTTTTTGTAAAAATTAAGCAAAAGCGGTGTTCCTGTTATTATTTAGATATGTTTCAGACAAATGTGCCTATACACTTTTAATAAGAGAAAGAAATTGACACAGTAAGTAATCAGCAGTGTTGCTGAGCTGATCCTGATAGTAGAAGTGACCAGTTCAACTATAATCAACCAGTATAGGTTAGGGTGAAGAGTTTCTCACTGAAACGGTACTCAACGCTATTCCAACTGTTATTTCTATGGGTTATTTTCATTTGTGTGGTTAGGTGAGTTTCTGCATTTTGTGCATCACTGATTTGGTTAAAATGTAATATACAACATTTGCTTTTGCTGTTATATTCAGAAATGGATGGATTTGGGGGTTAGTATTTTGTAGCAAATTATTGTTACACTGACCTGTTTAAAGTTTTGTGTTCATGGATGCTGGAAAAGCCAAGAAAAAAATGTTGTTCTTGTAGTCTGGTTCCCTGACCCTGACAAAGTGGAGCAATTTATAAACCTCAGGGTATTTTCAGGTCAGGGAACCAGACTAGCAGGCTTGCATACGTTCACGGATGTGCAACCAATTTCAAACAAAATGTAACTGACTAAAGTTGGTAAGTATGGGGCAGTATTTTTTTCCCAAGATGGTTAACAGGCCATCGTTGGAAATGATACAAAATATAAAATTTTCTTGAAAATGACAGCATACCAGGTGCCATGATTTCACAGGATGCTTGAGACTATTATTCACTTAAAGTCAAGTAAGTTGTTATATAATAATTTGGCAATTTTGTTTCTTGATGCTTGCAAATGTTGTATATTACCTTTAATTCGTAGGTTATTCAATTAAACTGTCACTGGTTTAACTTAAAAGATATGGTGAGGAGTTTTTACATACAAACATCACAATCCTTTACCAACAGGCCATAACCCCATGATGAACATGCACACAAATTGAGTTTGAAATTGCCCTTGAAAGAATCTTTAGTTCAGAAAATATGGAAAAAAAATCTACTGTAAATAAAATTAAGACGGTTGTGTAAATATGTGTTGAATATTTTGCAAAGTGCCAATGTTACTGAATGTTATTTTGAAATTGTTAATGGAAATCATGATTCGGGGGAAATTTGGACTGAGCGATTGTACTCTTTTGGCCAAAATGATTAATTAAATGTTGATACATGTATCTACTTTGTTTACCACATGCCTTAGCATTCTGGATTTGTTATAAATCAGTAAAATTACTAAATCCCTGGAAAGTAAATGATCTTTACAATAATGAAACAAGTATATTTAATCCTCTGTTTATAGAAATCTAAGAAAATGAGATGAAAAGTTTTGTGGGTTTCGTTTCAGTTTTACATTGTAACTTATTGAACTTAGAAAAATATGATGCAATAGAGGGAGATTGTTGATATATTTCTTTTGTCTTTTGGAAAAGAGTTTTATTCTTTAAACCCCTAAATAGCACACATATTACATGTAGAAAACTTGTATTGCTAACATGTATTGTTTCTGCAACAGGTATTATTTTTATATATTGCGGAACTTAATAGTCTGTTACTATGGTAATAGTGTGGGTGGCACAAGTCCACAATATTACCAGTTATATGAAAAAATGTACTAGTCTTAATAGGGATACAATAAGTGTTAAAAGTAATATGTTTTTTGGTGGTTTTTTTTTCATTTCTTTTTTCAAGGGAATTGAGTTTGATTATAAATGTACAAGCCGTAACGATGAATGAAAACAAAACTTGCACTTGTGCATTCAATGAAATAATTGTACCATAAACTGCATAATACACTTTTTTATACCAGTTTTGCACTATCAAATTCACGACACAAGTAGGGTCCGTGTTTGTACAGTGCACATGCAAACATCCTTGTTTTTGTTTTTGTTAAAGCTGGTCTATAGAATTGGAATGCAGACTTAATTGGGCATCACAGTAAATTCACAGCAAAATTTGCTGGAGTTGAAATATGTTAAAACTGTTATTGTGAATTTTGGTTGTGGAAAAAAGTTGGCATGATATCACAAATTGCTTTTGTGTCAAGAATGGAGCAACCTTAAAACAAAGTGCATACATGAAAGTCATGAAATAATATAGATCCTTTGCATTGCCGCGATGTTGGAGGTACATTGCTTTTATTCCAAGGGATACACATGTGTATATAAACCTTGTTACTAAATATGAAAGTTAAAAATCACCTCCAAACTTAGTGCTCCGTGCAAAAGGTCCATTGACTTTAGGCATATGTGAAATTGCAACAGTACATTACAGTAATATTTTCCCTGTTTAATGATGGTGTGTATTGTACGTATACTTGTACCAGCAATTTCACTTATTTTGTTAAGTACAGTAACATGTATAATACACCGACTTTGGGGTCCAAGCTGGACATAAGTATTATTCTGTAATATCATCATCATGTGTGTGATCATGAGATGGGTTTCTAGTAAACTTTAAAACAAAAAAATGTAAAATGTTTTCTTGGCATTCTTTCAAATGGTATAGCCCAATTCAAAAACTAGTCAGAATACATTAGTCCCAGCAACACCTAACTTGAACAAAGACTTACCTTAGAAAACTGACCAGCCGTTTCTATCTTCATCTGTACCTCTAGGGGCGATCTTATTGCATTGACGGTCGTCCCTAGAGGTACGCGCGTTTCTATCATCATCTGTTCCTCAAGGGGCAATCCTATTGAATTTATGGTCGCTCCTAGCGGTAGGCGCGTTTAGGGCAATGTTGCATTGATGATCACCCCAAGAGGGTTGGCATTTCTATTGTCATCCGTACCTCTAGGGGTGATCATATTGCATATATGGTCCCCCCTAGAGGTACACGCGTTTCTATTGTCATTAGTACCTCTAGGGGCGATCTTATTGCATTTATGGTTGCCCCTAGAGGTACACGCGTTTCTATCGTCATCAGTACATCTAGGGGCGATCCTATTGCATTGATGGTCGGCCCTAGAGGTACGCGCATTTCTATCGTCATCTGCACCTCTAGGGGCGATCTTATTGCATTGATGGTTGCCCTTAGAGGTACATGTGTTTCTATCGTCACCTGTACCTCTGGGCGATCTTATTGAATTTATGGTCACCCCTAGAGGTAGGCGCGTTTCTATCTTCATCTGTACCTCTAGGGGCGATCCTATTGCATTGATGGTTGCCCCTAGAGGTACGCGTGTTTCTATCGTCATGTGTTCCTCAAGGGGCGATCCTATTGAATTTGTGGTCGCTCGTAGCGGTAGGTGCGTTTAGGGCAATCTTGCATTGATGATCGCCTTGAGAGTGTTGGTATTTCTATTGTCATCTGTACCTGTAGGGGTGATCATATTGCATATATATGGTCGCCCCTAGAGGTACGCACGAGTGTTTCTATCGTCATCAGTACCTCAAGGGGTGATCCACTGATCCTATTGCAATCTTGGTCGCCGCTTGAGGTATGCATTTTTGAAACGTCATCAGTACCTCTAGAGGCTATCATTTTGCAATTATGGTCGCCCCTAGAGGTATGCATGTTGGAATCGCCATCAGTATACCTCTAGGGCGACCGTACGTATTGCAATTTTGATCGCCCCTAGAGGTATGAGTATTGGAATTGCCATCAGTACCTCTAGAGGCGACCGTATTGCAATTATGGTCACCCCAAGATGCATTTTGGGATCCTCGTCAGTAGCTCTAGAGGCGACCATTTTGCTATTACGGTTGCCGCTATTGTTATTTGTGTTGGAATGGCTATCAATACCTCTAGGGGGACTGTTTCGCATTTATGGTTGCCCCAGAGGTATGGATGTTGGAATCGTCATCAGTTCCTCTAGAGGCGACCGTAATGCAATTACGGTCTCCCCCTAGATTAATGCATTTTTGGAATTATAACCAGTACCTCTAGAGGCAATCATCATTGCAATTATGGTTGCCACTAGCGGTATGAATTTTGGAATCGTCATCAGTACCTCTAGAGGCGACCATTGTGCAATTATGGTCGCCCTTAGAGGTATGCATGTTGGAATTGTCACCAGTACCTCTAGAGGTGATCGTCATTGCAATTATTGTCGCCCAAGATGCAGTTTGGGATCGTCATAAGTAGCTCTAAAGGCGACCAATTTGCAATTATGGTCACCCTTGGAGGTATGAAGTTTGAATCGCCATCAGCATACCTCTAGGGCGACCGTATTGCAATTTTGGACGCCCCTAGAGGTATGAATATTGGAATCGCCATCACTACCTCTAGAACAACCGTTTTGCAATTATTGTCGCCCAAGGTGCGTTTTGGGATCATCATTAGTAGCTCTGGAGGCGACCATTTTGCAATTATGGTCGCCCTTAGAGTATTCACGTTGGAATCACCAGAGTATTTATGTTGGAATCGCCATCAGTAAACATCTAGGGCGACCGTATTGCAATTTTGGTCACCCCTAGAGGTATGAATATTTGAATCGCCATCACTACCTCTAGAGGTGACCACACTTTGCAATTATGGTCGCCCTTAGAGTATTCATGCTGGAATCGCCATCAATACCTCTAGGGGCGACCATTTCGCAGTTATGGTCGCCCCTAGAGGTATGCATGTTGGAATCAGTACCTCTAGAGGCGACCGTTTTGCAATTATGGTTGCTGCTAGAGGTATTCATGTTGGAATTGCCATCAGTCCCTCTAGGGGTGACGGTATTGCAATTACGGTTGCCCCTGGAGGTTTTTTTGAATCGTCATCAATACCTCCAGAGATGTTCACTTTGCAATTATGGTCGCCCTAGAGGTATGCATGTTGGAATCAACACCAGTACCTCTAGGGGCGAACATTTTGCAATTATGGTCGCCCCTAGTGGTAGGCATGTTGGAATCATCATCAGTACCTTCAGTGGCGACCTAAATGCAATTATGGTCGCCCCTAGATTTATGCATTTTGGAATCCTCATCAGTACCTCTAGAGGTGATCGTATTGCAATCATCGCCACTAGAGGTAGGCATTTTGGAATCACCATCAGTACCTCTAGAGGTGATCGTATTGCGATTACGGTCACCCCTAGAGGTAGGCATTTTGCAATCGCCAGCAGTACCTCTATAGGGCATCGTTTTGCAATTATGGTCGCCCCTAGAGGTGCACATCTTGGTATCGTTTTCAGTGCCTCTAGATGCGATCATTTTACAATTATGGTTGCCCATAGAGGTTTGCATGTTGGAATCACCATCAGTACCTCTAGAGGCGACGACTTTATTACAATTATGGTCGCCCCTAGAGGTACGCACGTTTCTATCATCATTACCTCTAGAGGCGATCGTGTTGCAAGTATGGTCGCCTCTTGAGGTGCATTTCGGAATCGTCATTATACAGTACCTCTCGGGGCAACCTTATTGCAATTATGGTGTGCATGTTGGAATCGTCATCAGTACCTTTAGAGGCGATCATTTTGCATTTATGGTCGCCCCAGAGGTAGGCATGTTAGAACCGTCATAAGTATCTCTAGAGGCGATCACTTTGCAATAACTCAAGAGAAACCTCTTATAAGGAACTAAAACTTGGTGTATTGCTTGGTCTTGATGTCGTAAAGATAGATTTAATTTCAGAAGAACATTTCAAACAATAAATTTAATATTAATAAAGTGTAGTAAGAGCGAAAAAATGCAATCCAAATTAAAGTCAACTGTACTTGGAACAGAAACATCATACTTGTATATTGTTACAAGCAATTTTTGTTAAGAGGTATGGATGGTTAATTTCTTATATCTCGTCATATCAGGCAATCTGCATGGAGGGTTTTGTAATACGCATCAGTTGCTTCGACCTTGTAAAATCTAAAAGGTAGAGCCCAAACTATTTTTGAGAAAATGCTGTACACGTGACAAATTTTTTTTTTGGGGGGGGGGGCCAAAAACCCGTAACTTGACTCACATGGCCGGCCCTTTCCCACGCTGTACTGCCTGGCATACCGCCTGGCATACCCGCCTAGTTATTCGAGTCGATCGATTTAAGAAATCCGTCTTTGAAATCATACCCCATTGTTCATAATCATAAATATTGTACACTACACTCGTATCATTTTCTTGAAGGTATATCTTACTAAATCTACCAAGCTCTTTCACACAAGGCTTCCATTTTACGCATGCACATCTGTCTGGCTTTTTCTTGCACTTATAAAATACTTCTCAAAAGTTTCGAAATAAATTGCACATCAAATCTAAACACATGCAGACTGAAAGGTAGCATTGTAATGACGAAATTATTCTAGCTTTTTGAAAAACAACAACAGTAACAAACGATTTATTAAATGAATTTCCATAAGATGCTCCTCATGTAGGCCTATGCATTAACTTTTACAAAGTTGCTCCATCCGTGTGCAACATAATTCGACTTGTTTCTTCCATTGAATTTTCAATGCGTGTTGTATGTTAAAAGAAAATTCTGTTTGGACGTTTTCAGGGTGTTCACCCGCCCTGAATAACTTTTATAATGCTTTCCTTTTGCGCTCATAAAATATATGCGTGAATTATTGTAGAAACGTACGCATATTTGTAAAGTACTTAGCATAACAAAACGTGGGTGAAGTTTTTTTGCCGCTCGATGTCTCTAATCATAAAAGTGAATAACTTTTAGAACAAAGCAAGCTTTAAACAATTTTTTGCGGGTAAAACTCAAACATATTATAGGGGAGTCTCGGAGAGTAACTTTAAAAAGACTGAATCACACAGAAGGAGCAAAAATGGTTTTTATCAAACGCAAGTCTCGTCTGTTTCCGAGTCCGTTGTCTTGACGGTCTGGTACTGAGCTGGGATGGTCTCGTCTGGGTTCTGCTCTAACGGGATACTCGCTTGCTGGGCTTCGGCGACATTCTCCTCTGACTCGGTCATATGAGGAATCATTGGCACTGGCTGGGCGTCCTTCTCAGGTGGTACGCTTTTGGAATATACACCGGCGTTTGGTGTTATATCGTCGTCAAGATACGTAGCCGTATCGAGGCTTTCTTCGGTATTCACAACTCCTTTGTAATAACAAAAAACACAGAAAGAAGCAACATTAGCGGCTGATAAATCTTATCTCACCGAGGTCTTCCGTAGATACCACAGGCAGTCGGTTGACTCGGTTTACATAATGCGTTACTCTTTCTTCAAGCTGTCCCTCCGCACTTACCGTTTCGCGCCGGGTTTATTTTTGCCGAAACTTTCGAAAGGCAAAATTTCCCAGCCAACTTCTGATATACAATCAAACGGCACAAATACTGATTCGCAAGACTGATTTCAACAGTATTTGTACTATATTTCTTGCCGAAATCTCATACTTTTCAGTGGGTGTGCACTGGAGCGTACATAGGCGGTGCACAACGGCCCGCACAACGGTCATGATTGTGTACAAAAGGCACAAGGGATTCAGTAGCGTTTTTAGACTTCGCTAGGAGGCGAGTCAGGCAATTTTGATGTCTTAACCCGTCAGCCGTGCCTGTGTATAAAACAGCCAGTGCGTGTTATCACGGCCTCCGGCGTGAACTAGTTTTAACCCATTTCGGCTTTGTGTGGATACTCATTGATTCCGTAGATTTCAACCCTTCTGTGCGTAGAATACACGAGAAAGTGTATTCGTAATTTAAGAATTCACGAGGCGATAAGCGCCGAGTGAATTCGTAAATTAAGAATCCACACTTGCGAGTGTATTCTTCGACTTAAACCATTGCGTCAACAGAAGTATTGGAAAGAATGCTGCAACCTGACGCCACTTTTTTCTTTATCATCTAAATGAAGGCCATTTGTTGCAAAAATGATGATAAGACATGAAATCTGGGACTGATAAATGTTTCCGAAATTGTTTATACGAAATACTTGAAATGACTCTCCATAGACGTTCACAAGCGCGGAAGTGGCGTCAGCTATAGTTGCAACATTGTTTCCTGACGTGTTTAGCATGTGTATCGACACACAGGCTCCTTACGTCAAAATTGATAGTTCAGACGACGCTTTCTTTCTGACTATAAGTAGATTTTGCAGTGACGGCGGAAAATCTGACAGTGAAGATGCATTGGTAATTTTCGGAAAACAAATTTTCACGCAGACGGTCCTATTAATGCTCATTATGGGGTAAAATGACAGCGCCTGAACTGCTGCGACTCGCACGTCTGTAAGTGCTAAACCAGGTAAGAAAGTCTCATTTTCTTCCTAAGTAGGCCTACTAATCAAAATTACAAAAACCTAGGGTTAACCTCAATAAAAAGACTGTAGAGCTGCAAAATTCATTTTTGAAAATTTTACAATCATCATTCAAAAGTCTTTTTTTTTTTTAACGGAAAAAAGGGAGGTGTCCTTTATTTCGAAGTGGCAGATTTTTGTCGAATGTAGCAGAATTTTCAAAGACGTGGTAGATTTTTTTGTTATTTTCCTCTAGTCACCTTAGGACTGGGAACAAGTCTACTGCGTTGCAATGGCGGCACCTTTCGAGTCGCAGGAAACACACGATCGTGAAACAATCCGAAAGCTTTTCCTTTCCATTGTTCCTCAGATGCTCGAAATTGAAGACCAGTCGAGCAACACAAGTATAGATGCTAGTCTTGACGAGCAAAATGCGAGAAAACGACGCTATGAAAGGCAACAGTGCAGAAGACGTCTTTCATTATCGAGCAAAATGCGAACAATGTTCATCCCGTACACGCTGACGAATGGTAAGTCACTATATACGTGCATAGCCTGTGTGAAGTCATGATGCATTATGCATAGCTAGCCGTACATCATGTACGTGAAAAAAGGATCAGTACAGCCAGTAGCAGTAGTGAAGGAAAAAATTCCGTACTCGGACGTCACTTTTTTCAATTAATTTTCTAGCGCCAAAAGTTACATCTTTTATGGTTATTCCTCCACTTTCCCTCCTCTACTCTCACCCTCTCCTTTCCTTAATTTCTATTTATTAATCAGTCAGTTACTTCATCGGGATTCGAACCTCTGACACTTGCTTGACACACGAGACTCTTAACCGCTAGGCCGCGCACGATCGCTGTTGCAATAATCAATCTTTGGACGTATTTGAAGTATCCATTGAAATAAACTAAATATTCAAGAGAAAATAAATATTCATAATGACGTATTGCACTATCATTGGCAGGCTCATGCGACGTCATGGTTGTTGATGTCACGTGTATAACGTACCGCTGTCTTTCAGCCACTACAATCAGTTTTGACCAGCTGCTTCAAGTTAGTTTTGCACGACGTCTGCATCCAAAATGTGCTCTAAAAACACATTTTGAGTAATTTTTTTTCACCTTAACACAGCTTCCTGGATTTCTCTTGGTTCAAATGACAAGGTGAGGTGACAATTATTAATTAATATGTTTGGCAGCAGATAAATTGACGTCCGAGTATGGACATTTTCCCGTAGTGAAGTTTATATGACCCCTCTAATAATAATAAGATTCCATCATGTCTATCTTTCGTTTTAAAATGAAGTAGGAAAAGACGTCTGGAACCTCAAGCAATCATCCTTTTCCCTTTTTCAAGGTTCTCAATGGCATTTTGACAGAAAATACACCCCTTCTGCCCTTTTTTAGTTGATGTCACGCAAATCATAAGCCAGGTTAGCCACATAAACGTGGCCAATTTACTGGACTACCTCCGTAAATAAAGGCCACACTCGGAACAAAATGTAGAACTTTGTCAAGTTTTGATTTTATATTTAGACTTTGTTTGTAGTTTAGGAAGAATGTTGCAGCCTGATGCTGCTTTTTTTCTTCAGTGAAGGTCAGTTGTTGCAAAAATGATAAGACATGAATCTGGGACTGAGAACATTTTCAATTCAAAAATTTTCTTGACTCTCCATAGACTTTGTACACAACCGCTGAAGTGGCGTCAGGTTGCAACATTCTTTCCGTAGTTTCTTTACACTTTAGAAGCACACTCACCCTCTTGATAATTTTAGCCATAGAAAATTAGTCCTGCATTTTTCAGACGTCTATTTTTCGTGTAATTTCAAGACTCGTTTGCACACGTTTGCGTATCTAAATTCCAACACGAAATTACACGAAAAATAGATGTCTGAAAAATGCAGGACTACTTTTCTATCGCTATAAAGAGTGTGAGTATGCTTCTAAAGCGTAAATAAACTACAAATATAGTCAAAATGTGAAAATCAAATTTTGAAAAATTCTACATTTCTGGGTGCATGTTCCAAGTGTGGCCTTTATTTATGGAGGTAGTCCAGTAAATTGGCCACATTTATGGGGCTACCTTGTACCATAACAGCGGATCGAAAATGGCAGAGGCCTTGAAATTTGGCCTCATCATAGCCGCCAAAATCCTCATAATTTTTTTTCTTCATATTTTACATGTTTTAGTCAGTTTTGTTCTGTTTCAAGTCAATCCTTTGCTTCATGAATGATCCGCTATGTACACTGTAGTTTTGTCTCCAGCGTTAAATGTCAAATTCCCGATTAGCATTGGTGCTGGGGTTTCTCAAGCTAGCAAAAATGTTGCAAAGACATGAATCTGGGACTGAGAAACATTTCCAATGTTGTTGGGAAATACTTGGAAAATTTTCTTGACTCTCCGTAGACTTTGTACACAACCGCTGAAGTGGCGTCTGGATACTTCATTCTTTCCCCTGGAAATTCTAACGCTGTGTTGGTTATTTCTGGATATTTTCAAATTAATGTTCAGAGCAAAGTTGGGGACTTTTTGGCCAATATATCTTCTTGAAATTTACATGGAAAGTGGACAGCCAAGTATAGTCGACCTAGTGTTGGTTAAGCGTTCGCAAAGGTCGCAATTTTAAATTTGTGTGGGCAATTGATAAAAAAAAAAAAAAATTGATAAACAACTTGATTGGTGAATTTGTATTATATAATCTGCATTTAGCCAATTAGCCCATCTGTGGTTTTGACATTATACAGGAGGTTGCCAAAATGTTCACTAATTTGCATAAATTAAAATACAACATTGTTTCCACCCATGTGTAAATAAAAGCACCGTTGAAATGAAACTGCCGTTTGTAACCATCACTGCATTCCACCGGCATTTCCTTAACACCAAACGTTTTGTAAGATCATGTATTTTTCTTTGAACACAGGGATGTCATTAACTACTAATAATGAACCATCAGTTGAAAGACGTCTATGGACAAGGGAAAGAAGTAGTATGTGGTGGGATGTCGTCGTCAAGGAACACTGGACCGACCAAGACTGGATAGAAAACTTCAGGTACGTGAGTATTATCCTCAATAATGTACTTAAACCTGCAACGTTTAGAGACAATGCACCTAAGCACTGTACATACACATCGCATGGAGCTGGCTTGTTTCCGATATATTGATTTGGAAATATCAAAATATGAGCCCAGCGGTCATTCTTGACATTGCGTAAATGCAACTTGATAGTGTTCGGTGCCAGATTACTCCAGAACTGAGTCACTCAGGTTGAGTCCGAGTCATTCGTCATCGTGACTCGAGTCCGAGTCCGAGTCACAGCAAAAGGGACTCGAGTTATTTAAAATTAGCGAACTCATGCCCCAAAGCATTTTAAACAGTTTTGACTGCAATGTATGATTTTGGCCATTTTTGATGTGGTAGTCAAATCAGCCAATACTTTGAGACCGGATATTTACCATATATACTTCCCACAAATACATTACTCAAATTTGAATATATTTCCTTATATATCCTTTGGAACAGAATGACCAAATCAACCTTCATGTACATCTGTGAGAAGGTACGAGATAAGATCACATACCACAACACTAACATGCGTCGAGCGCTCCCCGTGGAGCAACGCATGGCCATCACGATATGGAGACTTGCCACCAATTGTGGATACCGTGTCATCGGTGATCTGTTTGGCGTTGGGGTTTCTACAGTTTGTACCATCATACAGCAAACCTGCAAGGCGTTCGCCTCCTCCATGCAACAAGAATTCATGGTTTTACCGGCCAAGGACAAACTTCAGGTAATGAAATGCAATCAAGTCTGCAAACCCTGTTGTGTACATTATATTGATATTTTGTCTTCATAAATACCTAAGACAGTTTACCCACTCCCATTGGTCGAGAGCCTGTCACATGGCCGGTCTTAAATGGATGATAAAGACATGGCTGGCTGGTCTTAAACACTTTTCCAGCGTCTCATGAAATTTGGACTCCTGTGAAATCTAGTGCCTTTTACCGTTTTATTGGTTGAAGTTATAATCCTCACGTAGGCATGGGCAATACTACCAGTGAGTCAGTATTTCATAGTCCTAAATTCACAACGCACTCGCCACAGCTGCATCTACGTGTCATCGCGCAGTACGTGCGACTCGTGCGCCAATCTCCAAAAAATGAGTTGTTTACGTTTTACTCGTGAGCTGGACACTCCATTATATACATGTAGCTAGAGAGGTGTTTCAAAAAACGGAAAGTAAAATTGTTCAACAAAATTGTTCCATACTAACTGACTATAAAAACTGCCAGCATGCCAGGGGATCACGCAAGTTTCACTTGCAGTATTTTTTTAATCTTACTTTATAATGAAAATTTGTCAGATTTTTCAATGGATTGACAGTTGGTGGTGCATGGTCGAGTTAAAATAATTTTTGAATCAATTTTTATTGAAATATATCCTTCTTTTATCATGATACGAGAGTCAGGGAATCAGGTTGGTGAAGTGGTCCTTTCCTCGCCTTTCACCTCTGTGGCCTTAATTTTGAATCCTGCCAAGGCCCACCTGTGGATTGAGTCTTTGGCCTCAGCCTCCGCGGGTTCCCCCAGAATATTTGTCTTGAGGTTTTCCTCCCATCTCTTTGACTGTACGTTTCTTCATTGTCTTCTCTCTACAAGTTTAGCTTGCAAGCTACAGTGGCATGGGTGCTTTTGTAATTATCTGGCAATTGGCCGGGATAGCCCACGAAAGTCTCTCCACTTATTTCCAGTGGGGTCCTTTGGTAGAAGATGTGGAAGGAAATTACAGTTTTAGTGGTGGGAGGAAAACCCCAGAATGATATTCTAGGGAAAACCCACGGAATCAGGTAGGGACTGAAAACCCAATGCACATATTGGCCCCGGCGGGATTCGAACCCAGGTCACGGCGATGGAAGGTGAGGAAAGTACCGCTATGCCAACCTGATCCCCCCGTTTTGAGGAAGAAAAAAAATTAAATAATAAAAATGATGATATGTCTGTTTGCAGGCCATTGTAGATGGGTTCATGAACGAGCATGGCTTCCCACAAGTCGCTGGGTGCATCGCCACTTGCCACATTCCAATCAAACGCCCAGATTCCAACAATTCTCAGGACTACATCAATGCTGAGGGTAACCCAACCATTATTCTTCAGGTAAGGTGGGTCTAAGGTTTCCCAAGTATTTGATGTTTCCTCTTTCACATGTTACCTCTTATCATACTTGAAGCTGTAATGAAGACAAATAAGCTGGAAAGGTGGTCTGTGGAGTGAAGGCCGACGTAAAAAAATCCTTTCCAATATGGATATTTACGAGGACTCTGGAAAGCTCAGCTCAGCATTAATAATGACTAACATATGTTAGTCCGGTGTCTCACCCAAACTCTCCATTCAACCCAAACTCCCCATTCAGCTGAGAACTGGTACCTGCCAGGTGGACAATCAAGGCCGTCACTGAAAATGTGTCCTTACTAACTGCCTGTACATGTACATGTATGTAAACTGCCAGGATGCCATGGGATCACGCAAGTTTTACTTGCAGTATTTTTTGTTTTCTTTTTAGGGAATAGTAGATCACAAGGGACAGTTCTCCGATGTCAGTGCAGGCTGGCAAGGCTCAACATCTGAAGAACAGATCCTACGACAATCTCCCTTGTATCAACCAATACGTGATGGGGCCCTATTCCCAGACAGTTCAATAGAAATTGAAGGAGAGAGTATCCCTGCTCTATTACTCGGAGGATCAGGATACCCGCTGCTGAGGAATGTCATGAAACCGTTTCCAGGGCAGGATGGCACTCTTAATGATTTTCAACAGCTTTTCAATGAAAAGGTAAAATTTATTGTGATTTAAAATCTTAGCTTTGTCCGTAATGGCTTTCTGGAGAATGGGTCATTGCAAAGTTGGAAAAATAAAATTGTGCATCACCTTGCATTTGGGTTCTTGTGTGTCAAATCATTAGACCATCCAAGATGATTTTCTTATAAAGGTATCGTCCATCATTTGTAACTTGTGCATTATGTTTGTTTGAAGCAGCAAAAGTGCTCAAAATCGAAAGAAGGGTGCTGAACAACTAATCTGATGAACTTTCGGCTCATTGAATGCTGTATATTCCGAGAAAACAATATTCTAGGATCTCGATTTCAAATCAAAAGTTGCTGAGAAATGTTTTGAATTGGGCCTGAAAAATTCAGCGTCCGAGACACATTCTCACTGAGTCGATTGTTGTCGCGCACTGAACCCACAAATTATAGCAACCGCGCGCACGTGTGCATTGTGTCAATGCTTGCGCGTGCTTCGCTGAATAAAAAAAACGAACTACTTATGGAAATTTCCAAAAGGCCTTCTTTCATTGATTTCTTCAAAATGACAGCATGCCACAAAGAATAATTTCACAGGGAGTTTAGTCCCATTACTATCTTTAAACCAAGTATGCTTTTCAACAATAATTATGTCAGTTCCTTTTTGGATTGCTGCAAATGATGGACTGTACCTTTAACTTTGCTGAAATTGTTTTTCGTTTTCGTTTGAAGCTACAAAAGTTTAGTTCAGTGGCTACTTTACGTTTTGAGAAAACAGAAACAGACGCACAAGTTTTTGGGTCCCGTAACTGGATTCCATTTTAAACACATGCCCGTGGGCACACACTCTTGTTTTACTATACTCCTGAGGACAATGCTTTGTGTTTCCCTTTGTCCCAATAACATAACACTCTCCCATAGACCAAGCACACGAACCTACTACAGAGGACCGTTTTGAACAAAAGACCTAACTCCCGACGACTGAAAGGATCTGTTGTTCTCCCTTTGTGTGTCTGTCCTCGGAGGTTATGTAGAACACATACACACTTTTGTAAAACCACCCACCGTCAATGGTTATTTCTTTTAACAATTTTATAGGGCATATGGTACCAGCCCTGTTTTATTCTTAGCAAGACACTGATATGACTCAATATTTCCTGTCTATATGTAAGTTGTTCATATTCTTGTATCTTTTGCAGCTGGGTGGTGTCCTTAAGGTAGCAGAGGCCGCATTCCAACGTCTCAAAGGACGATGGCAGATCCTACAGAAACGGAACGAGCACAAAATTGCATTTATTCCTGACATCATCACAACGTGCTGTATCCTGCACAACATATGTGAACGACACGGAGAACCGTTAAGTCAGGATATTGAGGAACCACAGCCGAGCCACCCACCTATTCATCCGACCCAAGATGATGATGCAAGTGCCGAACAGACCCGAGATGCTCTTGCTTCTTATTTCTTTAAGAGGCTTGCGAATGTACAATTTCTTTGAATGTCTGGTTGATGCACTGATCCAGAGTGTCGGTGAAGATGGATATTTATTATCTTGTGCAATGGTTGGGTTTATCTTGGTGCAAGAGATTCTTAGCAGAGTAGTTCACGATAGACGTACAGCCTATGTACTGCGTACCACACAGTTCCCATTCACGAACCTGACTCGGCCAACGAACCGCACGCAAAGAATGTCTTTGGAAAGTTCTCATTGCAATAGGGCGTGACTTAAATTATGGCGCATGCGCATCGGTGGAAATAAATAGCTGTTCCGAAAACTGTTAGTCGGGCAACATACCATACACATGGAATCGATGGCACTACATGTTGACCACCAGTTGATCGTACAGTTTGGTTGAATCTTGGCCATGCTCAATTGATGTAGAACACTGATTTTTCGCCTTCCAGGGCCCAGTTTTTTTGCTGCAAAGCCACGCGGTCAACATTTTTTGTTTATTCAACAACGCTTTCAGGCTGGATTGCAAACTGTATACGCTGATGGCTTAGAAAATTGCAGTAGGCCTACGTACAGAAACAAGACGTTGTTTACGTCACGCATGCATGCAAATGCACACTCAATTCTGCTTGGAATTTCTGGTTGCAGGATTCTGTTATGAGTAGAAACCTAATGTAATTTGTCTCAAAAATTCATCAATATCATAAAGTTGGTACATTGTGAATGCAACAACTAATCAAGAAAACATCAACTTTTCATACCAAGTTAAAAAATATTGCCAACTGAGGAATTTGTAAACTTAACTTTTTTGTTATTTTTATGTTGGAAATACATGTACTTGCCCTTTTTTACTAACATGTTATAGAGATATAAACTTTATACTGACGCAGATGTCTTCTGGCAATAATAAATAACCTCTGTTATGGATGTATGTAAATATTTGTGTGCATGCTAAGTTTGCCCGTGAGTGTGAGCGGAACACAGAATAGTAATACTGAGTGGCACAGGGATACAAACACACTACATTTTTCTTGTTCCACAAATAAATCAAACCATGGAATTACCTTTATCTGGAGATCCAGCTTCAGCTGCTAGCTGCCGAAACGCAGCATCGTCACTCAAACTATCGGCAGAAGCAACCTTGTCGCCTAGAGCTGGTACCATAAGACCCTTCCAGGAATCAACCTGTGAGATTTCCTACAAACAAAATGTGAGAATTTCACCTTGTTGATCATTTGTATGTTGCTTTTACATTTTGTAATTTTATTCAGGCATCAGCTAATTTCCTCGTTTTTCACTTCACACCCATGCCATTAAAAGTTTAAAAACACTGTACAAAGTCTTGTTAAGAGTGGAGTTTCCTCGTTTGTTTCTTCCGAGTTGCATGCCTGTTTATTGGATTTCTGGGAATTCTTATAGACTGATGCGACGACAGCAATTTTCTGCGGTGGCACCAGGCTCGCGCTTGTTGCGCTCAGTTATACGCACGTGCTCCCTCGACTAATACATGTAGGGCTGCCAAAATGCGCGTTGTCTTTTACCAGTTCACGTCGAATTACGTGTACACGCAAAGGTTTTGCAGTAATCGGAACAGATGATGGATAAACACGCAAGAAGCGAGGCCAGAAATACCTATCTGCGACCCGCTCGTAGCAAGCGAGGCCGGAAAAATCAGGGTGTGCTACCTGCAGATGACGGCCTGAACCCGTCTGGCATCGAGGTTCGTAAAAAACAATCCCGTGCCTGGGTCCTGTCAATGTTAAAATAATCCCAGCGAGAAGTGGCATGCACAAGGACGTGGCACCACCGCAAAAAAAATGGCTTCTAATTTTGTTCGGCAAATTACATTATAGGAATGAGACTTGATAGCCTTTGCACAATACCGTCTTTTTCCCTTTTTTCTGTCGTTAAAGAATTTAGGTTAAGGTTTTAAATTCCCATCAAAACCTTTTGACTGTTTGGTAACAAATTCGTAAACTGAACTGCAATGTGGTTGCAAGAGTTCATTGACAAATATGAAAGTAGTGGGGTTCAACCTTTAAAAATACATTGTCCTCTTAACCAACCAAATACTTGTATGTACTAAATTGCAAAAATAGAATTGTTTGCATATTTATTTTTTATTTCCTCATAAAATAAATAATTCAACACTTCTCTTTCCAAGGGCCATTGGCATTATTTAAAACAAAATTACCTCTGGAACTGAAGAATGGATCGGTGGAGGGCTTTCGGTTGGTTCGACAGGAGGGGAGGCAAGACACTGGGCTTCTGCGGGAACTTCACGTATCGGATGCACAATATGGACCTCTGAAAACGGTAAATACAAACTTTCATGATTTAAATTTAAAAAAAACCATTAAATGTAAAGTTGCGAGAGGCAAATTTCCCTGGAAATTTCGAGGTAACCAAATACAAATAAAATCCCCCGGAAAAATGCAGAACATTTTTTCGTCAGTTTACGGTTATTCATCAGAAACTTGCACAAAATTTAAAATTTGCCTGTTGTTTTCTTCTTGGAGATTGCCTGGACAAGTGTCTGTAGATTCCCTCATGAAGCTCTGCCCAAAGTTACCAGAAATCCCCCCAAATGTCAAATAAATGTGGTTATAATAATGGAAATTATTATAACCACAAGAAAAAGAATCTTGATGAGAATCTTGATCAGTGGCTTATAGGGTTAAACTTCCACGTGCACAGTAATCATATAAACAAGGAAAAACTGACTGTGTATTCAAATCATAAGTTTGAAAAAAAGAAATTGACTGGAGCGGGGTTTGAACTTGCTACATGTACCTCTGGATTGCTGTTCCAGTGCTCTACCAACTGAGCTATCCAGCCCTATTTTGGCAGTTCCCTATTTAGTCAATGTCTTTGTTCAAGGGGTGCTAGTCAGAAGCCATAAACCTGTAACTGCCGTGTAACAAGGGTTAACACCCAAAGTCTCGTTGCACGACATAGAGCTCGTTTGCTAAGTTGGTGGAGTACCATTACGGTGTTCCGGAGATCCCGGCTTCAAATCCAGCTTCTCTCAACTTCTTTGTTCAACCTTAAAATTTAAAGGGAATTGTCAGCAACATACCATCATGTGGTCTGACGAGGCGTTCTTTCTCCTCATGGTATGTTTCATCGCCGTCCTTCCGTCTGGCTTTCAGGATACAACAGCAGCATATGAAGAACACCAACAGCACGGCAACACCAGCACCAGACACTGAAGCAAATTGGAAATTAAAGGCTTAAACTTCTGATGACATCAACATATAATGAAATACACAATGATGTGAGGAAAGATATTATTAGTTACCTCACAAGTGCGAGTGGAACACGAAATAGATTGCTTTAAGGAACATACCCCATTACCCTGGAGAGGGTTACCTCAAAAGGTTTCAATAATACAATTAAGTTTAAATCATGACATAGGAGTTAGCTAAGAGCATATTCATTTTAAACTAATAGGATAAATTTCTTTTAACTTAGCAGACAGAATAATGTACTGGGCTAAACAATGCATAATATTTTTTTCCTTAGATGACACGAGAAAGATAAAGTTGTCTTTTTCAGATAAAGTACTGAACTCTGCATTACTTTTACATACAGTATCATACATGTTTTTTCTCTCGAAGAATTGTACATTGGACAGGAACATAAAAAAATGCATCTCCGTTTCCACATCTTCAGACAGTGTGGACAAATACGTTGGTTAAATTCTAAAGCGATGTACCTTCCAGTTTCTACAAGCAGTTTATGAGCTGAGCATCTAAATATAGCCAAATAATGTCTGAATTGAGGTTCATTTTAAAAACATAAATTATATAGTTTGTATCCCATACGTCACAAGGCATATGGGACACAGACGCACTTCATTTTTCAATAAAGATGGAATGATGCACGGTAAAGATAGAATGCGCAAGCTTTGGAACATTTTAGTGGTTACCCTGTTACATGAGCCTGCAGCAGTAATAAATATATACATTTGTAAATACACTCTGGGACTATATAGCAAAAGATCTCAAATATTAAATAAATATAAATTTGAAGAAGGAAAAAAAAAGAGAACTAGATGTATGTTTGTGGACAAACATATGGCTGTTTGGCAATTTGTTATTGTATTATTATAGACTGATATAAAAATAGGCAATCGGGCAATCCGATTGATTTTAGGCAATCGGGCAATCCGATTGATTTTAGGCAATCGGGCAATCCGATTGATTTTAGGCAATCGGATTGATTTTAGTGCCCAAAGTGCCGGGAACAAAAACGACGTGTACAAATGCTATGGGCAAAATGACTGAAAAAGCAAATGGAAAAAAACCCTCTTAACGAAAACAAAGGGTGTTGCTACCGGTCCTAATACAAAGTTAATACCAAGCTCATACTACCAACAATATTTACCTGCGGCAATGAGCACCCAGTTGATCTCAGATTTAGGCATAAGGTCTGGAGGTAGCTCCACTTTGACACCTTCAACTGGTTCAGGATCCCAAGGGCCCATCGTGGGTATCTGTGGGGTCACAATAATCAGACACACCCATTTCAGTCTATAGTCTTGATCCAAGACTGAAATTTTTTTTGAATTCCCTCACGCAGCCCGCTCATGATGACAAGTGCCGTAAATTGGGAGTAGAGGTTGCTATCAAGTAGATGAATCAAATCCAATCAATCATGGGAACTTCGGCAATGCTGCCCAGGAAGTTCTCAACATACAGGGTGGTGCCAAAAGACGGAAACCCACTTTTGACAGGAATTTTAACCTGCTTACTTAACTTATTTTTTTATAATGTGGTGAAGTATAGCTCGTCAACCATACGTGGAGAAAAAATCTTTCAAAAAAATCGCAAAAATAGTGTTATTATGCTAATTTGAATACAAGTCACCAAAATCACTGCTGTCCACGTGTAAGTCTGGTGTAGTGTTTTTTTCCTTCAAATCAAGCTCCTGAGCTCAGTCAAGCGGGTGGAACAAAGCCCTCCGTGGACAAACAGGTTTGGCACGTGAAATTTAAACTACCATATCTCAGAGACAAAATATGCATTTGCAATCACTTTTTCGTCACTTATGTTTAAAGATCACTATTTTAATAACATTAAATTTGATTTTTGAAATATGCTCAACAAGTAGGTGAAATTTGCTGTCAAAAGTGGGTTTCTCTCTTTTTGCACCACCCTGTAGCTCATGCACTGTATGAGCTAATGTATGTGCATGAGGTATGCTCTGAATTTCCTGGATAGCATTGCCAATATTCCCAAGATTTGATATGATTGCTAGCGGCCTCTATGCTGCAACTGCATACAGTTCACACATTATACATCACCAGTTGAAATTGTACCCCCTGACTCTAGATAATAACACAGCCAATAAAACAAATATTCCAGTTTACCACTGTGAGTTCTTTGGGTGGTAGTGCGGTGGTCATGGTAGTGTTGTCTTCCTTGGACTCAAACATTGCACACTGTTGACGATGTACAGTGCGGCTATCATCCGTGTCTGGATTACTAGTGAACAGCGTCGCAAACGGCTGCAGGCCGTTGTACAACAAACCTGAAATGACAGCAATGGAAACAATGGGTTCAGATGCAAAACTTATTGTCTTTTGATTTTACATTGTTCAAAGAAACTCATTTGATTTGTCAGCACCAAGGATTTTTTTTTGTAAATGGGTTGATATACAGAAATATCGCTGATATAATTGACAAAATTGGCCAATCTAACAAAGATAAAAAACTTGTTGCAAGTTAAGTTGTACTGAATGTATTTTAATAATAAAATGTGATCGTTATGTTCATGACACATCCATTCCATAAAAGTAAAACAAAAATCGGATATCTAATAAGTGAAATATCCTAAAAATGTTAATACATCTGGATATCTGGATTCTGTGTACAAGTAACACCCCCATTGGTTCAAAAGAGAAGTCGGGAAGACTACTGGGAGAAACCTTTGAATGTGTTGCCTGATGCTCATGTGAAGATGCTACGGCGTTCTGAATATATTCAGTATAAAATTAGTTAAAAGGTCTGTGCAATGAATTTTTCTTAGTAACACATTCTGTGCAACTTCCTCCTCTTACATGTTTGAAAACTATTAGACATCCCTTTTTGGGTAATTTCATTGAAAAGTGCACTTCTTTAAACATTCAAAAATTTACTTGCGTTTCGAAACAACTTAGGGTGCTGTTGCTGTGATGTCATTTCAGGAAGGCAGTGTTCAGTTGAGGATTTTTGGTTAAAATTGTGAACCCAAAAATTGGCTCATTGAAAAAGCTTATCAGAAAAGTTTGCTCATTGGCTTTATACTGCCATGTACAGATAGAAGAACGCACCACTAAAGAAAAGAAAATTTACAACAGCAAAATATACTCAAAATTCTGGCAACTTGTGGTGTTGAAATAGCTGTAACATTGAGGTTTCTGCCTGAAATCACACCACACTTTTGCTCATGAATATGGAAATTTGCATGAGCTTAAAAAAAAAAAACACCAAAATGTCCTTCAAAACAGCAAAAACGAACATTGAAATGGGACACAAAAGTGCTCTTTCAAGGATTGCATTAAAGGAAAAAAGATGAAAAAGTGGAGATTTTTTTTATTTGAATCAAAGAATCTCCACCTTTTGAGTTGTGTCTCCGACTTAAACTATATCCCTCCCAAAACTATGTCCAGTATTTACATTTTTAATGCTTTGAGCCATGAGATGAATTTAATCAATTGTTCAGTATTGGCCAGCTGTGTAAAAGCCTTACTCCTACCCTTAATTATGCGATTGTAGCTTTACTGGATCTTATTGTTAAACCCTCTGCATGGGTGCACAACTTTTGTTCCATTCATCACTGTGCACAGTACATTTGTCCTAGAAATACATGGAGAGTCACACACATGCAGTCACTATTGGTGGGTGTGGTGCATATAGCATAGAGCAAGACACTATGTGCATACACGCCCTCTTCATTACCTCTCAAATAATTGAGTCAAACATGCACATTAGTGTTACAGCTTCGAAAATATACTGGATTATAGAACTGTTATATGCTATCGATGTGATCGTACGGGATAGAGGATTTTTAACACCAACCACAAGGAAGTTTGGCAAGCAGCTCATTTGTGGAACCACATTTCATTGTCCACTCAAATGAAGACCGCTGACCTTGGTATTTGTTACGTGGAGTACACATTATTGAAGTATCTCACTCACCATAGGGAATTATTTTGTGTGGAGAATACAAGACATTGGAATATCATCTCAGAAGTATCGATTGGTAAGTTTTTTGTGGCCATTTTGATTAATTCAGTTATTTATTGATTCTCTATTATCCACAGATTGTCCTTTGTGTTTGTTGTTTTTAGAACGTGGATATTTAGCCGGATATTAAGCTAGCTAGATTGTACAGCGCCCTCTTTGATGCGTATACGAGCAGGCCTAAACGTATTATTAAAATGGGAAAGAATGTTGCAACCTGACGCCACTTCAGCGGTTATGTACAAAGTATATGGAGAGTCAAGAAAATTTTGTAATAATTTCCTAACAAAATTAGAAAAGTTTCACAGTCCCAGATTCATGTCTTATCATCATTTTTGCAATAACCGACCTTCATTGAGATGATATGTGAAGAAAAAAGTGGCATCAGGTTGCAACATTTTTTCCAAGCAGTTTTACAGATAGGTATACATTGTAGTTGTAGCTTTAATGGAAGCAAGGCATATTTCCGCTCGAAATAGCCAAACATCAGGGTTCCCAGTACTTTATGAAAGCAAAATTCCCTGAGTTTGCCCTGATAATTTCCCGAGAAATATCCAAAATTCCATGAGAAATATTTTTTATTAAAAGTCAAGAGGTGGTGTACGTAGCACAGCCGATTGTTATTGTCCAGAGAGGTGTGTTATATTCACACTGCATAAACACTAAAAAGCCACCACAGCCAGTCAGTCAATGGACACACCTAGCTAGGCACAAGACACACATATGCCAAACTGGCAAAATTTACCTTTCCCTTCTGGGTCAAATTCCCTGAGTTTTCCCGAATGGAAAATTACAAATTCATTGAAAGGTTTCCCTGATTTCCAGAATGGCCGGAAACCCTGAAACAAGACGCGTACACACCTGTGAGACAGCCATTATATCCCTGCATCCCCTCCAGTCCATAGTCAGTCATATTCAGCTCTACTCCACCAATCACCATCAGTTCTCTATCATTGAACTCTGTCTCTTCAGCAGAATCCAAGGTCTCGTAGTCAGATCCAGCATTGTCCACCTATTTCCGGGGAAAAGTGAATTAAAACAAATGACGATCACTGAAAAAAAGTACATGTATGTACTAAGGCCAAAAAAAAAAGGCTCCGGTTTCTGGTATGGAGCTTGTCCAAAAAGTGGTGCGGCGACGCGGCTTTTTTTTTTTTTTTACCGGACTTTTTTGCTTCAAATGTCGGCTGATGATTGCAAATGGTGCCCGACTAAACTTAGTGCAAATATATGGGAGTCCAGAGAGGTCACATAAAGCTTATTCTCGATCATATCCCATCTAAAAACACGTTGAAATTGCGCAGCAGCAGAATTCCAGTCAAACCAGTGAGTTTGGCGGTTTTGAGACATCATCTTTCATTGAAAAGAAAAACTTTTTCATTTTGCCGACGCGCATGGCTACGGCGACGTGCGCCCATACCAGAAACCGGAGACTTTTTTTTTTGGCCTAAGATATGCATTTTTGAGATGAAACTTTTATTCACTGTATCTAAGACAGTTAACCCATTCCTGTTGGTCGAGAGCCAGTCATGTGCTGGGTCTTAAATGGTTCATAAAAACTGGCTGGCTGGTCTTAAACACTTTTCCAGCGTCACATGAAAGTTGGACTCCAAGGAAATCCAGTGGCTTTTACCGTTTTATTGGTTGAAGGTTTACAATTTTCGCGTAGGCATGCGCAATACTACCAGTGAGTCAGTATTTAATAGTCCTATATTCACACTACACAGGCACAGGTAATTATCAGCATCCAGACTCCAACTGGTTTTAAACAGAATGTTTAAATCCAGCCAAGCACAACTTTAATCCATTATAAAACACTACTGGATCCAAAAACCAATGTTTAATTGGTGGCTGTTAAGAATAGGCCACATGTCACAATGTTACAAAAACCTCTATATCATGCAAACAATTCATCCTGTGATGATCGCATTTGAAGTTAATCCTTTTTTTCAAAACATGTTCGACCAGTTTGTAAATACAAATTTTGGACATTTCTGCATTGTCAAGTAACGTATGCTTTGTTCGTTGCTAATTCAAAGTTGTTTTTTAAAAGTCTCTTTTAATTAAACAGTAATACATTAATTAAACTCTTCTGCACTTCGAGAAAACAGCAATATGCGAAGGCCTTTCTTATTTTTCCCATTACTATGTACACAGTCTTTGTCACTTTGTGAGAACATGAAAACGTTATGAGAAATTGTTACTTTTACGCGTCATGTGACAGTGGCGCACGCACGTGTTTGTTCTCAACATCGCGGGTGAGTGTTCGCTCCCATCCTGACATATGTACAGCAATGCATGATCCCTCTATCCCTGCTAGCGAGGTGACTTTTTGTCACTTCATGAACATGAAAAAAACATGGCGTTCAGGCTTTTTGTCAAATGTTTGCTTACGATAATTGAGAAAGTAAACAACAGGGCTCTTTTAATGACGGCCATTTCTGTGGGAGAAGTGCAACTGCGTATTTTACGCAATCTAGCACACATTGCGCAGTGTTGAAAACATTCCATACGCGCGCGGTTGTTGCTTGAAATGTGTTTGAAACACGACGCAGCTGATGCGCGTTAAGTTAGTTGACGCCCAAAATGCCGATGCACGTGGATGGTCTGTATTTGAACGAGACCTATAGTTTGCTTTGAAACTTGGTAAAATTGTGTCAAGTGTAATAAAATGGCCAGCAAAACTCAAAAATTATTTGTCACTTCAGGAAAACACTGACGATAAGATAAAAAAAACAAAAGAGAAAAGATTGGGACCTTTTCGCGATTCTTTTGTCAATTTTTGGATCATATCAGACATTTGAAAATCTGTCGTGTGGCCAATTCTTATTTCAAGAAGACATTATTTTTTAATTTGGTAACCACGTCTTTTTATAAAGTTGATGTAAAAAAGTACTTACATCCAACAGAACTCTACTTCCAAATCGTTTGAAGACAACAGAATGACGATAAGTATCATTAAATGGACCTTGTACACGTAAAACAGCTGAAAGAAAGAATGTAAACAGCAAATGAACAACACAGTAGTAAGCAATAAATTTGTCAAACTTTTGGCTCTGAACTGAAAAAAAAAATTATTTCATCAGCGTTTTCACGAAGGGACGAATTTGGCCACGGGGTGTTGAACAGTGGTGTTGAGAAAATCGGGTTTTAAGTTGGTCACTTTTTGAAATAAAGTTTTTGCCTATTTTTAAAGCACATGTTGACTATTTTTTGATACAGAGAGTAAGCCGAGATTTTAAACTTCAAAAAAGTACCAATTACTGAATAATAGATTAATTAATTGCATAGTAATTAATCTCCATATAGATTTGTCTGTTCGTGAAAACTCAAAATCCCTCACGGGCGTTTTTTTGGCCATACCCATCGCCCGGTCATTCGTGACAACTCAAAATCCTATACGCGCATTGTTTTGCCTATCGCGCCCTCAATTTGTCTCTCTGTGAAAACTGAAAAAAAAACCGATTTGGTTGAAATTTTCCCTGGAATGATTTTTATTATCTCGATGATTTTAACTGATCTTGACAAAATAACTTCGTCAGAATGTTCATTGCTATCCACTTCATTCATGTTGGCCGGAAAAAGAATTTCAAAAATATTATGATTTTGGCCTAATTGGTCCCTTCGTGAAAACGCTGACAAAGTGAGCATTTATTTGAGATTTGGAAAAGGTTTCGACCACAACACTCAAAACTAAAGAGTAACTTACTTAATCCTGCCCCAAGATCAACGTGTGCCTCCAGGTTGCCTCCATCCAGGGCAATCATGATCCTCTCCTCCCCCTGACTGCTATTACCATTCCTGACATAAAGTAAGACTCCCGAGGGCTGATCAGTGCTGAATCCAAACTCTAGGATATCTTCCTCTGAGTTGGATGACGGTGCAAGCTTTGCCAGAGGAACTGAAAGTAGGGATTCCTCCTGAAACTGAGCTCCGTGTCCTGTAATAATAAAAATAAAAATCCATAAATGTTAGGGCTATTAAAGTAGCCCTAAATCCCGAGCAAAATTTACTAGGAACCGTACCCATCCTGGCAAATTCCAACACCCACATGGGAAATTGTACACAAACACTTGGACTTAAGTTTCTGGAGGTGTGCCAACCCAAGGTAAAAGACCATCAGTTTAGGGGTACTATACCTATCCCAACAGATTTAAACAAAACCTGTTGTTGGGCTTTGATGGGTTGGGTTCGGTTAGGGTTAGTCAGTGTATTACCCCCCCCAAAAAAAAAAATACAAAAAAACAGTTGTATTGTCTATAGGCCATTTTGATATTTGCTCGCACATCCGCCAACTCGCCTTGATGACCATATTTTTGGATAAGCAACCTATCTGCATGATAACAACACACGTAAATGAGAATGGTTTTCCCCCACTAAGTTTTGATTTGTTCACAGTTTATGATGTAAATTGGCAATTTGATATACATGATAGGGAAATGAAATATACTATTGAACTATATTCCCAAATCCTATACAAATATAATGATGCCAGTAGAAAGGTTAAAAGTTTGCTATAAATGTCCGAATTTCGACCAGCATACATGATCATGTACCGGTACGTGTGTACTGGAATGTGTTTTACAGCTTTTAAAAAAGTAATCACAAATATCGATACATATTTGGAGAGTATAGTTATTTAGCTTTTGAACAACACAAAAATCTTTCCAATCCGGTAAATATTTATTGAGTTATGGCCTATTAAAAACAAGTGCTGCTTTTACATCGGTTTGCCCTTGCGGTACACACATACTCGAATTTGTATCCTTGTGGAGTCATTTCTTTGTTCTCGTGTACTAAAATGTTAGAGTTTGAAAGTGTAGTTTCAAAATACTCCTATTTTAACCAGAATTAATTTCCTGGGCTGAAATTCGGACTTAATATCCCTTACATATTACTTCAATTTGCGATGATCAACACACCTTGGAAATTCCCAGTTTTTGAGTAAAATCCATAAATCTATTTCGTGATAACCTTGTGGAGAAGTATTCACCTACAGAAACTGCCCTGTGGAGACGTATACAATCTTTTGCTCCCTATTATTCACGTCTCCACAGGGTACCATGTACCAGATCGCTATGCACAACACGTCACGGCGCGCACACATGTGGGTTTGCTTAATATCCAATTTCTATTCCACAATTCATTGCGCGCCCGAGACTTCGATTTAGTTTATTACTCCCTTCAAGTTACATCAACAACTTAATGAGAAAATTATATACTATATTAGCCTTTTTGAGTTATTGTGGAGAGCACTGTTTGCTTTGGGTAAACTCTTTTACCTGTAATACCTAACCAAATGTTGCCATCTTATTTATGTCTCCCGTATCTTGAAAGGCTTTTTGTAATCTTTACCATAAATTTGTCCAAAACGTTAGGAAGAATGTCTGGAATACATCAACAAAGTTAAAAGTTTATTTGAGAACGTCATTGTGACATACTGTCGATGTTGCACCACTCACCAGCTTCACATGTTTTGCCTGTGTATGTGGTTCCACTGCAGTTGCATTTGAAGCTCGTCCAGCTCTCTATGCACACACCGCCATTTTTGCATGGTTCTGCAGAACAGTGGTTCTCGCACTGCAATGAAGGAGCTTTCGAGGAAAACAACCCTACAGATAAAAAAAAAAGTGTCATGTCCTTTAATCTCAGGGATTTTGATATGTTCACAAATATTACAAAAGGTGACAATAATGCTGTTCAAAAAGATTTTAACAAAGAAAAAATAAATAAAAAAAAAAAATTTGCAACCCTCTCAAAATTTTTTATTTTGGGTTGCTTTTCCTCAGAAGCAGATTGGGCCTAAGAGTAGACTTTTTCTTGTGGGGGAGTGTGGCCTAGTGGTTAGGGTTCGTGACTCACGATCAGAGGGTCCGGGGTTTGAATTCAGCTGCTGGCCATATGTTGTGTCCTTGGAAAGCCACTTCATCCCCACTTGCCTCTCTCCACCCAGGAGTATAAATGGGTACCGACATTATAATATACTTGTGCTTATAAAATATATTTTGGTATATTTAAGAAACAACGTTGAATAAATGTCTAGCAAACAAACTTAACATAAGCTTGGGAGTAACCTGCGATGGACTAGCATCCCATCCGGGGGGGGAGTAGAAATATTCTCAGTCGTTTCATGCAACTGAAACCGGAGATAAACGCGGCCTGATGGGGCACATTGGCTTGTGACAGACTTTACTTCTTACTTACATAATCGATTCGAAAAGGGGAGCAGGCACTAGTGTGTCCTACGAGAATTGAATTTTTGTCAGTTCGCAAATAATTGGAAAGTTGTGAAATAATTATTTCATAAAATTATTAACCTTTTTTGGGGGGGGATAGATATCTCAAAAAGTTTCATTCAAATGTGAATACCTTTTGTATGGATAGAAAAAAAGAAATTCAAACAGATATATTTTTCGTGCCAAAGCTGGGCAAAAAAATAGGATGGACAGCGAATTTCAAACATTTTGTGTAAGTGTAGTTGGTATAGTACATCGTTATTTTGTAGTCATGTTTTTTTTAAACCTTTTTTACTTACTTTTCATGATGCGAACAATGTCTTGAAGTTTCCATGGTTGACCGTTAACAATCAGCCCTCTGATACATCCCATTAGCCCTGGTGATGACATCACAGAGTCAGGTGCACCGCCGATCATAGCATGAACCATCAACTTGCTCGATTTCATGCCCACTGCATCCTGACTTGGCTGTACAATTTCTTGAACGAACAAAATAAAAAGAAGTGAAGTTTACTTATTCTGTGACAATTACAAGCCACTTCTAATGCGAACATGAATTTGTAACATGAAGATTTTGCGCTGTGACTTCACAAAAGTTAACACATTTCAACTCCAATTTTGCAGCGATTGTTTCCTGACGTTAAATTCGCTTAGAATAAACATTAACTACAAACTGGCTTTATGGCAGTACCATCCTTGCACGTGGGTCGTACACACGCATGCAAAAGACCTTTTAACTATAAATTATCTTTTATTCACACGTAAAAATTGTGAGGGGTTCTGGCAAAATGAAACAGAACTGGGCAGAGGTCGAAATTTAGAAATTTAGAAAGAGAAAAAAATTAATTCTCCTTACAATACTGTTTGTTACACTTCAATTGATTATTTCTTTGACAAGTTATACCTGTTTAAAGTTCGCATTTATCAACGCATCAAAAAAGTAAAAAATACTGAGCAAAAGGCCTTTAAAGTTTCAAGTTTTGTGGTTGCGAAAATGAGATATTCAAATTGTTTCCATGAAAAACACTTTTATTTCACGATTTTTATACTATTTCTGTAAAACACGTGTAGTAGACATATCAAAGATTACAAATCTTAATAAATCTGAAAATCAAAAAATATCATCCCAATTTGGGTTTTTTTTGGCATTTTTCTCCACTACTGCCATGTGCCCAGTTCCGTCTCATTTTGCCAGAACGCTTCACAATTTTGATCATATTGTATCAAAAAGTGGCTTTAATTAACAACAATATTGTTGTTTGTTTTGGGACATTTTGTGTTCCATACATAACTTTAGTTTAACAGCGTATTTTTCTGTGCTCCATACATTTGACCTGATTCTAAATTGTGGAACATACGATCATTTATTCAGTAAATGGAACAGTCTAACTTGGCTCACTGAAGTTGATTAGTCATCTATATGCTAGAATCAACATTCTTTGAAGCTATTTATTCTGTAATTTGCTAGGGCAGAGGGTAAGTCTCAAAAGTCTTTTATTGTTGTATTAAGACTCTTCTGGCCCAGCATGTTATTTGCTCAGTAGCCTCATTCCAAAAGAATGAATTTCTTAGCCAGCCATGTAAAATCAGGGTGCAAGGAATTTCAGTGGGGACATTTGTGACTGGGACACTCTGGGTGAAAATCATAGCAGTGAGATTTTTCTGCGTTTTACTTTGGTTCGGTATGTAAGTTTTTCTCCTGATTTATATGTTTCTTGTGCATGTGGCCAGGTTATGTTTTGGCATGTCTGTTTCTGGGGGAAGGTGTTGCCATGGGCGTCACCAGGATTCCCCCCCCCCCCCGCCCCCCCCCCCCATACATAATCCATGCAGGATTCAGGCAGTGGTCACCCCTCCACGGACCATATTCAAGAAATAATAGAGGAATTTGCAGGATTGAGGCTATAGGCCTATGCTATTTTACCATGAGGCCAATTGGAGGATTTTGCAGGATTGAGGCTACATCGTAGCAAAAACGCCTAGGGAGTTGGCCTTTTTTCTCAGTATTTTACTTTTAGACGTGTCAATAAATGCGAACATCAAACACAACCACAACTTGTCAATAGAATATCCGATTGAAATGCAACAAACAGTATTGTGAGGAGAATTTTGTTCTCTTTCCTGATACACACCAACCCTCATTTTGACTTTTGCCCAGTTCTGTCTAATTTTTCCAGAACGCCTCATGTAATTTGTAACATATTCCTACAGTTCCTACCTCTATCCTGGAATGGTTGGGCATGGAATTCAGTCAGTAAGTTCACTGGTACTGATATCTCCGCCTTGTGCTGGTTGACGTCCACAATCGTCATGTCAGCCTTCCGTTGTATAGAAACCTCCACCCACTGCCCATCATTTAAAATAATACCTAGAGAACGAAACAATTCAAAGTAAATTCCTTTGGAAAAATAAGGGTATAAACCTATTTTTGCTATTTATTCCTGAAAATGTCTTTTTAAATTTGTTATTTATTATTTTTCTAGCAATAGAAAAGTGTTCCACTTTTGTGTGGGAATACTTCTTGCTGAATAATTATCTTACAAATTTCACATGTTTTGCATCCCAACAATAATTCAGGCATTTCTGTTTAAGCAAGAGTTGCAAAGCAACTCAAAAAAGGAAAAGGAAAAGGAAAAAGGACAAATTCTTAGGTAGGAAAAAATAAATGGAATTTGTTGAAAAGTGCTTTGAGAGTACATTATTTGCAGCTATCCTAAAAGTAACTGACAAAATGATTGTTGAAAAGCATACTTGGTTTAAAGATAGTAATGGCACTTTTTAAAAACAATTTTCAAGAAAACAATAAAAGGTCATTTTCAAAGATGCGTCTAAAGACGCATTTTTGGAAATGTCCATTAGTGGTTCATTAGAAGCTGTGATTGGGTGCGCCAAAGCGTTGACACGACGTACATGCACTTGGTTGCTATAATTGCGTCGCTGCAATCGGCCGAGTGACAACTAGTCCCGGATGCCTGGTGTCCTGGAAAAGACACTGAATATAAGCTTTCAAATGATGTACAGAAAATGGGCTCCGACAAAATCTGATAAAGTTATGGATATTTTAAGTTTTCAAATTTTGGGCCTTAAAAAGAATACAAAATCTTTAAAAATGTGATTGCCATTTGAGCACGAAATTACTGAAATGACTATTTTGAAAAGATGCTTGTTAGGCTACGGGTTTACCTTCATTTGGTACAGTACATTCAGTGCCACAACCAGTCGGGCAACATTTTCGGCCCAAGCTGCAATCTGAATCATCTTGGCAGATTTCAAGACACAAAAGTTGCTTTTCTGCTGAAGGTGCAGGGCATACACCTAAAAGATAAGACAAGATCATTTGATTTACCAAGGGCTCTAATTAGGAAGAGAGGCAGTGTCCACATCACATAGCTGCTGCAGGAAATAGCACATGAGTCTATGGCAAATGGCTGCAGCCTCTAGCCAGTGGCTTCCATTGGTGTAGATGTAATTTGTAGCCGTAGCCGTGTGATTCGGACACAAAGATTTGAGACGAACCACTAGGTGGCACTCTTGAACACATTGCCGATGGCGCCCGACACTCACACAAAGTTGCTAGGTTTTGTGCACATTTAGAAGAAATTAGTTATGCATATCATACTTTGCGGCATACGTGGGCAAATCATGTGAACATGCGGTGGGTCTTCCCACGGTCGTTCTGATGAATGATGGCAAAACACTATCTATTGTTCACACATGGTGTCCCATGAAAAAAAATATTTTTGAGAGCCACAAATTAGAAAAGAAAAAGTATTGGACTCAAAAAAATGTGGTTTAAATTCTAACTCACCCCCTCCGATAAGTTAAAACCATGCCATTATAGAGCTGAGCCATCGAAGAGCTCAACAGTAAACCGTAATTCATGGCGTTATCTATCTGCATACGTGTAATAAATGTATCGTAGAGGGCGCTCAACAACCATCCATGCGATGTTGTTTGGGAAATTATAATTCGCGGACAGTACAGGGTATTTGTGATCAGAATTCTTACTTTCACTTGTGTTGACAACCACTTCATGTACATCCCTGCCAGAGTTGAATGTGAACACAAAAGCTGAGTCGTCTACCAGCTCCATCTGAATAAAGTTATTCCTCGTGTCCCTTGCATACAAAATCAGCGCCTGAGACTGAAGAGTACGGAAGCCAAGTTGGAAATCCGAGGTTAAAATATCTGTGTTGTTGGGCTCAAATTCCAAGAAGACATCTTTGTTGGTGAAGGAGACCACATCTTTGGTGTTGTCTGAAGTACGAAAAAAATATGATCAATACATATAAGGCTTTCAGATTAATATTATGACAAGGCTGAGCAAAGCTAGTAAAGCTACAACCGATTTCACAAAACTTTAATACAATGGCGTAACTCCACTTGAGCTGCAATATATTTGCGTAAGTTGTGCAACTTTTCACGCTGCACAACATTTCAGTTAATTATGACACATTTCATCAACAATTCATAGCATGAAAGTCCGCGACTTGCGCAACAAGTTATGGCGTGACTTGTGCAATCATTTTAGGTGGCGTAAGTTGTGGCGTAGCGACTGAAAATTACCTATTTTACCAGCAAATTGTGATCATCGTGGAGCCTAGCATTGCACAACTTATCAAGGTTGATACAAGACACCCATAGCTGTGTGTTTGAAGTAAATGAATTGCTATTTTACTCGTGACACAATTTATAGAGTTGCCGCACGATTCCAACGAAAGTCAGACAAAACTATTTCAAAAATGGCGGAGGAGGTGATACGACTGTTTCGTAACCGAAGAAATTTATACACAAACAGCTGTCGTCAATGCTGTTATAATCCTCGTCCCAGATGTATAGATTATTTAAAGCATTGTGCAGCTACACCAAATTTGGTGGAATCAATCAAAAGTTTATTGCGCAGCTAGTCAACAAATTTGTTGCGTAAATGTAAAACGCCTGCCGGAAAAGACTTTACTTACTTTTAATACTTATTCTACATTTATTTCATTAGTTTAAAAACACTTCATCCTTTAGGGCTTTTAACTTTTTCATCTAAGTTTATTTTAATTATGAGCATAATATGCAATTTGAAACCCAGAAGTTGAAGAATTTTAAATTAAGAGACTAAGGTGTATAGAGTATATAAACCTGAATCAAAAGTCTAAAATACATATAAATGACAAATCTTTCAGAGCGATGACCAAATAAAGCACACTACAGCCTTTATTTAATAACAATTGACCATACCTGTTTGGCAGTTACGGCCTGTGTGTGCTGGATGGGCACATTTGCAGGTATAGGAGTCCCACTGGTCAATACAACTGCCGTCATTCTGACAAGGATTGGAATCACAGGTCGTGGTACAGCCCGCCTTAATTTGTAGATTTCTGAAAGGATAATTATTCAGAAATAATATTACATTCATAAATACCTAAGACAGTTACCCATTCCTATTGGTCGAGAGCCCGTCACGTGGCCGGTCTTAAATGGATGATAAAGACATGGCTAGCTGGTCTTGAAACCTTTTCAAGTGTAACATGAAATTTGGACTCCTAAAAAGCCAGTGCCTCTTACCGTTTTATTGGTTGAACGTTCACAATTCTCATGTAGGCATGCGCAATACTACCAGTGAGTCAGTATTTTATAGTCCTAAATTCACAACGCAACGCCCCATCGCACAGTAGAATCATTTGGAAGTATAAGTACTCGTACTCGGAGACCTAAAGTTGTACTCGGAAGTACTCGTACTCGTACACGGTAATCTAAGTATTCGGCAGTACTCGGAAAAAAGTACTCGAGAAAAACACTGTTTAGAATCATTTTGTAGGCTATATTTTTTTTGGAGGACAAAAAGCGGGGGGTGCAAATGATATATCTCCCCCACATTAAAAGGTGGGACTGATTGTCGCCCATGCACGCACTACAGAATACCCCCAAAGTGCACTTTTCCACAAAACACTACATTTTGCATGCAGCAAATACTTACTCATCGTGTTCAAAGTAGTCATATAGGAAGACAGTGCCACTATTGTAAGCGAAGTCTGCAATGCATCCTGTCATGCCTCGAGTCCCTTTACGTAAACTGTTGATGCAAATAGATAACAAAAGTGTTCTTTCTTTCTATGTGTCACCAAGAAAAAAATCATATTTTGTTTGAATTGTTATATTTTTCAAGGCAAATCGATGATGCGGTACATCAGATGCAAACTTGAGTCATACTTTGGGCGCGCTTTTTGAATAGGTTCATACTTGCACGTGAATTTCAAAATTGAACTTGAAAGAAGAACAATACTGTGAATTCATTTAAAGCCAGAGTCCATCATTTGCAGCTATCCAAAAAGTAGCTGGCGTAATTATTGTTGAAAAACATACTTGGTTGAAAGATAGTAAGGGGACTAAACTCCCTGTGAAATTATTCTTTCTGGCATGCTGTCATTTTGAAGAAATAAACAAAAGAAGGCCTTTCCAACGGAGCTTCTTAAGATGCACCGTAGGAAATTCAAATTAGTAGTTCGTTTTGTTATTCAGTGAAGTGCGCGCAAGCATTGGCAGGACGCCATAATTCGTAATTGCTGTAATTCGTCGGATCAGTGAACGACATCGCGTAGCTGCATTCGGCTCAGTGAGAGTGTGTCTCGAATGCTGAATTCAGGCCCAATTCAAAACATGATTCAGCAACTTTTGATTTGAATATGAGATCCTAGAATGTTGTTTTTCTCGGAATATACAGCTGAATCTGAGCTGAAACTTCATCAGGTTAGTTGTTCAGCACCCTTCTTCACATTTTGAGTGCATTTGTTGCTGCAAACGAACAAAATGCACAAATTACAAATGATGGACTATACCTTTAAGGTGTAGTCTACACGGATCAATAAGAAAAGGAAACACAGAAAGTAAAAAGCAACAAGATCGTCACATCATGAACATGATGAACCATTTCCACATTAGAAAAAATGCGCATGATACATTTTCCTTGAAAGTTGAGTTTGTTTTTGACATGCCTTTATTTGAACACGAATCATTTCAAAACCCTTTTGAAAATCTAACCAATACTTACCAGAGATAAAGTTAAGATTCCAAGCTTTAAAATGGATATAAAAATATTGTTTCCGCGGCGACGCTAGAGCCTCGCAAAAAAAATGTTGCGGGTATTTTGGGACGCGCTGTAGATGCAATATGCAATCATTCTGGTAATCTTACTTGTATGTATAATTTTAAAACATTTCTAAATCTCAAAGTTTTAAGGGTTTATTTTTCTGCGTTCCTCTGATAATATATCTCCACAGATGCTACTTTTTCAAAAGTCTACCAAATTATCAAATGCACTCGCTAAACATTATTATATTAATGTAGAAATTATTGTATCAACCTACTTCTCCATTCCACCGAGGAGAAAAGGTCCGGTCAATGTCGGAGTAACTCCTCTTGGAAGATCCAGAAATCCCTGGTCAAAATCTACTGTCATTCGTAGATCAATCAGGCTGCGTTCTACTGTCAGTGTGTGCCATTGACCATCATTTATATGTCGGGTCGATTTCACGTGACTGTCGTAGAATTCGCCGTCCACCTCAAGTATAAGCCATATGCTGAAAGCTTTTTAGACACAAATCACACAATACAAGAAAGTTTTTATAACCAAATAATTATAAACACTTCAAATTAGTTAACATAGTAGTGCCCAGAACAAAATGCTATGGACTACATCACAGAAGACAATTGTACAAAAAGGTTCACATTGTTTTCCACTTTTTTCACCGATGTGCATTTAATTTTAAATGCCATTAAATAGCTTGAAGATATTGATCATCCACCACCCATTTTACTTTAATTTGGAAAGTGTGGGAAATTTGCTTTAAACACAGATATATAAATACAGTCTCGTATGTTTACGGATATAACAGTGCCCAGAGAGTCAAATAGTGTCAAAGCCAACCCTCCAACCCCAACCCCCCTTCTGCACCCATTCCAAATTTCTAATGTTTCTAGCTGCTGGTTTGTATGAGTTTAAAATACAATGGCCACAAGGTAATAGCCCAAAGTAAACAACGTTTTAAGCCAACTTCTTCTTTCACATTTATATTCAATGCGCGATTTAACTAGATATCCTGATTGCCGTCTCAATGTGAAAGCAATAACTCTCAAGAATTGAGAAGTATATGTGCTAGAACAGTCGCGAATATACATATTATTCAATCATTCACCAAATTTCCGAATAGCACATTTTATGAGTCCAAAATTTGAGAAAATGTGAGTGGTCTGCAGAGGATTAAGGAAAGCATTTGTTACATTATTCAACAGTCACTACACAGCAGCAGATCTATACCCCCCCCCTCCCATGTGGCGCTGACTAATGTTATGAAATTAGTAAATTGGGCCCCAAAAAATAAATGAAATGTTGAAGTTTTCTAAATTTATTCTTGAACTGTATTGCAATACAGGAGAAATCATCGCAGATTTCAAAATTTTCCCAGGGCCATGCCACTTTTGGACATCTGAATACTGAATTATTTAAAAATGCATAGCACTAATATTTCCTACTTACCATTCTTTAACACAACAGTCAGTGAATGTGCATCACTCCCACTACCCATTTGATGAAACAGAACAACGTTCTCTTCAGATGTGCGGAACTTGAAGTACAACGAATCACTCGTCCAGGTATCTAACGTGATGTAGTCTTGAGAGCGTGTGATGGTGACGGTTTGGCCTCTGATTTCTCCAACTGCAAGCAAAGACGGTAACTTTTTTTTTTTTGCTTCAATGTCAAGAAATAAATCAAAGAATATCAACAAATGAAAAAATTATGAATTACATTTTAAGAATACTAGTACTAGTTTTAAGAAATAAATCATGTAATATAAATTGGGCACTACTGAGAAATTAAGCAGTTCAGTTTTCAAACTCTAGTAGTATTAAGGGAATTAATATGTGCTGGGCCGGTTTTAAATAAGTATGTTTAAATCGTCTCGGGCTCTGGAAACGGATAATGGCCCTCGCAGGTCCCATTCGTACATCTCTTTCAGTCAAACTGATTTTGGTCAATAATCTTACTTCACATTTTGTGATAATTTTTGATAAATTTGAATGCATTCGTGCGCCGACGATAACTCACGCAAAGACAGTGTGGCTATGAGCTTTGGTACATTCAGGTAGTCATGTGTACTTTGCTCGCGAGCACTGGTACAGTGCGCATCGCCGTATGTCTCATCCACGGGGCCCTCAAAAGAAGTAAAAAAGTGCCCTCTTTTGCTTGCGTACAGAGCCCTTAGTTACCATGCCCTCAAATTTATCAGACTAGATTTTAGACTAGCAAAAGATTTGCGTCTTTAATAAGGATGTGAATTTCCTTTTAAAAAACTAATACTTACGATTGCTGGAACAATGTAGGGGGCCTAAAGATAATGTGCCTTTAGTCGTTTTCTCAGCACCAGCGACATCTTGCACCTTGAAGAACTGCATACTCACAATAGGTAAGGATTCCATATTGGTGATGTAGCCACGGTCAACGTCCCATCTTGAGAAAAGAGAAAAATAATGATTGAATAAGTTTGATATTTCTAGACAGTAGTGGTATGCGAACTTAGCTGCATGCAGATTTGAAAGACTAGATTTTAGACTATGGTCCCTCTCATTGTCCTTGGTGCATGCAGATTTGAAAGCACGTCCCATCTTGAGAAAAGAGAAAAATAATGATTGAATAAGTTTGATATTTCTAGACAGTAGTGGTATGCGAACTTAGCTGCATGCAGATTTGAAAGCTGAATCCTAATTGGTTGATCCATGGCAACAGTGTGATATTTATATGTTGGATGAGCTTCGACTCGGGCAAGGTTGTTATAGTGAGTGCAACATATTCTTGTATCCCCCGGAAAAAAAGTCCAATATTATTATTATTATTTTTATCAGGCTGACTTGATTGGCAAGAAATAAATGTCAGGACATTGTCTTTACTTCTCAAATTTCGTCGAATTATTCTGCGCATACCGAAGCAAATTTTGCACCGCTAGAAGCTGCATTTGTGGTTGTGGACAACAGTGCGTGTATGCCCGTACCCTGCTGCGCGTTGCGTCTGCGCGCTACATTCTGTTGACTGGTTGACAACTGTGATTTTCTGTTCTCTTGATTGTGCAGGAACCAGCGAAAATGCCCGGATGAGGACATACCAAAAATAATATTGTGGTCATCAGGGAACTTTTACTGACATAGTATTGCACTCATACGGGTCCTTTTTATGAAAGTACTCATACGGGTACTTTTTACGCTGATTTATTATTACCTAAGGAAGCCTGATATAAACAATTAAACCCCATATAGCATGGTCCATATTGCACTCTGCATATCGCGCAATTCTAAAATACATGCTATTCCTGCAGCATGCCCACGAAAATACGATAACCATTGAAAAGTTCATACAGCGTGTGGGCTCAATCTTTACAATGTGACAAGTTTGCTTGAAATGATGCCGGGCCAGGTAGTAAATTGTAGCATTACAATCAGTCATGCAATTTTGCACTTACTCTTTGGCGTTGAGATCACAGTGAGTAACAAACGGTAGGTTGTAATGACGAAGCTTTCTCCCCCCTGCACTGTGTAAAACAGTCCACCCTCGCCTGATACTGATGAGAATAAACGATGATGATTAGGGCAGTCAATTCAATTGTCTTTCTACATGAATGAAAACATGACTATCACCACACCATTTCTATATTTATATTTGAAAAATGTAATCATTTGGCAGCTTGTATCTGACCTAATTGTATAGGGTATCTGACAGAATTTCTTTAGGTAGGGGGTGGTTGCAAATGCTCTGCCTTTGAAATGGATATACATTTTAGTGCATTTTGGAAATGAACTCTTCTGTTGTTGGCATGTTTTAAGACGGTTTAGACGTCAATACAGTAAAGTCTTAATTTTGAGGGCACACAAATCATACTTTGGCCTGCCTCTGTACCCATATGATGTCCGGGGGCCACCATTATTGTTTTCATGCTAGCAACACCAATCGCTGTTGGTATGCTTTTTTTTATGAAAAGCCACATTTTGCAGAAATAAAGCAGTGGATTGGCTTATAAATAGTAAAGAAACCTAACTATCATATGCTAGTCCATTACTCATTTCCTTTTAAATTGTACCCTTTTCAGAATCAAACAATTTTGGGATTTCATGTTCATTTGTCAAAGACTCATTGTCATACTGTTTGGGGTTTAATTGTTCTGAGGACTGTTCGTGCTGGCCAACCGCGGAAAAAAGAAACAGTAAGGCAAAAAAAAAAAAGTCTCCGGTTTCTGGTATGCGCGCGCGTCGCCGTAGCCATGCGCGTCGGCAAAATGAAAAAGTTTTTTTTTCAATACAAGATGATGTCTCAAAACCGCCAAACTCACTGGTTTGACTGGAATCCTGCTGCTGCACAATTTTAACGTGTTTTTAGATGGGGTTATGATCGAGAATAAGATTTATGTGGCCTCTCTGGACTCCCATATATTTGCACTAAGTTTAGTCGGGCACCATTTGCAGTCATCAGCCGACATTTGAAGCCAAAAAAAAAAAAAAAAAACAGGTAAAAAAAAAAAAAAGCTGCGTCGCCGCACCACTTTTGGGGCAAGCTCCATACCAGAAACCGGAGACTTTGTTTTTTGGCCTAAGTAGTGACGTGAGCAATTAATGAGCCGAAGAGGGAAAATTTCAAGGCCTGATTTCATCCCGTTGTTCCGTTTGAGTGCATTTACAACGTCGGTCATTAGCTTTGCAGTAATTTAAACAATATTGGTTAATTGAAACTTATATTTAATTCCCCATCAGGTACAACAAGTAGACACAAAAACCAGGAGTGCAACATGGCCTAATTGTCACTGCAGGACTTACTACAACGGCGCTTCAAAACACCAGTAGCTGAAGTATTGTCTGCAAATTTGGGAATTCAGGACGAGTTGCTTCAGCTGTTCGTTTATCATGCCACGGTAAGTGATGTTAAAATCCAGACTTGGCAGTTGTATGTCACGCACGACAGTTTTGGCAGCAAAGTTGTGTTCCACTGTCGTTTCTGCACTGCCAGATCTAGAATGATCAAGACAGATTTATTACAAAATCATAGTTTTTTTCTTCAAGTTACAATACCATGGTACTGATAGCAAAGTAATCAAACTGAAATTTCCAGAAATCTAAGAAATGTTTGGTGTGGAAGAAAATATAAAACAAAATTTAATAAGGGAATAAATACATGTTTGTCCAGTATTAAACAAGTACGCTTAATTCTTTAGAAGAATTTCGATACCAAAAATATCCCGATTTGGTCCAGTAGTTTTTGCTGCAGAGCCTATTTTGTGAAGCACACTTCTTTCATGTGGATATAATTACTAACAATCCCTCTATCAATTAGAATGCAAGTCAAATTCCCGGGCGCGCTTTAGTCATTTATCGGGCCAAAATGACCCCCACCTTGCTTCACAAAATAAGCTCTAGAACAAAAACTACTGGACCAAATCGGGCGACCTTGGTTTCATTTTTCTTCTAAAAAGATTCTCCATGCATTGGTATATGTGGTTTGAGTCTCAGGGTAGTGGAAGTATACCATTCCGGTTTATTTGGACCACCCTGTATGTCACTGTATAGCATTATTTACACAAGTAAATACTGAAATACGAATGTCTGTATTTTTATTGGTCAGGCAACTCTCACCCATAACTGCAGTTGACGTAAGTTGCACTGGTTGGCCCCTGTCCATCCAAGTCCAGCATTTTGACCCCAGAGTCCTGATCCCCAGAATGGTACTGGTGGGCACAACTTTCTTTGTGCATTGCTTAGAAATGACAAGAATGTAGAAATAAGGGTTAATGACATGTCCAAGAAAACGGAGACAATTCTGCAACTCTCGGAAAAGTCTCGGGGCAGCAGTTTTACGTCCAACTTTCTGATCTAAAAAATGCAACAACCGATATTTTTTTTAATTTGGTAGTCTAGTACATATGCAAACACCCAACTGAATTAGGCAAAATATTTGTAATTATGGTAATCAATATTAGACGCTTCTGTCCATAAATGAGCGCATTTTTCTATACACGGTCAATAGGGGGAAAATGTTACCACGGAAATGTGACATTTACGCAACTGTACATCCAATTTTTATGAAATTGGTTTTAAAAACATCCAGGGAAAAAGGTCTACAGCTCATAAAATCTCAGAATGAAAAAAAAAGCCTAAGTGCCAACGATATGTGAATTAACAATTGTTGACTGCTGTGATGTGAGATATGGTGTTTTTTAACACCCGAGAGGTGCTGTGTGCCAAGAGGGGGTTAAAAACGCAGCATATATGAAGTAAATGGTTATTTTTACAGACTGGACACGTGGCCATTCTCGCCCAATGAAATAACAGTATCCAATCACACGATATAACAAAAAAAGACATAACCACCCTCCCCGGACACATGAGCGTGAGTGGAGCATGGAATAATGTAGTCCATCGACCAATCAGGCCAATGCAATGCATCCATCGACCAATCAGGCTGAAGTATTCAAGTTAAATACAATTCAAGAAAAACACGATTACACTCACAGTAACTGCACATTGCTCCAACGTAACCAGTGCCTTCGCAATGACACTTGGTGCCTCCGCTGATCTGACTGCACGTCCCTCCGTGTTGACAAACAAACTCCCCGGCAGCACACGGGTTGGAGACAGGACAGTTGTCTAGTACGATGCCATTGGCTGCGGCAGTACCAATCAACTGCGTTGCTATGACCTCCTGTTCTTGCAAAACTATATGACGCATACAGCCTTTTAAACCTTGATGAATTAAACAAATGAGAAATGAAAGAATCTTGCTGACTGTTAATTATTGAACAAGAAAACTTTCAATTGACACCTTGCATAAGTGCCCCCTCAAGAGTTACAAAGAGAGAGTTGGGGGGACCACTGGGAGGGACATTCAAAGGCATTGCTGCAGAGAAGCCAAAATCACACAAAAGCTGGGCGTGTGACTCGACGGTGCAAGCGGCTAAGTCCAAAATTCACGGCGTCCGGAAATTGGGCACTAAATCGGCTGAGTGTTCTCTAACGTGGCACACTTGAACAAATCTTGGAAAATCTCAAGTTAGGCACACAAAAAAAATAATAGTTCTGCTTCCGGTTTCCCTACATACCATATTCTGACAGCCCCTACCCTAATTTTTTTATTGGAAAAATAAGACAAAAACACCCAAAAACATCACTTTATACCTTTTACCCTTGACTACACGCAGACGCCTGCATATGATCATACACACACAAAAAATGGCAACAACAAAAATTCCCTACCTACCTACCCTATTTTCAAATGCCATGTAATCAGAACAGAACTATTTTTTTTTTTGGCTTTAGCATTTAAGAATTTCTTTAAAGTTGACAAATTTTTATAAATCATCCCGTACCCAACAACAGGTTTGTAAGCAAATAACTTTCTTATTCTGGGGGTGCATTTTAAAATGTTCACTGTATGCACAAAATATTTAAAAAATCACAGAAAATTATCGGAAAATCACGCCAAAAGAACATTTCTCTGTTAACTGTGTAATGGGAGCATAAACTCAAGATTTATGAAAGGGAATGTTTAGAATTTGATGAAATTTGAGGTAAAATTTGTGATCTTCAGCAAGGCACTAAAGGTGAAAAAAATGCACCCGACTCTCGTAAAATGACGCTATAGCTTTGGTCACACATTCAGAATAAAAGTGATCCGTGGACCGCATGTGTTGCCTTTTTCCGCAGTCGATCTCTATTATGTTTTATGTTCTTAAAAAAAACCTCAAATTTTGTGCATTTTTAAACGACCTCAAATGCCCCCCGGAATGACCTTTGACCTCTAATTTCGAATGAGTTGTGATGAACCCAAGTTACATTAAAATCCATCAAATTCTGCAGACTAAGAAACATTTGCAGCATATTTGAACAATGACCTCTAATGACCCCTACATGACCTTTGACCTCAGTAATCTGATGGAGAATTGTGTCTTCCCAAGGGTCACTGAATCAAGTTTCATCAAAATCCATGAAAGCATGTAGAAGTTATACATTTTTTCAAAACTTTAAAATATGGTCGGTCATACGGGTCTACGGTAATACAGATTTATACAGAAGTATCTCCCAAAAGTTTGTTTAGGCCCCACAAAACTAAGCTGTGCGTACATTGTGCGATGCACATGCACACCAGACGCAGCCTTACGGTCAATTTTCTCACCTTCTCCTTGGCCTCTCCACCCCCCTCCCAGGTACAGTGAGGAACTGGCTGATAACTGATAGGGGTAGGTTAACTCGGTCTTCTTGCCATCCACAGTAAATGTACAGACCCTACAAAAAAAAATCACAAGTTTATACTGATGTAAACTCATCATTGTTCCTCCAATGTTTTGAATCACCTTTTAAGGTGCAAAACACGATCAAACTCAAAATGTTGTTGTCAAGGCATATGGATCACGACAGCATAAGTCCAGTCACAAGTCCATCACATGCCTAGTCACAAGTCCAGTCACAAGTCCAGTCACAAGTCCAGTCACAAGTCCAGTCACATGTCCAGTCACAAGTTCAGTCACAAGTCCAGTCACATGTCCAGTCACAAGTCCAGTCACAAGTCCAGTCACAAGTCCAGTCACATGTCCAGTCACATGTCCAGTCACAAGTCCAGTCACATGTCCAGTCACATGTCCAGTCACAAGTCCAGTCACAAGTCCAGTCACAAGTCCAGTCACAAGTCCAGTCACATGTCCAGTCACATGTCCAGTCACATGTCCAGTCACAAGTCCAGTCACATGTCCAGTCACAAGTCCAGTCACAAGTCCAGGCACAAGTCCAGTCACAAGTCCAGTTACAAGTCCAGTCGCAAGTCCAGTCGCAAGTCCAGTCGCAAGTCCAGTCGCAAGTCCAGTCGCAAGTCCAGTCGCAAGTCCAGTCACAAGTCCAGTCACAAGTCCAGTCACAAGTAACAGTGGATGAACAATAACAAAGGAATGCCTTTGCTAAAGTTTATTTGAATAGCTTTGTAAGTTAACTTAGAACTGGATGACTTGTGAGTGGTCTCTTTATGACTTTTGAACCGTCACAATTTATCTCAGCTACAACACTTCAAGTCTCCATATACTTGGTGTAACACATTATGCATAGAAGTACTGATTCACTCACTCTTTTCGTTAAATCTAAACTTCATAAACAATCAATACTACTGAAGCTCAGATCATTCTGAGAAATTTAGGCTCGCGCATGTTTAACTTGATCATTGCATTTCAAAATTGAATATTTGAATATTATTCGAAAAAATGCATTGCCCTATTTTTTTTAGCCCCGCCAACTACACATTTGGAGATGAATTGTGTGATAAAAGTGAAAAAAGGTGGCTATATACTTTTGTTGCCTGTGTTTTTTCTTCACTTACCCATCTCTAAGATGAAGCGCCACACTATGCCATCTTGTATCATTGATATCAGGGCTAGATCTGAGTGTACTACGAGTTAGACTCTGTCCGGGGGCTGTGCCAACGTCCATATGTAAATGTAAGGCTGTATCAACCAGTTCCATCTTCAATAAATCAACAAAATTGTAGTGGCATATTAGTGTAGTTAATATACATTGATATTCATAAATACCCGAGACATCTTACCCATTTGTACTGGTCAAGAGACTATCACTTGGGTGGTCTTAAATCACCAATAAAACACAAGCCAGTAATGCTAAAGACCGCTGTTTAAAGCTGCTCTGCGCCACATGTGCACCAGCTACCACCAGCTGCTTAGAATCACTGATGTTATCTCCATTATAAAAAGAAGAATGATACGCTGCACAGTCTATTTAGCATTCTTAGTTAATTAGAACTCAGATCGGAATAAAACTTTCTGAGAATGAGAACTTTGATGAAATAATAACGTTAATGACAAAAACTCAACTCGGCAAAAAATCGAGATATGCTGGTCAGTGGTGCGACCAACGAATTGATGAACAAAACATTGTCAGAATTTGTTTATACCCTTATTCAAGGTAGATTTCAATTCAAAAGTTACCGAGTCATGTTTTGAATTGGACCAGAAGTCAGCATCCGGGACACATTCTCATTCAGCCACAATTTTGATGAATATTTTTCCCATGTATATACATACCCTTAATCTTCCTTCCAGTTTCTTGTCCACATCTAGTAACATCAGCATGACAAGCCCATCACCTTGTGTTGTCTTGATGTCAAACCTGGTCACCAATTAAAAAAACACACACAATAATCTGATCGGAAATCATAAGGTTATACTTCAAGGTATGTTTGCAAACACAGCAACTTGAATTTTGTACAGATGGTTTTGACACCATATTTTGAAACCACCTTCGATATAGTTTCATCCCGAATGATACAATTTCGGACGGAATAATTTCACAGGGTATTTGGTACCCATCCTAACTTTACTTTGAGCAAGGTTTCTGTCATTAAACTGGTAGGTACTTCTCGGTGTTGTTCCAAATTACCCAAAAAATTTTCAAATTCTTTCTGGTAATGAAACCAAGGATTCCCCAAAAGCGCCCTTGGCACTGTAGCTTGCAAGCCTGAAGAATCCTGTAGAGAGGAGACAATGAGAAGAACCCACGAACGGCACGCTACCAAGCGTATTAACCTACTTAACACCCTCCATAAATTCCCCATTATTGATTGAATGAAAGCCTTTGTACATCTTCATTGTTGAATTTGTTAAAATGGGAAAATCAATTTTGTTTATTTATGAGAAAATAACAGGGACGTCACCTCTTTGTTATTATTTAGTGAATTAGTTTCATTTAAAGCATTTAATAGTATGGCAGCTGCCACAGTAGCCTAGTGGTTAACGAGATGAGATATGGATTGAAAGGTCCCCGGTTCGAATCCTGCTATGTCCATTTCCAACGACCATTTTTTTTAATTGAAGGGAAAAAAGGAGAACGAAAACCTAAGTGTCTTGCTGTGATTCTGTTAAATTACTGATTTAAACATAAGTGGCTTCACCCACCTACGGGAAGAAAATAATGTGCGCAGTACGCCATTCATCAAAAGCTGAATGGCGCGCCGTGCTCCATTCATGCAAAATAATGGCGAGAAAAAAACAATAGTGTGACGTCACAGGAGGTTGTTAAAGGTGGGAGAAAACCCCAGAAGAATATTCTGTGGAAACCCACAGAATCAGGTAGGGACTGAAAACCCAATCCACATGTGGTCCGGGCAGGAATCGAACCCGGGCCATAGCGATGGGAGGCAAGGAAAGAACAGCTACGCCAACCTGACTCAAGTCTCAACCTACGTGGGGAGGGGGAAATGGCCCTACGCGGCTTTCAAATATACATTTTCTAGGCTAATTTCCTAAATGTTCATTCACTTCTGAAAATCGGTCATTCATTTTTTGAGAATTGCTTTCAACATGTGTTTCATATTTCTGTCAGAACATTCGATTCCATTTTAGTTCAACCAATTAAGTGATTGAGCAGCACCTTTTGGTTATGTCCATTCAGATTTGTTTACAAGACTTCTTTTTCGCGTTCAAAACATTTACCATTCGATTTCACTTAAAGTTTAATGGCATCGGCATCAGATACAATTAGGAGTTTCTTTTTATTAACTGGCAATCAAATTAGCTATACCTGAAATCAATTTAGAAAAGGTATGCTTGCGTAAATAGATGCACAGGTAACGTAAGTTGGCCAGCTGTTTCTCAAAACACAATGCATGGACAATGAAAACTATTGAACTTTCAAATGGGATTAAAGACGAGCATTCAAATTCAGACAAAAATGAATGACCGATTTTCAGAAGGGAATGAACATTTCAGGAAATTGTCCGGAAAAACAAATACTACTCACATGATATTCAGGCTGCCGTTCTTCCATCCGTCCAGGATAACGGTGGACTGGGGTGAAGGGAACGTTATGGGTGGATAACCGATGGATCGGCACGACCTGATAGGACGCCCACCGTAGAATGCCAAGCCTGAGACATTCATAGATAGTGCTTCCAGGATGTTGAATCGGTCAACGTAGATCTCTCGTAAGCATCCAACGAGATTAGCTGGTTCATCTAGGCCTGAAAGATTGATGAAGATCTCAAGATTGTGCATGACGACAGCTTTCAAATAGTATATACAAAGCATTGGACAGGCCTTTGAAGGGTAAACATGGATTCTTTGGCTTTTGGGTTTTTCCCCCCAGAATTTGTTTTATTTAGTGAATGAGGGCAGTACCCATTTTTTGGCTACCAAAATCAGAAAAAAAAGTTTTATGAAGAAGTTAAATAACTTCACCTAAATGTAAGAATTAAAAATAGTAAACATTTCATTTTTTTTGTGTTGTGGCAATGTGTAGGCCTACATCAATAACCTACGATTCACATCATTATATAACCCAAAATGAGGTGATTACAGTGCGTCATTCACTCAAGTACAAGGCCTTTTACCTGGGTAGCTGTTCAGGTTCCGTCCTCCGCCTATGAGCGCTTGACCATCAAAGTGGAACACCCCATCCCCGTCTGGTACTTCTTGCTGGTAGCTCCGCCCATCTAGTTGTACCTCTATCTTCTTACCATTGTGGATGAAGCTCACATGATGCCACCTTTCGTGTATAGAAATATAGATAAGTAGCAATCTGATTTAACAAATCGCTGAAACTAATTCCATGAATCTATGAAAAGTTCCTATGTGAAATGTGATTATTGTCAATACAATTGCGGTTTAAAACTAGCAGTGTAAGAATTTATGTACTCTTGATAATGCAGCGTATTATAGAGAATAGATCATTTCTTGGTCCAACACTAAAACAAAATAAACATAAAAGGATAAAACAAAATGTCAAAAATGAAGAGGCCCAACAGCACCTTAACATACTTTTTTGGGGGTAAATTTATCAAGAGAAACACAGAAGGGACCTAAAATGCAGCTACGCAGCTGTACATAATAAACTAAATAATATTGACTTCTTCAAGTGTAGTAGCCTCCCGAGGTGATCCATTGAGCATTCTATCTTTCCCGAGGTGAAGCTGAGGGAAAATAGAATGCTCCATGGATCACCGAGGGAGGCTAGTTTTTCTACACCGCGAGATAAAGCAATATTTGTTTTATAACACCTCTCCCACAGATTCTGCTGGTTTTTAAGCGATAACTGATTATTAATCTAAATACTATTACAAGGTATTTCTATTTGAATACGAAATTAGTTGTAAAATTTACTAGCACTTTTCCAAAGCACCCTTTTACGAAATGTTTCAACCCAGCTCTGTAGCACAAGCGCTTGGGAACAATACGTACAATGCACAACGCGGCTTTAAGCAGAACTCACCTGTCGTCATTCACAGCAGCTTGGTCGTCAAACCGAAAGGTATTCAGAGATTTGCCTAATTTGACATTCACCACTAGGCTGCCGTTCTTCAAGAAAATGGCCAAATAGGTCTGAACAGGCGTCGTGCCAGCAGCATAAAACAACGTGCCAACAACTTGCTCTCTACCGACCTACAAAAGAAATTGAATAAAAAAAAAAAGGAATTCATTGTCATGTTTCAAGCACGTTACTTGACTTTTTCCAGACTGACTTTGCAGAAACTTTTGATGACATCTGAAGTATTTTGCACCAGGACCAGTCAACTCAAAACTTTGAACACATTATTTTACATTTTCCCCTGAATTACGAACAATGCATGCTGCAGTCACAAACATTTATAGGCCTGCTTATTAGGGCTGATTTACACAGAGCATGGTAAGTGGGGCGGGCTGTCACCGCGTTTTGGGGAAATTTTTTATTGTTAGGGAAATTGAGACCGAGTTATGGGGACTTTCTGCTGTCCCCATAGTGTCTTCGGTCCCTTAATACCGTGGGACAACTCGTGTATAGTCCCCACAGTTACAGAACAAGAAATTGTGATTTTATGTGGGTGAAGAAATTAGAACGTAGAGCGATAAACCTCGAATGCTGAGAAACATTTTCCTGTTTGACTCGAGATGTTATTCACGTGCTCTCAACAAATTCACTTCTTTTTGTTGATATATTTTCAACTTGTATGTTTTATTCTGCCAGAAAACCTTCTTTAACTTTTTTTGATTGTCTGCAACCCTTTTAAAAAGACTTTTTTGTTTTGGGCCACAAACAGCTCTGCTTTGCGAGCGGATTGGCTCTCGGTCCATACATTACCGATACTCATTGTGGGGCCGGAACCAGCCTACCCCAGAAGAACAGAATTGTTGTCCGGCAGCCAAAATTTCGAAAAAAATGTAAAGTAATAATTAAAAAGTGAATAACTTTTGTATTGTTAGAAAAAGAGCAATTTAGAAAAGGAAACTAGTTTTTGGGAGGAACATCGAAAATATCATGGGGAATGCAGCATTAATTGACTTGAGAAATTTAGACTAGTTGCTAACATGGATCAGTGGTTTCTTTTTTAATTTTTGCCCACATTTTCTTTAAAACAGGTTCAGTTAACAGAATGTTATGCCTATTAAAGTAGGTGTGAAATCACAAATTTTACATTCACTTATTTAAAAAAGGAATAGTTCTTTCATGTTAGATCACTAATAACTAATGTTGGTACTTCATACAAATCTTTTGAACAATGGTACTTAAAGAAAATGATGTTACAAACAGTTAAAAAACATGCTGATTTAGGTCACATACAAAACAATAAGGAACAAAAAATGAAATTTACATACCTTAAAACTCAAGTTGATATGATTCTTCTCCATGGGCTTTTTGGCATCAGTTGGAAACATGTCATACTGTATGTAGTTGAAACCTTGAAACGTCACTACAGCGTTCCCTTTGAAGTGAATTAACAAAAATCAGGCACCTAGTCAGTTTTTCTTTGTGGTTCATTTGAAAAAAATGTAATAAAAAGCTCCATCCTCTCTGAGTGATCCCTGATTGCTTTATCCCAGGTCTGTATCGTGACTTTGGGCGTGATCCCCGGCTATGGCATATACAGCTTTATGGCTTCTGACTAGCACCCCTTGAACAAAGACTTATACAAAATGGGGGACCACCAATATAGGGCTGGATAGCTCAGTTAGTTGAGCACTGGAACGGCAATCCAGAGGTCGCAGGTTCATACCCTGCACCAGTCAATTTCTTTTGTTCAATTTTTCAAACTTATTGTTTACTGTGTCAGTTTAAAATACCTGGTATTTCACACGCTGGTCCATGGTGGCCGGACCCGAAACAGTCACAGTATGTACTGGCATATGAGTTGACACACCGTCCGTTCAAACAAGGCATTTCCGATGCACACAGATCCACACAGCCTGGCACAGTTCCCGCTGTACAAAATGTATACAAAAAAAAGAATAAGTGAAACAACGCAAACCATAATGCCTAAATCAATACTTTTCTAATGTAAACAGAGTCGGGTTCCATCAAACACGGGTAGGCAAAGCGTATCATTCACACTTACGTACACTGATGTCCACTTCACTGGTGCCTACTACACACCAGTTACTTCTACAAGTAAAAAGCCAGAGTTGTAATGACTCGAGTCAATGACTTGACTCGTTGGTGACTCGACTCGACTCAAGTCCCTAAGGGTAAATAACTTGACTTGACTCGAGTCACTGCGAGCAAATGACTCGACTCGACTCGAGTCCCTCATCAGAAGACTTGACTCGAGCGAAGGTTAATAAGACTTGAGTCCAAAAAATAAAAGCAAAATTTTGCAAAAAGTATTTGCAATGACTTACGGTGCCAATTTTATGTTCATTTACAAACATACGTGTCACAGATTCCCACCTTGCGGTTCTGGAACGCACAAAATACTATCAGGGAACCGTATTTTAAACAACTTTTCCCATTCATAGTTTCATCATTGGCTTTGGGCGATTTCATATAAAGCTCTTGGAATCAAACGCCGGCTAAATTTATGCCCTCCTTTTATAAATGTTGGTAAACAGTGTTCAAATATTCATGACTCAAAATGACTTGAGCTAAACATTTGACTCGACTTCACTTGACTTGACCTTCTTGACCTAATGACTCGACTCAACTCCAGTCACTTCTTTAAAATGACTTGACTCGATCGAGTCACTTCTTTTAAAATGACTCGACTCGCCTCAAATTACAACTCTGTAAAAGGCACCGTGTGCCTTCTAGCACTATCATTTCTTGGGTTGTCTGCATGCTATGGGATTGGGAATCAAGCTTTGATAGATGAATTACTTGCACTCAGAAATTCACTTTTTCATGCAAAAATCTCTTTAAAAAGTAGCCCTGACTGATCCAAATTTCATTGGGAGCAATGGTTTTTAGGACCTCCGACCTAAAAAATGGTTTGTGTTTTTGTGAAGTGACAAAAACTGTGCACAAAACTATTTTAAAAAATAAAGGCCTCCACTTTTTTTTTTTTATGAAGTTTTATTTGTGAATTACTGTTAAATTAAGAGAGACTTTTTCTAGCAAACAACAGTAAATTAACAAAGAACAAAACATGTTTTCGGCCAAAAAAATTGGTTCCGGTTCTAAGTTTTACCCTTGACTTCATGCAGACGCAGCAATATGATTATACGCAAAAAAAATTGGTAAAAAAAAAATTCCCTACCTACCCCATTTTAGAATGCTTTGTAATCAGAAGCAGATCCACTTCTTCTTTTTTTGCCTTACTTGACATTGCAAACATTTCCCCAATCTGTAACTACAAATTGGTCGAAAATTTGATATTAAAAACAAGGATTAACTTAGAATGTGATTATCTCGGGATGATCTTTTGCCGGATATAGAGTGAAAACACCATCAAAATGTCTGTGAACACTCAGTGAAGAACCAACATACTACATAAGATGACAAGTATGCAAGCTGACGCAAGTTGAAAATCATGAACAAGTTAAATAAGTTAAGTTTTAAAAAACAAAAAACTTTCCCCAGAGCGCATCATAAACAAACCTGTGTGTACTGGGAAGCTGTAATGGCTAAGATAGTTTGGCTTTTCTGATGTCTTTAGGAATGTCCCAGACTTCAGCACATCCCTTCCTTTTGTACATTACCTCTGATGTTCCAGATCCCTCAAGTTATACAAGAACCGATTAACATTTAAAGGTTATCGTCCAGGAAGGTTGACATTGTGGTATGACTAATACAGTTTACGACACCTCATGAGCCCAACACACTTCCTTCTTTGATCGATGTTCTAAATCGTGCCGTCTGCCAAGTAAAATTAACTACCTCGCACACACATGGCCCAACTGGTCAGTAGCGGGCCAGTCGCCAAGGGAGGGCCTGGTGTGGCCGGCCCCACCGTGGCGAGCACTTGGCCATACATTTGTACGTGTTTTTTTATGGTAGTGGGCCCCCTAGTTGATACTATGGCCCCCTGATACTTATAGGGCTGGCGACGAGCCTGGTCAGTTGTACCTTAGAAGTGGCTAGACTGGCTCCTAGACTACCAACCATGCAACAGTTGCGACAGCAAGTGAAGTTTCTGATTGTACCATGCTTAAACTTCACGAAGAGACAAACGATTAACGGGTCACATGGAAAGGAATTCCCGCACAATGTTTCCATTTTTGATAACGAAACTAAACAAGTGTTAGGTAAATTGAAGCAAACACAACTTTTTTTCTGAGAAGATTATAATGACTGGTCTCTCGATCGGTGTTGGCTGATTTTGACTTCCTTTCTCCCTGGCCTTCACATTTTGGGGCAATTAAAGGTAGAGTAGACATTCGCTTCTATCCAAAAAGTAACCAACCAAATTATTATTAAAAAGCATACTTGTTTTAAAGATAGTAGGCCTAATAACATTAAACTCCATGTGAAATTATTCCCTCTGGCATGCTGTCATTCAAATGAAGAAAACAAGAAAAGGTCATTCCCAAAGATGTGTCAAGTGACACATCTTTAGAATTTTCCATTGGCAGTTGGTTTGTAATTGGGAGAAACCTTGATGACGCACATGTTATTATTAGCAAGAATCATCGGTTTAGTGTGTGACATCACGTAGCAACAATCGGCTGCACGAGAATCATGACCCGAATGCTGATTTCGGGATTGTCATGACTCAGGAACTTTTGAATTGAAATCAAGATCCAGAATATTGTGTTTTCTTAAAATAGACAGCATTCACAGAGCTAATGCTTTATCAGGCTAGTTGTTAAAAATACCATCTTTTGATTTTGAACACTTTTGTTGCTTCCAAAAAATAATTGCACCAATGGTCTACTCATAGCCTTTAACTATAGTCAACACCTCGGACCAGTAATTTTACACTACTCCCCCGAATCCACGTCATATTTTATACATTCCAAGTAATCACTCACCCTGCATACTGTAGTTCATTACTTTCCACGACTCCATGCCGTCAATCCAAAAATAGATGTCCTCCACACATCCGGTCAAGTGTTTGAAGTCTTTGGGTAGCATGGCAGATGAGCTGGGATTCAATCCTATGATATCAATCAGGTTAAACACGCAAATCAAAATCCGGTGATTTGTGTAGATACAGGCTCCGTTCATTATAAGAGAACAAAAATACATTTTAAGGTTTATTATTGGACTCACCCAACTACTTCGTAAAAACTGTATTATGAGTTTAAACACATTTCTAAACACTTAATTGTACCCACTTTTTACATGCTTGAATCTACACATGTTTATACAGGGTGACCCAAAAAAATGCAACCCTCAAACATTTGCCTTTTTCAAAAATGTGATCCATGAAATTTTATTTTGGGGATATTTTCAAAAACGTTATCTGTGAAATTGAATGTTTTAGATAGCAGATTAAAGCTGAGCGTTTTTCTTCCAAATACTGAAAAAATCATGAAAACAGCACATTGGGTTGCTGAGAAAATGCCAATTATGTAAAAGAAGTTGGTTTGTTGAAACCAACAGGCATGTTGTAGAAAGGGTGCAGCGTTTTGAATTTTTGAGGGCAATTTTGGGGTAAAACTAAAATGAAAAAGACACAACACAGGAAGTTAAATAGAGATGGCAAAAACCACATTGATTTGCATGGCATCGACAGAAAAACGTGCAAGGCACAAGTTACAGAAAACCCCTCAACTGGACATGTCTTCCTGATATGACATGATAGCAACAGCGCCCTCAGTTGTACAGAAAAGCATGGACATTTTTTAATGTTTGTTAAAGAAGTGCACTCTTCAATGAAATTAACCAAAAAGGGATGTCAAATAGTCTTCATACATTTAAGAGGAGTAGAAAGTTGCACAAAATGTGTTCCTATAAGAAAAATTCATCCCATGGGCCCTTTAAAATTGAGAACTACAGGACTGTTGTTAGAAATACATGTACCTGAAACACAATTTGTATTGTAGGATTTTATAAAGTATATTACTTGCCTCCAATGACAACTGCAGACAACGAATCAAGGTTTTCTTGCCATTGGATGATAGCATCATCTTGGTACAAACTGAGACCAACCGTTGTCGAGTCCACACTGATGGACAAGTCTCCCTCCATTGGCATCTTAGTGTAGTTGACTGTATGCCACTCGTCATCGTTTAGTTTGTCTTTAAGAGAGAATCTGGGAGAAAGAATAATTCACAGAAGATAAATTAACCACTCTCGTTTTCCAGTGAATATAAATAGTATATGAAGTGCAAGTCAATTTTGTCCCCAACAAACATAAAATCTCACAGTGCACTGAAATAATCAATTTTATCACTAAATGATCAAATTATTTATAAGCAGCAAAATTTCCATTGATCTTCTCCTGTTGGTTATTTTATATGTGTTTTGCAAAATGTAGGCTAACTCCATGCACACACATCTCGATCACTGTGAATGCATTTCATACTGTACTTTCGTATGAAGAACTTTGTACATGAAACCCTATTGACAAATTTGTGACAAAAGTGAGATCCTGTAAACAGGAGAAGAGCCAATCAACAGCCACGAATTTTAACCAATTGCTGAGAAGGCTTGGAGGGGCAACCAACCAATAAGAATTCTTGTTCTGTGACACTTGGCAAGGCCTGGCTGGGCCAATGAGACGTAGGGTTGGTTCTTGACATTCTAGAAGTAGAAAGTTTAGGCGGGATGGAAAAGTTGCTGGCCAGTCACTTTTGTCTCAGCCTCTGAACAAACAACTTGGATAGCAAATTTTACTTCACATTTTTAATTCTCCGCCACCTTCCCCTCCTCCTCCATGGCATTTTTTGAAGCGGATAAAACACCCCATGGTTCATTAATGATTTTTTACTCCTGCCATTACGATTTTGTAAATAATACTTAGGTTAAACAAAGCACAGTGTGCAACATTATGTAAGTAATTTAATGAGTAGTTAGTATTTTATTGTTGCTGTCAACATGTCTTCCCCTGAGTCAGTACAACAGGGGAGGATGAACCGTTCCGTCTTCTGTAAGTTCAAACGAAGAAAGAACGGTGCATCAAAATCTTTTGTGGACTTGGCATACAATGTAATTGTACATAGAAACAATTTATCATAAGCTTTGTGGTGATATAAAGTTTACTGGCACTTTCTTAATAGATTTTCAGTTCGGCCTATCGTAAATAGGTCATTTATTGCATTGATGATTGAGCTGTGGTGCTCCGAGTCAAATGGTGCTTGGAGCTGCCCTTGGGCCTTTGTGGGTGCCCAAAAAACGGAAGAGCTATGGTCTCCAAGTCAAATGGTGCTTGGATGAGCTATTGGTACTCTGGGCCTTTGTGGTGCCCAAAATGTGAATATTGACAATAATAATAATGTGCTACATGGAGGATGGGTCGGCTGCCCAGATTTCGGTACCCGACATTTTTTGAATAAAAACCTTCTGGCTGAGGCGTAGACACACAAATTTTCTGTGTTGTTTGTGATTTTTAATTTGTCTGCTTATAAACTGTGCATACTGTACAGGGTGACCCCAACAATGCAACCCTTAAATAGTGCCTTTTAGAAAAAAGGATCAGTGGATTTTTATGTTTTGGGTATCAAAGTAAAGGTAAGACATTTTTCTTTCAAATACTGAAAAAAATCATGAAAATAGCACTTGGGGTTGCTAAGAAAATGCCAATTATGTTCAAGTTGTCATTTTTCATCCTGTACACAAGTACTTCAAACAGTGAAACATTTTACTGTAAGCCTACTGTGCAATTATCCTTCATTTGTGCAATTTCTTTAGTATTTTGACATATTGATGATGGTCAATGGGTTTAAAATAGGACTAAAAGGGATGAGATACCTGTTCGGGTGGAAAATGAAAGATATTTTCATCAAATTCATTTGTACTCATGTCATATTATGTGCCATGTTGTTTGTAAGGATTAGGACATGCACAAATAGGTACAGTGACAATTCCTTACCGTGGTAATTTTTTTTTGGTGTACAGGATGACAAATAACTACTTTTACATAATTGGCATTTTCTCAGCAACCCAAAGTGTTATTTTCATGATTTTTTCAGTTTTAAAAGAAAAATCTCACAGCTTTAATTTGCTACCCCAAAGCATAAAAATCCATGTATCCCTTTTTTAAAGCGACTGTTTTAGGGTTGCAATTTTTTGGGGGGGTCACCCTGTACTTTAAACTGAAAACCATTTCAGATTTACTAAACCATTGTTGTCAATTAGCCACCAAGTTCCAAGTAGTCAAGTTTTTTCTGATTTTTACAGATAAGCTCTTACCAATACCAGTATTAGTATGGCAGATAGGTGATGGGATTGTGCCTTTGATGATACAAGCATGGAAAATGGTATACAGTCAGAGTATGTCATGAGAACAATATTTGGCAATAGGGCCATCACAGATTTGTCCTTTGAAAAAAAAATAGGTAGAATAACAAGCAATGGCAGCCATTTTTTAAATTGCATGTTATTCTACCTATATTTTATTCAAAGGACAAATCTGCGATGGCCCTATAGCCAAATATCTCTCTTAAGACATATTCTGTTTTCCAAGTGCCATGCTTGTATCATTAAAGGCACAATTCCCCAAATATTTCCCATATCTGCCCCACTATAATTATGCAACACAATAACATTCACGAGGTACATGACCAAAAATGTATTTGATACAGCATTTTAACTGATACCACGGGAAAGAACATGAAATGAGTAAAATGACATCAAGATCATGTCTCTATAGCACACAACTCTCCCATGCAAGCATACATTCTGTTCAAAGTTGTCCTTTCAGTCAAATCAAACAAGTGACTGTTTTCAGTTAATAGCGCCCAGCCTATACATAAAGCAGGATTGACTGGCTGTGACTGTTTATGTAACTTGATACAGCTATGCTTTGACTGTAGGTGATTAAAAAGTCAGCTGTGCCTACTTCTTGCCTGCTTTTGTCTGTTGACTGCATTTGACTAGTCACAGTGCTTGATAAAAAAAACGTGATCTGACTGCTGGTGACTAGCCTGTGTAAAAGGCATGGCAGGGAGGATTGATTTTTTTAACTGTCGGTGGTTGTTCATACACAAGGAGGGGTACATTACTACAAAAGTTGTCAGCATTTAAGTAATTGAAATTGAGGGTAATTCAACTGTCAAACCATAAAACCGTGGCCTAGAGAAGAAAATGTACACAGCCTCAATGAAACTTGCTTAGGTTGGGATAAAAGTAAAATTTATCATTGCATGCATAGGAAAGCCAAATTATAATCCACTAAAGCACATGGCATCACTGTTTATAAATTGTAAAAATCATTTTCAGCCAATGAGATGACCTGAAATAGTCATGTGACTTGACTGACACGTGTGCCTGCTGACTGAGCTAAACAAAACTGTCCATAAAATCCATTTTCATCCTCAAGATTCAAGCATAAATCATGTAAAACACCTTAAAATAGTAAATGAAACTGTTCATTTTTCACTTTTAAGGCAATTTCAGTGGAAAAAAGTGAACTTAACAGTGGTTGACAAGTGCATTTTTTTAACAAGAAAAATCTCATGAAATTCTAAAATGGCCAATAACACCAGCTTTTTTGACAATGATTTTTTGGCATCAAAATTAGATGGGTGGCATGATTCAAGAAGCTTCATCATATTTCACAAAGGTAGGAAAATATAGATTAAATTTCCTTTAGTGAAGAAAATGTACATAGATCATATCCTTCAGGTAGAATTAATGTTATTTACTTTTTTAGCCTTGAACAGCGCGGTGCTGTGACTTTTAATTAACTTGGCACAGAGCAAAAAATAAACAACAGGTAATAAAAAGGGTCGTTCGACTGCATCACTGATAAACCTAAAAGCAGCTCTGAAAACCCTTCCAAAGTAATAGGAGCAAATACAAGAAACGAGTGCGCGCAAGTGTGAAAAGATTGGTTTCAATTCACCTCAATGAGCGTAGTGGTGTTCCCTAATGTGGCGCACTTCGACGTTCCCGACTTTTCTCATACAGTGTTGCAAAACCTCTTCGTAGAAAAACTTCAAATTCATTCAGTTAAATACTGGTACTATTACCTTTATAATGCTTGCTGTTGAACCTTTGTGAACAATTTAAGTGTCATGAAATTAGGTCCGAAATTTAAAAAAAACAAACGGTGGCGTCCGGAAATTGGGCACAAATTCGGCTGAGGCCTGTTCCCTAACGTGGCGCACTTGAATAAATCTGGGAAAATTCAAATAAACATTTAAGAATTTCTGTAAAGTTGATAAATTTGAATAAATCATTATCATCTCCACTCACATACGCAACTACAAATCTGTCAGCAAAGTATTTTCTTATTTTGGGGTAAAGTTTAAAAGGGTTCATTATCATTATGCACTTCGAAAAAAAATCGGAAAATCACGCCAAAATAAAATTTCCCAAAAACTTTGTAGCGGTTACGTAAACTCAAGATTTATGAACTGGAATGTTTAGAGCCTGATGAAATTTCACTTTTTGTGAAATTTGAGGTAACAATTTTGCTCTAACAAGGCACTAGAGGCGAAAAATCAAAGTGCGCCACGTTGGGGGCTGCGCCACGTTAGGGTACATCAACAAATACCTACATTCACACTTTGAACTTGTAACGGCGTGGCTCTCGGCCTGATCGACCGTAGGCGTATGGTGGTGAATTACAAGGCAATCAATTAAAGTTCCAAGCTTACATTGGGCCTCTCCACTGTTTTCAAATCTTGTAAATTTGATCATAATCACGAAGCTCTACCCAAGGATCTGAATTCAGGAATCATTGGACAGCGCTTGTGGTGCACGCGGATCTGGCAACTTCGCATCATTGCCGCGTTTTTTTTATAGTCTTGGTTCAAGACGCTAGTGTAAAGTGATCGACACAGATAGATCGCCTCGCGGTGCCACGTGGTGTTCCGAAGTAGTGCGCCCTCAGCAGCACATTTCGAACAGCTCTGTTCTTTTGACATATCTTAGGGGGGGGGGGGACCGGGAAAAAGTCTACTCAGGTGCAGACCAGTAAATAGGCCAAAAATTGCCTACGCCCACCAAATCACGATTTGCATGCCCTCAAATTATTAGAGCATTTTGTGGGCCAAGCCCTCAGCTTGTATTAAAGCTTATGAGCTTGTTTCTGTGAAATTTGGATGACTTGGGCCTATAAATTTTCTTTATTTCGCAATGGAGTGTAGAAATATTTTTTTTTAATGGCGATGAGCTTTAGGATTTTTTTTTAGGGCTGATGATCTTCTGATGAAAATTTCCTCCAAAAGTCATTGGATTACCCCCAAAGTCATTGGATTACCCCCAAAAATCATTTGAACAGAAAACGATGATGAAATCGAATCAATGTTAGGCTTTGCCCTTCACCGACGTATAAACACTGTAGGAATATACTCAGTGAATACCTCCCGAGTGAAAGTTGGGAAAAGGAGGTAACACGTACACTGAGTATAGGTGTTTACGTCGGTGAAGGGCAAAGCCTAATATTGATTTACATCACCCCGACGCAAAATCCATCTTATGAATGATAAAATCAGCTTTAATTTGATGTGTGTATTGAACACCTTAGAGGTTGTGAGTATTTCTACTGAATTGGGGGCATTTATCATGAGGGTCTATGGCAGTTCATTTGGTCTGCAACTCTCCAGTTACGACATTGTGTGCACGACCAGTACGCGCAAATTAAAACGAAGTTAGTACATCAGCGGCATCTGAATGCTTTAAGACGCAATGTTTCCTTTACACTGGGTTTATATCAGCGGTCACCAACTTACACCCTTGGTTTTTAGGCCTAGGGAGGCCGGGAGACTAAATAGTAAATAGGATGGACATAATCTGTTACACTCGCCAGTATGAATCATCACCAAACACTACACAGTCTTGGCCCAAAAGTTACCCGCACCGGCCGGCCAATTCGGGGAAAAAAAATATGGCGCCTACATTTCAATTTGAAAACGTATTGCATATGACCTTTTCGCTCATAACTACCTACATAGCTATTCAAAAGCACATGACACTAAAAAAAATCACTGACACTAAAAAGGGAAGGAAACGGGGACGTGCGTCGGAGGTATGAGCGAATATAGCAACCATTGCAGAAGGCCTGTCGGACCCCATTGGCAATAAGCCTTTAGCTTTATGGCTATCCAGGCACCAGACTGTTGTTTGTTTGTTTTTCAATTTTGTGCCCAGTCATAGTAAACTGTAAATGTGCCCTAATTTCTTTTGTTCTTTTTCCTACTTATGTATTTAAATGTATATCACTGAGTGTTGTTTTCGTAATAGATTCTTTTCCATTTTTTGTGGAGTTTTTGGAGTGCGAAATAAACCAGTACTGAAGGGAACGAACACCGGTTCAACTTCTTAACTGAATACTATGCCGAAAAAAGGTAAATGCACACTGCTAAAAAAAACACCTGATAAATAAATTAAAGAAATGGAACAAAAGTAGTACCTGTACTTTTAATTACAGCTTTTGAATGTTCATTTTGTTTACGATTTTACAATAAAACGTTGGATCATTCCCATGTAATCGCTGGTTGCGGCATAGATAATTTCCATAAAAGGTGAGGATGCACCAATAATTCCCTTTCGCGTCGTTATTTCTATTAACAGGAAAGTTGCTTGGTAAGTTTATTGCTAGACCCATTCAAGTTGCATATAAAGGGCTTGTGATTTTACTTGACTTGTAACAAGACTTTTGATTGACCTGTGATGGATTCACAACTACATCCTTGTGCATAACAAGTGCTCTTCCCCAAATCTGGACTTTTGTTCTACAATAAACGAATTTTCAATTTGTAGCTTTTATTTTAACGGGAAAAAAAAATTGAAGCGTCTTCAACCATCATACACAAGGTTTTCACTTCGCGTCACTTTTGCTCCTTGTAAACGAACCTGGCCTTTGATAACCGAATTCTAGTCGGGCTAGTTGCAAATAATTGGAATTTCGTAAAACCAAATGTATTTTTAGTGAATGAAACTCGACAAAGCACAGTACACCTTTACCGGACCGGCTGATCGAAGCTAAAACCAGCAACCTAGGGCCTATTACCTTTAAACTTTTCTCTAGCTACCCATAGCTGGTCCACGTGTTTGAGGGAAAAGGTTATAAATAACGTCGCTTACTATATGTAGGCCTAAATGTTTCATCAAACTTATCACTTACTTTTCAATGTGATCATCAAGAAGATGACTAGCAAGTAGCTCTCCATTTTTCAGCTCAATCCAAAAGCGGTAAGACGGTTCATCGTCGGTCTTGTTGGCGTAGTGGTGAAGGTACAACAGAGCATCAGACTCAAGCGTCTTGAACCGAAAGGACACACCCTGCTTCGAAGTGGGCAACCAATCCGGGTAAAAACTCGCGAAGGAAGACTCTGTTTTCGTAAAAGTGAAGGAGTTTGCCGTGTACAGAGAGCAGAAAAGTAAGAATATGGAGGGGAGAAGTTTTCGGGGCGATCCAGCGGGCTCCATGTTTTTTTTGTTCAACCCGGCGGTCCGGCGTGGAGCAAGTTTGCAGCTGGGCTCTTAGTCTTAGAAGCTAGGTCACCGCATGATGTCTCGATGCATGCAAGACCTACACTCATGACGAGCCTCGTCCGGGATTTTCAGGAAGCAATAATTACGTATAGCCCTGCAAATTAGCATTTTGTCGGTCTGAGATATTGGCGTCCTGCTTATTCATCGTCAGACAGTGGGTCTCTGTGGGGCTTGCATTTGCACTAGGATACTGTCTTGATATCCTTATTTGGAGCGTATGCATGCACGTGATCATCTGACTTTGAGTTCAAAGTGTTATAGACCTAGTGCGTTAAGGCGGAGTCGAAATTAGGCAGTTTATGGATAAGAATAATTATTTCTGAAATAAAAGAAACCCCAAAAACTCCGAGACACCCGCATCGCAAAAGGTCTATCGTTCAGTCGCTGATAGTCACTATACATACTGTGATTTATGTGCATTATGAATACAGACTGTGAACCTAATAATGAACTTTATGGTGATTAATATCTGTCATTTGCAGGATTTTTGGATTACAATATTTTCCCCTATGCTATAATGCTGTCTCTATGACGAGAGCTTTGGTGGTAGAGGGCGCTATTAACAAAATGAATCGAATACCTTGGGAATATCGGCACTCGGACCCCATGCTGTATTCAAACTTTACACATCATTATTGACCCAAGACAATCTTTTAATAACGATGTCCTGAACTCAGTGGGGGTACGGAGAGGGGCAGGGCGGGGGTGGAGCTGGGGCCAAGGCCTCGAGTAGGGGGGGGGGGGCTGGGTGTGGGGGTGTGGGCGACTGTGATGAGAGACAACAGACCGTGGTGAAATGATTTTAAAACTGTCATGCAAAAATGAAGGGGAGGGCGGTGATGTTTACATGAAATTTTTACTTATCTCCAACTGGCAAGATGACTTGGCGCTTCAGTGCTATATAGCTTCTCCGCGATTTTAAGTTTTGTGAATTCAGTTCCTGAACTTCGTTTTCAAATGCTTTTTTCCCCTCTTCTTATGTCAGCCATCCCCCTGTCCCTACTTCGTCGAATAGAATGGTCGTGGAAGCCTTTTCATCCATGGCCTAAGCCATGAGGCTCAGGCCTTACCCTTCAAATCAAATACGGCCTTTTTTAAATTACGGTTTCATTCTTCGTGTCTGGCACAAGAAACACTTTTAGTATCACCTTTAATGTCAAAATAAGGGGAAACACTTAAAATCTCGGACTCATATTATAAAGATTGAACATTTTTGAAACAGAATATGAACCCATATTGAACCAGAATCCCCAAGTTGGGAACTTAAGGCAACTGAATTGAAGCCGAGGCGAAGCGGACCCGAGGTTTGGGAAATATTAGTCTGGTTCGCTAAATGCGTTGCAAACAGCCCCGTGACGTCCATGGCAACACCGGGGCGTCAGTGCAGTTACACTGCACTGCATGCATGGGATCCGCACCGCGCTAGCTAGCTGCAATCGAAATAGACTGAGGATCGTGACACGCAGAAAGGGGGAAGTTTTACTCGTTTGAGAAAATCCCAAATCAAGATCGGTGTAAAAATGTGTTCGTGAAGAATGGTGTTATTAAACAGAGCGTAAGAGAGTGTAAGTTTGGCTCAGGAACTAACTCTAAAGTGTTAGGCTGACACTAACTTGCGCAGTGGCAGTCCTCGACTTTCGTCGGTCGAGTTGACCGGTGACATGACGGTCGAGTTGTCGCAGTCATGATGACGTCTTTACGGCGATCGCGTAGTGTACTAGGGCCCCTGTTTTTTTTCGATCAAATTAGAATCAAGATTTTTTTTATTTCTAAAATATGACATTGTCAACCTAAAGCAGACTTCTCTCAATATAATGACATCTTAGTTTTTGGTAATTTTTTAACAGTTTCTTGACTTGTCTTGGGCCCGGGGGTAGAAATTAATACGATTTTCCTACGCGGTTTATTAATTATCCTTAACCCTCCATAATTTGCGCAGGTAACGCTTGCAATGCGGGCGCGTTGTCACGCACAAATTGTGCGTATAAAAAGGACCGCGTAGCTTTAGGGTTATGTAGGGGGTCTGACGATACAGGCCAGTTGGTGCCGTGCAGTGCGACTTGTGTGCTCACTGTACATCGTGCGGTGATCGTCATCTTTATATTTGTGTTTGGTTTTGTCGTCGTCATTGTCATTTTACCCCCAAATTTCCCTAAAAAATTCAAAACCCGGCCCTTATCTGGGGCTCTAGAACTCTAGTCCCACTGGGGCGCTAGAACTCTTTTTTTGACATTTGGGATGAAGGCCTATCATATTAGCCTGTCGTAGTAGTACGAAAGGCTAACAAGTAACATCCCAAATGTCAAAAAACTAACTGGGGCGCTTGAACTCCTTTTTTGACATTTGGGATGTAGGCCTATCATGTTAGCCTGTCGTAGTAGTACGACAGGCTAACATCCCAAATGTCAAAAAACTAACTGGGGCGCTTGAACTCCTTTTTTGACATTTGGGATGTAGGCCTATCATGTAAGCCTGTCGTAGTAGTACGACAGGCTAACATCCCAAATGTCAAAAAACTTACTGGGGCGCTTGAACTCCTTTTTTTGGCATTTGGGATGTAGGCCTATCATGTTAGCCTGTCGTAGTAGTACGACAGGCTTACATCCCAAATGTCAAAAAAGGAGTTCAAGCGCCCCAGTTAGTGGCACTAGACATAGGCTAGTCCGAAAATAAATGTGGCCAATTTACTTGACTACCTCCGTAAATAAGTGCCACACTTGGTACATGTACCCAAAAATGCAGAACTTTGTCAAATTTTGATTTTCACAGTTAGACTATATTTGTAGTTAATTTACGCTTTACACATGCTTTAGAAGCACACTCGCGCGATAGAAAAGAACTTTAAAGTTTACATAAACTACAAATAAAGTCTAAGTGTAAAAATGAAAATCTGACAAAGTTCTACATTTTCAGGTACATGTTCCAAGTGTGGCCCTTATTTATGGAGGTACCGGCAGTCCAGTAAATTGGCCACATAGGCCTATATGGAACTAGGAAAATGACTGCTTGTATGCAGTGTCATTGATAAAGTTTGACAATGTTGTTATTGTGGTTCTTTGACTGTAATGTTTCATTTCCAGAGAAAGCTACGTAAAACAATAATCCAGTATGGCAGAAGTAGCAGAGAGAAGACGGGCAGTAATCACCACTCTGTTCAAGGAGTATGATCGTGATGGCGCAGGGGAGCTGACTCCTATACAGCTACAGTGCATGCATGCGAACTTACGACAGGGAGGAGTCAGTCTTGCACAGGTACGTTAAGCAGGGGCGTCGCCAGACCTATTAGAAGGGGGATTTACAACAATTTGCCGATAGGCCATCTGAGCTGAAAGGTAGCTTAGAGCTTTTCAGGTCACCTGGCCACCGCAAAATCAAAAAGGGTGAGGGACACCATTTTTTTTTGGGGGGGGGGGGGGGTGTCCTTGTGCAAAGGGAACAATCTTGGACAATATTAGACAATAGGTGGTGCTATTCATCGTGACATATTTGCCGACAGACGTAGAGGTTTGCCAACAGGATGACAATTTTGCCAACAAAAACAATTTCTTGGGGGATCACACCTTCCCAACACCACCCCAACACCCCCTCCCACATCCCCATAGCCCCTCCCACATCCCCACTCCCCCACCCCCACCCCTCCCCCCCCCACTCCAAGCAATACATGTGATGTTACAGTTAAGACCCTTCGTTACATTATCCAAAATCTCTGTGTTGGACCCATGTCGAACCCCGAAATTTTCGGAACCCCTTTTACACGAACAAGAATTGAGCATGGCTTTCGCACAGTTTTGGTGATCTACGCTGATAAAATTCAACTCTGATTGTGACGTGGTTGAGAAGCTCTGCCCGGGTAGAAAATGCAAAATATATGTACCGAGCAGTGTAGTGTGAATGGTATGCATTGCCAACCCCTGTTCAATATGTGAAACCAAATAAATTGTACACGTTTTTCCTGTTTTCTCAAAATGAATATAGCAGCCACTTACCTAAAAGTTCAACAGGTTAGTTGTTATGCACCCTACTTAACCACTTCGCGCCGGTATTATTTTGACATTGACCGGACCCAGGTGTGTCGTTGTTTTTCACAAACCTCGATGCCAGACAAGTTCAGGCTGTCATCTGCGGGTAGCACACCCTGATATTTCCGGCCTCGCTCGCTGCGAGCGGGTTCGCTGACAGATATTTCTGGCCTCACTCGTTGCGTGTTTATCCGACATCCATTCCGAATACCGCAAAAGCTTTGCGTGTATCCACGTCATCCGACGTGAACTGGTTAAAGAAAACAATAGAAGAAGGCCATTTCCAAATATGAATCAAGTGACGCATTTTAGAAAATTTCCGTTAGTAGTTGGTTTGTAATTTGGTGTATCTGTGAATGCAAGCGTTGACACGATGCACACATGCTTGCGTGTGCTATAATTCATCGGTTCAGTGCGTGACATCCTGTAGCTGCAATCGGCTGAATGAGAACGTATCCCGGATGCTGATTTCGGGCACAATTCAGAACATGACTATGCAACTTTTGAATTGAAGTTAAGATCCTAGTATGTTGTTTTCTCGGAATATACAGCATTCACTGAGCTAAAACTTCATCTGGTTAGTTGTTAAGCACCTGTCTTTAGATTTTTAGCAGTTCTGTTGCTTCGAACGAAAAAACTGCACAAATGATAAATGATCTAGTACCCTACTTTTAATTGTTAAGGTGCAAGCTGCAATGTCCTACTGCTGTTTGACCGATGATGCGTGTGAGCCCAGCGAGCTCTTTGCTACCCTACAGGAATTAGATCGCCGCTACTTCCTTCTGCAAGACTTTCGCTGGGAATTTGCCCTCTTGGACAGGCTCCAGCAGGATTTAATCACAGAAGATCAAGCAAGGTTGGTAGAAATAAATTTGGAAAACAAAAAATTGTCCCTTTCAAATCCTCTGTTCTCATCGTAGTCTGGTTCCCTGACCTGACAACTCCCCAACGCCCTGACTTCTAAATTGTTGGTCAAACAACCGTCACTGGATTAAAACTAAACATGATGGCCCTTTTTTAAAGCTTGGTTCTGTTTCCAGTTTGGCTTTATCATTAAAAGGTTTTAATGTTCCGATGAAATTTTAAAAAAATCATTTGCTTCATATATCATACAGATGTATATTTGTGAAAGAAAACATTGACTAATCTTGAGCTGGAATCTTCAAAGTTAGGGACCCTATTTGGATCCCTAATCTTCATTAACATCAATGGTGATTACAACATAAGAAGCATTTCCAAATCAACTTCAATTTGGTAATCTTTTGTCCCCAACATGACCCTTAATTTATTGTCTTTAACGTTGTTGTGTAGACTGGTTTCCTGCTGAATGTGTGGAACGGTAATGGAAGGACCGGGAACCATCCAACCTTCTCGATAACGACAGCATGAAATATTCCATGGAAAATTTGTTGAAACAATCTAAAAGTTAAGATTTCAACGAGTAATTTCCCAAAATTTGAATTTTTTCCTTTTCTGTAAATAATTTTATGGCCCAAGTACTTATAATTTTGGTTATGCAAATAAAAATGTACAACCTATTTAACAAATTTCAGGCGCAATTCAAAACGTGACTCGCAACTTTTGAATAGAAATCAAGATCCTAGAATATTGTTTTCTCAGAATATACAGCATTCACTGAGCTATAAACTTTGCATCAGGTTAGTTGTTAAGCACCCGTTTTTACATTTTGAGCACTTTCATTGCTTCAAATGAAAACAATACACACCTAACAAATGATCTATTCTAACTTCAACACACTTTAATATTCTGCCACCGTGTAGGTTTATGTTTGAAGCGGTACATGGCCAGCTGTTCTCCAAGCATCACTGGGAGAAGTTCTTGAAGAGTCGATCAGTTCCTGGTACCGGTGTCAGCTTTGCAGAGATTGAAGTTGATCTGTGTAACATCCCTAGCCGAGAGGACATGGCGTATGAGGAGATGGAAGAACAAAGACAGAAAGGAGGTTTGGTTTCATGGGTGCTTCATACACTCAACCAAAAAAGAACGTCCCCCATAATACTTTTTTGTCTGACTCAAAAATTACTGGGCATATCTTGCTCAAATTACAACTGATCAATACATAAATTACTTAGCAATCCAGCCATGCCCTTTGTTTGGCCCTAAACAGTGATAATGTGTACGAAATTATGCAATTTATGACAAATGGTACCGGAAAAAAATTCACTTTTGTATACGTGCAAGGTGAGTGTGAACCACAACTTGCACGTATATAAAAGTGTTTTCGGTATCATTTGTCATAAATTGCATAAACTCGTACACATTTTCACTGTTTTTGGCCAAATAAAGAGTATGGCTGGATTGCTAAGGAATTTCTGTACTGATTAGTCGTTAGTTGAGCGAGAGGTGCTTAGTAGATTTTGAGTTAGACAAAAAGAATTGGAAGGGGGGACTTTCTTTTTTTATTTGAGTGTAGTTAAAGGCTCCATGAAATAAATTTTTCAGAGGAACATCTTTTGTGGAACTTTCTACTCCTCTTAAATGTATGAAAACTATTTGACATCCCTATTTGGTTTATTTTGTGGAAAAGTGCTCTTCTTTAAACATTTTTAAAAATTGTCCATACTTTTTCGGACAAATGATGGCGCTGTTGCTGTGATGTCATTTCAGGAAGACACTGTTCAGTTTAGGGGTTTTCTGTTCAAATTGTGAACCCAAACATTTGCTCATTGAAAACATCTGTGAGAAAAGTTGGCGAAAATGTGTATGTTGCTCCAAAATGAGGAGTACGTGTTCATTGGCTTTGCATTTTTTTCTGAGAAAATGATGATTGAAACTGTGAAAATACATATATATACATGTACATTTGTGTGTTGAAACAGAGAGAGCGAGGCAGATAGAAGAGAAGAAACAAGCAGAGGAGCAAGCTCGGCTGAAGAGACTGGCCAAGATGGAGGCCCAGCGTCTCAACAAGGAGGATGATGTAAAGAAAAAGAAAGCTGTCGAGAAGAAGAAAGAAGAGGAGATGATGCAAGAGAGGGAAGAAGAGCAGCGAAGAAAACTAGAGGAGGGTAAATATGCAATGTGGTAGTCAAGGTCAGCAGCCTATCCAGTTGGGGGAGGAGGGGGCGGGGAAATTCCCCCCCCCCCCCCCCCCATCAGGCGATATTTCACCAATTGTTTTGTTTTTGTAAGAAAATGAACGTGCCAACAATTCAAAACTCATACCATAATACCCCCTCCCTTTTATCTCCATGGCTGTTAAGCCAAGAAAGGGATCTTACGATAGTGTTTTCTTTCTGTTTTTATGAGTTTGTTCTGCATACAAAAGGGGAAGTTGAACAATAGAGGACAATAGGGTCCCCAATTCCCGAAGGTCCTCAATTTAGCGATGTGTACAAAACATATGGGAGGTCTTCCTAAAAAGTTAGAGTACAAACAAAAGAAGGACAATAGGGTGTCCCTGATTGCAAGCAAATACACACTTATGTGTGTGTTCGTGTATTCCATAGACTGTCTAGTGCTATCATATGAGAAGTCAGACTCCAATCTCAACCAAACTTGGTGACAATCTTTGGGTATGGAGACTTCAGCTGACCTAAGACATTTGAGGTCAAAGGTCATCTGTCTAGGGGTCAAATGAGATCATTGTTGTTTTTGGTTAGGTAAACTGAAAAGTGCTATCATATGAAAAGTCAGAATTCAATCTCAACCAAATTTGGTGACAATAATCTTTGGGTTGGGGGACTTCAGATGACTTGAGAAATTTGAGGTCAAAGGTCATCTAAAGGTCAAATGAGGTCATTGTTTTTTGGTTAGTTAAACTGAACTGAAAAGTGCTGTCATGAAAAGTCAGACTTCACTCTCAACCAAATTTGGTGACAATAATCTTTGGGTAGGGGGACTGCAGATGACTTGAGAAATTGGAGGTCAAAGGTCATCTAGGGGTCAAATGAGGTCATTGGTGTTTTGGGGTAAGTTAAACTGAAAAGTGCTGTCCTATGAAAAGTCAGACTTCACTCTCAACCAAACTTGATGACAATAGTCTTTGGGTAGGGGGACTTCAAGTGACTGGAGTCATTTGAGGTCAAAGGTCATCTAGGGGTCAAATGAGGTCATTGTTGTTTTTTGTTAAGTTAAACTCAAAAGTGCTGTCATATGAATAGTCAGACTTCACTCTCAACCAAACTTGGTGACAATAATCTTTGGTTAGGGGCACTTACGATGACATTTGAGGTCAAAGGTAAATACCGCCAGCATGCCAGGGGATCGGGGAAGTTAAACTAGTAGTATTTTTTACCATTATTGGAATGAAAAGAACTTTTGAGAACAATTACTGTGTTTACCCCTTCCCCTCCTCTCGACCCACAACCTTGATTCGCTACTGGTCAAGTTACTTGTTTAAACCACGGATGAACAATTACGAAAAGGAATGCCATTGAATAGCTTTTGAGTTGACTTAGGCCTGGATGACTGGTGATGATGATTTGGATACGACAATAAAAAGGTAACGGTAAAGGTGACAAACCTGTGTTCACAGGAACGGAGTACCCATCTCTCGTTCATCTTTCTCAGACTCATATGCTGCTGTGGGGGATCGCCACACCTCCTCCACAGCGAGTCTGTTACCTTCCCAGCATTGAATAATGCCGACCATTTAACACCTGGGTTGAGAGGAGTAATTGAGGTAAAGCGCCTTACTCAAGGGCATAACACGGATGGCCACGGTGGGGCTCGAACCCACAACTTCACGATCATGAATTTACCTTGAATCACGGTAGAATCGTGTTAGAATTGCGTCAACGCAGCTGGTGAAATATTGTCCAATTTACATGATACACAAATGGACGTGGAACGCGCAAAATCTGAGACAAACAAAACTTAGCGTACAAAAGTTCCAAAGGGTTGTCTAAGGGGCGTGGCTAACTCGCAAATGGCGATAGATCAATCTTGTGCTCTACCGCTAGACCACACAGTACTACTCTAACGATGCCCTAACTTAGGATACAACACTGCTTCTTTGTTATTATACTGTTATTGAATTCTGCAGCCCGTGGGAAGAAGGAGGCCGAGGAAAGAGACAGGGAAGACGAAGACAAACGAAGGAGGATGAAGCTGGACGAAGAGAAGGAACGTGAGCGACAGAGGGAGCTGGAGATCATCGAGGTCCAGCAGGCCTTGGAGGCTCAGAAGGAAGTGGAGAGAAAGGCCCGGGAGTTGCAGGAGCAAGAGAAGAAAGAACAAGAGAAGGCCAAGAATGCTGAGGAAGAGGCAGAGGTAAGTCTAGTCGTGGCCCAAGAAAGGATTTGGTTTTGTTCCCCATATGCAGAGGGTTTTGTCTCCCGATAAGACTGGTCAAGCCATTTTAGTGGCAGAGCGCTTCTATCATGAGTTATATGGGGAGTCAGGTTGGCGTAGCGGTACTTTCCTCGCCTTCCACCGCTGTGACCCGGGTTCGAATCCCGCCTGGGCCAACATGTGGATTGGGTTTTCAGTCCCTACCTAGTTCAGTGTGTTTTCCCCAGAATATTCTTCTGGGTTTTTCCTCCCACCTCTAAAACTGTAATGTCTTCCCATTGTCTTCTCTCTACAGGTTTCTTCAGGCTTTCAAGCTTACAGTGCCTAGGGCGCTATTTTGGGAATCCTTGGTTTCATTACCAGAAATAATTAATAAATAAATCAATAAATAAATAAATATCTGGTCTTGGTAACATGGGCGCTGTAACCCACAAAATTATTAACATGCTTAACTTATTAGCTTGAGTACAGAACAAGTGGAGTATACTGAAAATTTCTCGGTCCCAACGCCAACATTCACAAGGCCGGATTTGATTCATCTTGTTGACGGTACCCTATACCCCAGACTGGGACCTGGGTGCTCTGAAATGTGCAAAACTAAATCAGGCCAACTTTACTCACTCTTTAGCCAGCAAATTTATCCAAAAATTCCATTGGGCAAAGATATGTTTGCACATGAGAGGGAAGTCAAGTGATTTCAAAATAAGGCTGAAGACTAGACTGGTGCATGTCCAACCATGGTCCAACTATTTGGAAAGACTGACATCTTCATTAGTCTGGTGGCTGACTATGGAGAAATGTGTATAAATAGAGACTAGTTCCCGGTTCATGCCACATGTTTCTTTTGGCACAGTTGATTGATGCAGTACTGAAGTGGCGTTGGACTGGTTGTTTCATGTGCCAGTCTATTTTCTTGTATTGCATGTTTTCAATACCTTAAGTTTTGGGACTCTCATACACAGTATTGAGAGTCCCAAATTTTCGGACTACCTATACCACTGCAGCGGCTCGACCAGAACCAGCTGCAATAGGGGTACCGAATCTGAATCCACTCCAAATCACGCCTAAGGGCCCTCCAATTCATATCTGGGACGAGTTCTGGACATAATGCAGGTAGAATCTGCATTTGTCCCAATCACGTTCTGGGGAAATTTTCATTAGCATCTAATTGACTCACCAATACTGAGGATAACTTCATTGCGGGAAGATTGCAGGTAAGTTGTTTTGAATCCTGCAACTTACACCTGATAAGATGTCCTCAACATGTCTGGAACTCGTCCCGGATTTGAATTGAGACGGGCCCTAACGTAAGTTAGGGTCAGGAGTCACACACTTCTGGGTAGAGCTTGAAATTGAGATACAACCACCCTACAAGACAAAGAACTGTATTAAAGGCATTTCTTTGTTATTGTTCATCCCCGTTAACTTCTGAATTGAGTTGTGATTTGTGTGACAGGACTTGTGATTACTTATGATTCTTATGATTCACCACCCGTACGTCAACTACAGCCCTGAAATGAATCTTGACAATCTTTTGTCTCCTTGATGTAGCTTGCAGCAGCGAAAGAGAAAGAGGCTGAGGAGGAGGCCAGAAAGGCCAAGGAGGCCATCAAGAATGCATCGGATGCGGCTGCCAAGAAAGCTGCTGAAGAGGCCGAGAGAGCAGCCAGGGAGAAACTCAAACGTAAAATCATCTCCACCGACAGATTGGTCCCAGTATCAGAATCGCTGTTAGAATTGTGTGCACTTGGTACTAGTTTTAGTAGGCCTGCCTTGTCTTGTTTATCAATGGCATCACACATACAATCGAATAATTGATACTTAGATTGATTAACCACTTGGCTCTGGGTTTATTTTTACCGAAAAATTTCAAAATTTTCAAAAGGCAAAATTTCCCAGCCAACTTCTGATATACAGCCAAACACCGCAAATACGGATTCGCAAGAGTGATTTCAACAGTGTTTGTACGATATTTCTTGCCGAAACCTCATATGTTTCAAATCTCCGGGGTGTGCACTGAAGCGTAAATTGTACAACAATAGGCCATGCACAACGGCCCACACAACGGTCAGCACATGGTCAGCTTCCCGTGTCTTGATGTCTTGATCTGTCAGCCGTGCCTGGGTACAAAAACAGCCAGTGCGTGTTATCACGGCCTCCGGCGCGAACTGGTTAATTGAGTAACTGAATAATTGTTGCAGCCCTTCTTTGAAATTTCACTTGTTTTTGTTGGTGATTGCAGGTGAGCGTAACGAGCGTATCCGTAAGGACCTGAAGGTAGCTATCAAGCAGAAGGATCGCAAATTGCTCGACAAGTCCGTAGCAGAATTCAAGAAAGCCAAGCTAGCCGACACGGACGGAGATCTGCACAAGGCAGAGAGGATACTCACACAGTTCAAAGCTAAAGATGGTAAAACAAAAAACTTGACGATCCTCCAAAATAAAGTGAATTGTTCACATTCAGAAATTTTGTCCACAAAGTTTTGCATGTAAATTGCCCAAATGGTGCTCTTTATAGTGGTTTAAAGATACATAGGATCATTTGCTTTTTGCTTTTTCCCCCTTTTTTTTTATTTGAAGCAACAAAAATGCTCAAAATCTTAAGTAGGGTGCATAACAAATAACCTGATGAAGTTTCAGCTCAGTGGATACCATACATTTTGAGAAAACAGAGAACGTGTACATTTTTTAGGTCTTGTAACTGGATTCCATTTTCGAATGCTCGATAAAAAGGTGTGCCCGCAGGCATTCTCCTTCGATGTTAGGGTTTTTTTTAACGCTACCATTTCAGGCAGGATAATTTCACAGGGTATTTAATACCAGTCCCATTTTCACTTTGGGAAAAGTTACTGTTGTTATAAAATTGGTATGGTAGATCATTTGTGCCTTTTTTTCGTTTGAAGCAACAACATTGCTCAAAATTAAAAGCTAGGTGCTAACCTGATAAAGTTTTAGCACTCCAATTGCTGTATATTCTAAGAGAACAATATTCTTGGATCTTGAATTCAATTCCAAAAGTTGCGGAGTCTTATTTTGAATGGCGCCCGAAATCAGCATCTGGAACACTTTCTCATTCAGCTGATTGCATACGCGATGTCACACACTGAACCAACGAGTAATAGCATGGTGCATTTGCGTCATGTCAACGCTTTGCGCGCACCCATTCATGGATTTCTCCACTTACAAACCAACTAGGATCGGACATTTCCAAAAAAATGCGTCAGCCTGACTCATCTTTTGAAAAGACCTACTGTTATTGTTTTCTTCAAAATGACAGCATGCCAGAAGGAATAATTTCTCGGGGAGTTTAGTGTCATTACTATCTTTAAACCAAGTAAGCTTTTTGACAATAATTTGGTCAGTTACGTTTTGGATAGCTGTTCTCCTACTTTTCACGTGGGTCTGCTTGAAAGCCTAAAAAGGTTATCCGCAGTAGGCCCATTGTATTAGGAATTTGTTGCAGCATTCAGAGCAATTTCCTCGGAATCTGCAAACAATGAAGTTATCAGCATTGTGTCCAAACAGATAACTTCATGACTGGCAAATTTGCGGGAAATTGTTTAGAATCCTGCAACAAATACCCGAAACAGTGGGCCTATTGCAGAGAAACATTTCCACAACTTATCTGGATAATTTTTTAGATGACTCCTAAGGAAAAATGATTATATATGGAGTAGAAAAATACTCTATGTAATGTCTGTCACAAGACAATATAACTCTTCAGGCCGGCGTATATTTCCGGTTTTAGTAGCATGAAACGACTGAGAATATTTCTATTCCCCCTGGATGGGATGCCAGTCCATCGCAGGCTACTCCCCAGCTAATGCCGGTACCCATTTATACTCCTGGGTGGAGAGTGGCAAGTTGGGGTGAAGTGGCTTGCCCAAGGACACAATATATGGCCAGCAGCGGGATTCGAATCCCTGACCCTCTGATCACGAGTCACAAACCCTAACCTGAAATTTTGTCATGTTTGTTATACAGACCTAGTGAGAGCCATGGAGCACCGTAACCTGGAAGAGTTAGAGCAAGCCATCAACTTCGTCAAGAAGAACTCTCTGGAGGCTCACATGCCCCAGGAGATGGTCCGCGCCAACAAGATGCTGCTCGGCCTCAAACGGCTCAAACGTCTCAAGGACGAAATCCTGAACCTCAAACAGAGCACGGTGGCCGAGATCCGCAGCTACAACAAGCCCCCGCGGGCCGTCCACATGGTCATGATTGGCACTTATTTGTTGCTAGGCAACAAGGAAAGTACCCTGAAGGTATCCAAGATGGTTACTTGGTTCCCACCCATTATGTGGGCGGAGCTATGCTGTTTAGGATGGGGGCTGCAGATCGGGACGCAATAGTTGTCATGTGGACAGTAGTTGCATGTAGTTGCTCATTGATATTACTTCACCAGAAAACATGTAGACCATTTTCTTTTTGACATGAGAACAATTTGCACCCATTTTTTGTTCATTTGTATATGTGGTGTGAGTTGGGTGGCATGGGTGGCTTGTGTGTAAAGCGCTCGCCTCTCACCAAGGTGACCACGGTTTGAATCCTGGCCACGGATCACATGTGAGTAGAGTTGTGCGTTGGTTCTCTTCTGTGCCACGAGGGTTTTTCTCCGGGCCCTCCGGTTTTCCTTCCTCCAAAAAAATCAAACACTTTCGATCTCAGTCTGTGCTCCGTGGTCATATATGGGTCGATGTGGCCGGCAGCCATAGGCGCCTTTACGTACCAGCGGCCCGACCACGTTGTAGCCGCGTCCTTTGCAATTCAGCATACCAGCTGCGAGTAAGGATGATTAGCCTCACAAATTATTATTATATTAATCACTCATCTTAGAACGATTGGCAAATACAAATTTTTCATGAGGCACTTTACAGCGGAAAACGACTTCATCTATCACTTTTCATCTGTTTTTGTACAGATTATTGTGAATCTTGTTTTATTGCCATATTTTGTTATCATAATGTGGCTGGTTTGCAAGTTTAGTCGTTTCGTTTTAAATGTAGAGATATAGTGACAACTACTGTGTCCCGATCCAGCAGCTATACTGCATGTCATACTAACCTACTAACCATAAGCACTTATATCATCTGTAAAACGTGTCTCATTATTGCAGTGTGTTATGCAGAAGGAATGTTGCAGCCTGACGCCACTTTTTTCATCATATATCATCTCAATGAATGTCAGTCATTGCAAAAATGTTGCAAAGACATGAATCTGGGACTGAGAAACATTTCTAATTTTGCTAGGCAATACTCGCCATAGACTTTGCACACAACCGCTGAAGTGGCTTCTTGATACTACATTCTTTCCTGTTGTGTTTTGTGAAGTCGCAGTAGTGTTTTTTTTTCCATCATTTTTGAAGATTAACATCGGTTTTAAGAGTGGTGTTCCAAAATCTTGCCATATCGAAACTATTCCGAAAACTTGTATTGAAGGTAGTATGCAACATCTGCTTTTGCTGTAATTTGCGGAAATGGGTTGATTTGGGGTCAGTATTTTATAGCAAATATTGTTACACTGAACTGTTTAAGGTTTTGGGTTCATGGATGCTGGAAAAACCAAGAAAAATATGCTGGTGTAGTCTGGTTTCCTGACCCTACTTCAGACAAAATAGAGTAATTTATAGAGATGTCGGGAATTAAGCCATTTGCGAGTAAAAATATGCCAAGCATTCTGAGGAAGTCAGTGCACCAGAGGTTTTTCAAATTTAAATTCCAAAGGGTATAGGTCACTCGCAAATGGCTTATTGTCAGGTCAGGGGACCAGACTAGCTGGCTTGCACCCATTCACGGATGTGTAACTAACCTTGGTGAATAGGGGGCAGTATTTGAAAAAGATTCTTTGGAAATTGATGCAAAAATTCCACACCAAGTGCCACGATTTCGCAGGATACTTGGTACTTTTGTTTTTTGATGTTTGAAAATGTTGTATATTACCTTTCATGACATCAAAAGTGCAAATTTTGAAAAAGTTTTGATCGATGTCAAAAGATCGACCGTTGCAGTAATTTGGAACAACGCCAGAGTCTATTCAATGCAAAATTAATGCACTTAGTTTGTCTCTCTGAAAACAAACATCTATTTGGGTGGAATTGAGTTGCTCCAAAGATCTAGAATGTCGTCTGAAATGCATGTAGCTATATTCAAAGCATATCTTCTTGTTGCATGTACACTGAGTTGACAGAAGACATGAAAAGCTCTCATTGATATGAAAAATCATCAAGGATAAGCAAAATGCGCCTTCTTTACGTATTACAAAATTGATATTCATGCAGTATCTTAAACTAGATTACATTTTTGCGATCAACTGGATGCTGAGTTTGATCATTCATCATATAAAAAAAGGATTTGAAAGAAAGAAACAAGTCCTTAAAAGGACTACGTTTTCCTTTTTTTTCCCATCATTTGTTGATACTTATAATCATTCCTTTACAGGTAAGTGCCCTTTTTGTAACCAAAGCGCCAAAAATGGTTCCATCCCCCTTCAGATCTCGGCCATTGAGTGACAAAAATTATGAAACTTGGTGAATGTATAGAACAATATGAACATTTATGCAAGGCTTTTAACAGAAAAAGTTTAAGGGGGGGGGGGGGTTCCGCCCCCTGTCACTTTTAGGGTTAAATTTTTTTCCCCACCAAATTAGAGCGTGGAGCATCAAGGGCGGATCCAGGGAGGGGGCCAACAGGGGCCATGGCCCCCCTCCCCCCAAAAAAACGAACAATTTTTTTTTTTTAAGTGACATCACAATCTTTTCCTCAAAATAATTTAGTTTAAGTCGTCAAAAATTGCCTCAGATTGCACCAGAGAGCATCAAGAATCCAAAAAATGTCATGCGCTGTCAGTTTTTGGACCCATTTTTTTGGAGGACCAAAATTGTTTTTGTCCCCCCCCCCCCCAAAAATGATGTTCTGGGCCGCCATTGTGGAGCATACAGTACATCGTAGCAATATCTCCCAGAACTAGAAATGCACATCATTGAGCCCATAGTTTGTTGCACGTAGTTGCTAGAGATCATGAGCGCACATTCAACCAATATGACATGCAGATATCAATACACTTGATGACAAGCACAGGATTGAGGCAAAGATGGACTATGTTTTACATATGGATGTCCTTTCACGGATGTTTCTTTATTTGTTGGTGCATGTAGATATTCAACATTGCCATTGCAATATACGTGTACATGATACTGGTAATACCTTTCCAAATAACAAAAAATTAAAAATGGACATGTTTAAATTACTACTTGCATTGAACGCTAAACTTAGATTGGGAAAGTTAAAAAACAAACATCAAAGTTAAAGTGCACACGTTTTAGAAAGCCAATCATTGTTTCAACCTAACTGCTTTTGTTGGCAATATCGTTGTATCTGTTGACATTTATGCCATAGCAAATAGTGCCATCTATTGTCCGTTAGTGGTCAGTCTGGTCCACTTTGGACAGTTTCCCATTATTCAGATGTCCATCTCCCCCCCCCCCAAAAAAAATTCTTGCTACCTCAGAGTGCATGGTCTGTCTGCAACTTTGTAATCACATTTTGTAATTCCCGAAACTGGTCTTATCTTGCGACTCATCTTAGGACTTAAGACGAGTCCCCGCTCCAAGATCAATCTTAGCTAAGACGCGTTCTAAGATAGATTTCACTAAACCCAGCAAGACGCGTCAAAACTACCCATTTGATGGCTGTTACGTGTTCGTTTTTACTGCTTGACAAATTGCGCAACAGTCGTTGAAAAGAAACTTGCAAAACCAATTTCCTGTGTTAGTGTGCCAATTAAACATGAAATTTACCCAGAAAAATTACTCTACTCAATAAATTTCACACGTGAGGTAGTTCTACACAAGATGCGATAGAGTCATTCTTGCTCCTCGTTTCAATCACTTTCATTACTCTATTTCAAAAAGTCGACTAGTTGTTGGCGTATTATTATTTTTTTTTAAATAAGTTATTTTTATTTAACCTACCCACATATCAGATATCTTTTCAAATCTGTTTCTTCAACGGTTTTCTTACTCCAACCTATAACTCTACGACAACATTCATCTTTAACGAGAAGATATTGCAATGATTTCCAGATGATTATTACAAATAAACACACGCATTAATGAGAGAAGACGACCCTCGGACCGATCTTAAGTTAAGAAGAGTTCAGCATCGTTGCTAAGGAAGTTACGACGTGTTGTTCAAACGCATCTTAAGTTTAGTGAAATCAATCCTATGAAGAGTCGCGAGTTAAGACAAGTAACCCTTCCTAAGACGCGTCTTAAAAGTTTTGTGAAATCGGCCCCAGGCGACACCCATGATTACAGATGACGTATGTAGAACATAGTCCATTTTGCAGGGGGACTTGTAATGTCCTGTGAATTTCACACTCTTGATCCTGTGCTATGTCATCTCTTTGTTACCTAGTCTGAAGTAAGTTCCAATCCTAACAAATGTCCTCTCAATCAGATCTGTACATGTACAGCTTGTCAGGTTTGTATCAAAGTTCACTTTTGAAGGTGAGTTGGTTTTTATGTTATTTGAAATAGAGACTCCAACAAGCCATGTACCAAAAGTCAATTGAACCCCTAAATGTATATTAATTATTCTTATAAATCGTACATAGTAGTTGACTATGGTATTTTGTGAGATTTTTATAGACTTGTGAGGACTTGTGAGGACTTGTGAGGACTTGTGAGGACTTGTGATGGACATGCGACGACTTGTGACTGACTGTGAAGACTTTTGATGTACAATGTACATGGGAGGACTTCTGAGGACTTCTGAAGACTTGTGAGGACTTGCGAGGACTTGTGATGAACATGCGACGACTTGTGACTGACTGTGAAGACTTTTGATGTACAATGTACATGCGAGGACTTCTGAGGACTTCTGAAGACTTGTGAGGACTTGTGATGGACATGTGATGACTTGTGACTGACTGTGAAGACTTTTGATGTACAATGTACATGCGAGGACTTCTGAAGACTTGTGAGGACTTGTGATGGACATGCGACGACTTGTGACTGACTTTGAAGACTTTTGATGTACATTGTACATGCGAGGTCTTCTCAGGACTTCTGAAGACTTCTGAAGACTTCTGAAGACTTGTGAGGACTTGCTATGGACTTTTGATGACTTGTGGTGGACTTGTGATGGACTTGTGATGGACTTGTGATGGACTTGTGATGGACTTAGGACTCGTGATGGACGTGTGATGGACTTGACAACAACACTGCAATTTAGTGTGGCAGTTTGTTGTAATATAGCATTAGTGATTTAGGAATTGAACAAGTGCGTATTCACTATGATCTTTCTCAGCGTCATTACAAATCAGCTCGCTCGATTGTTTGTGACTAACATAATGTTTATTTGCTATTAAACAAAACGTTTGTGACTAACTGAATTTTATTACTAACAGACCGTCATCAGCGGAGAACTCTGAATTTCTCACAAAACTCACTGGTGCAAATAAATAATTGGGTTGGTTGTGCATTCTAATTTTGCTGGACACTTCAGTTTCATCGCTCAAATTTAGAAGAATTGCCGAGGTTACCAAGATTGCTTTTGCCAATATAAGTTAGAGTTCAGTGGAGCTCCTAGTGGTTGCTTTTGGTTTCACCTCGAAAAGTATAGAATTTTTTTATAAATTGAAACCACTTTTCTTTTTTTTCCAACAGTACTTCAGGCATTAATTGTTGTGCCAAAGAGGCACACAACAACCCAAAAACAAACAGATTTTTTTTCATAAAGGTTGCAGATGTCAAGAATAGGGGAAAAGGGAAGTTCTTTCATTGAAATATACCATATAAAGTTTTTTTTTAGGAGGAAAAATGTGTTAATGAGCATGGGGAGGGCAACTTTACCTCACTAAAAATAACAACCACAAGACACAAAAATAACAGTATTTTATAGGGAAACTGAAGAATGTCTTACTTTTCACTTGGTTGGTTTTTAAAAAATACACCAAATTTCTGATGGTGGGACTTACCTTTACTTGGTACTTGGTTGGATCTTCTCCTAAATACTCTGAAGGGGGGTTTCAACAGGAGGCCAGAAACACCGGGCCAACCTCTTCTCTTAGCGATAAGTGTTACTGGGTTCTGTTACGTACATTACAGGGTTCTGTTACGTGCATTACACAACACACGGGACCTACGGCTTTATGTCCCATCAGAAAGACGAAGCAATAATGGTCAAGTGCCTTGCCAAGTGTCCAGACACGGGTTCGAACCCTCAATTTGCTGCCTCTGAAACAACAGAGCATGAGTCTGGTGTGATGCTCTTAACCGCTAGGCCATCGATACCTGTTCAATTTTCTCAGAGTTCTCTGCCTTCTTTGTTTGCCTAGGATTGGAAAGGCATGCAAGCATTGGTCGGTAAGACGGGCAAGGAAGGATTGAAGCGTCGTGTCCTCCAGTGCGATCCCACCAAGGTGCCCGTTGCTACAGCGGAGCGGGCCAAGCATCTGTTGAAAGAGTTTGATCTAGAGCAAGTCCGAGATGTCAGTGCTGGTGCAGCGGTCTTCTATGCTTGGGTAAGAAAAAAAAATGAATACATGTACTTTGCCTTGAGTTTGAGTATGAGTTCTTTACTTTGAGTACAAGAATGAGTACTTTGCTATGAATTCAAGTATGAGTGCTTTGCCTTGAGTATGAGTACTTTGCCTTGAGTTGGAGTATTAATTCTTTGCCTTGAGTTGGAGTGTGAGGACTTTGCCTTGAGTTGGAGTATTAATTCTTTGCCTTGAGTTGGAGTGTGAGGACTTTGCCTTGAGTTGGAGTATGAGTACTTTGCCTTGAGTACAAGTATGAGTACTTTGCCTTGAGTTGGAGTATGAGTACTTTGCCTTGAGTTTGAGTATGAGTACTTTGCCTTGAGTTGGAGTATTAATTCTTTGCCTTGAGTTGGAGTATGAGTACTTTGCCTTGAGTTGGAGTATGAGTACTTTGCCTTGAGTTGGAGTATGAGTACTTTGCCTTGAGTACAAGTATGAGTACTTTGCCATGAGTACAAGTATGAGTACTTTGCCTTGAGTACAAGTATGAGTACTTTGCCTTGAGTTCGAGTATGAGTACTTGGCCTTGAGTTCGAGTATGAGTATTTTGCCTTGAGTTGGAGTATGAGTACTTTGCCTTGAGTTGGAGTATGAGTACTTTGCCTTGAGTTGGAGTATGAGTACTTTGCCTTGAGTTCGAGTACAAGTCTATTTTTCAGTGAGTACGAGTGCATACTTAATACCCCCGTACTTAACACCCCCCCCCCCAAGTCTAGCTTTTTTGTGTGGTGACAAAGCACATCTCAAATTACCGTTTGGAGAAGGTTGAGAAACAGTATTGTTCATAATTTATAGCTTAAATAAGAACCTGTGTTTGTGTTCTTTTTGAAGACCTCAGCCACCATAGAAGAAGTTGAAGACATCGTCAGGCAGAAGGAAGAAGGCCTGGAGCCAACGACTCACCACGGCGGACCTAAGACACTCAAGCATGAACTGCAATCAGGAACCCTTACCATTACCATATAAACATATAGGGATTGCCCTCTAGGGAGTCAGGTTGACACAGTGTTGCCTTCCAATTCTGTGACTTTGGTTTGAATCCCGCCTTAGTCGCGACTTTTATTTTTCCAAAAACAAAAAATAAGTTTAGCAGCTTTTTATGCCCTGCCGGCGAAGCCGAAGGGGCATACTGTTTCTGCCTTGTCCATCCGTACATGTGTGCGGGTGTGTACGTGTTCTACATAACCCCTGAGGACCGACACACAAAGGGAGAACAACAGATCCTTTCAGTCCTCGGGCGTTGGGTCTTTTGTTGGAAATGGTCCTCTGTAGTAAGTTTGTGTGCTTAGTCTATGGGTGAGTGTTAATTACAGGGACAAAGGGAAACACAAAGCATTGTCCTCGAGAGTATAGTAAAACAAGAGTGTGTGCATGCATTTGTTTGAGGTGTAAATCGATGACACACACGTGCAACACAGGAACCAAGTCAAGGACAACCTCGATTAGAAGACGTGTACAAAACCAATGAGAGCTGTTGCAAAAAAGTTGCAAAACTAGGAAAAGGGAAGAGGAACAATAGGAAATCCTTGATTTACACCACAAACAAACCTGCATTGCATTGGAGAAAACTGGCTTTTTTTTTCAAAAACTGCTTCTAATTTTTCATAATTAGTTATTCCGAGTTTTCTTTGCAATTGATTACACACCTGTGAAGGGGTACAAGTCTGCTAGACTGACTCTCTGACCTTACAATTCCCCAAAGTCTATAAATGCTCCGTTTCATCTTAAATGGGGTCAGGGAATCAGACTACAAGAACATGAATGGTTTTCTTGGGTTTTCCAGCATCTACAAGCCCAAAACGTGAAACGTGGCATTTTAACAATATTTTCTTTAACGTACTAATCCTCCAAATCCATTTATTTCTGAAAATTGCAGCAAAAGCAAATGTTGTACATTCCCTTTAAAGACAAAGAAAAAATATCATGACATAATTTAAGTATACAATTGTTCTCGTGTACATTTGATCCGATTTGTTTGTTAATGATTATAGATATGTGGGAAAGAATACAGTGAAATCTCAATAAGCCAAAACTCGAAAACCCTTCTAACTCGCAGTAAGAACTTATTCCCGTCTATTGTTGTTGAAAAGAAAATCAATTTGCTAACTCAAAACTTGCTTAACTCAAATTTTGTGCCCATTCCCCTGAGGTTTGACTTATAGAGATTTTATTTCACTGTACTCTAAGATCCAGTTTGTGGAGAGTCAAGTGCATTTTCTAAGTAAAAAATGGAAATGTTTCTTGGTCCCAGATTCATGTCTTTTCAACATTGTTGTAATGACTGACCTTCACTGAGAAGTCTGAGATAATATATGATGAAAAAGTGTCGTCGGGATGCAACTTTCCTTCCATTCGTGAGTAGTGAAATCAGCAAAATCTGATTTTAAAAGTGAATTAGAACATCTTGAATGATTCGAAAGGCTATGTGACATCCCAAATGTAAAAAAAACCTGTGATTTATGTTCGTCTTAATGTAAGTTGATTTGTTTTGTAAAGTTTGTAATTCTTTTAATTTCTGAATTACTTTTTCCGAAGTGAATAATGAAGAAGCAATCAATATTTTTATACATGTATATTGACTTTTTATCAATCAAGAAATAGACTTTGTATATATTGGATCTGTGTGTACTTAAAAGTAGGTTATTTTCAAACAAAAAATCATTTCATTTTGTATTTTAAAGTACATGTAGGCTAGGCCTGCAAAATAAAAAACGAATCCGTCCAAATCATTTGAAATGCTTTGTGCCTTAATAACACTTGGTATAGTGATTGAGGTGTCGGTTTTGGTTCATGATGATGTTGCAAAATCAGTATTGGAATTTAGACTAAATTAGTTGGACAATTGTTTAGCAAAATTTTACAGAAAAATCATTAACATCTCAATTAGTGAAAGTGTTATGTGCCAACAAGTTCATCTTCTACTTTTTGAAATTCCTACTTTTTCCTAAGTTTTCCTATTGTCATATGCACATCCCACAATGAAGGGCTTGGGCACAGGAGTACTGCTACTGTACTTCCAAGAGCTTAGATGAGGATGGAGCACAAGTGTTGTGAGTACAGAACATGCCAAATGAGGCTTCGCATGTGACGCATTTTAGTGGGCTTGGACTACCTTTTGGGTGTGTTTTGAAAATGCCAATCGCGCTATATTCAATTGATTTAAATATAGCTCTATGGAAATGCCATTCATTTGCCACAAGTTTCTATGGAGAAAACTTTCAACCAAACGCCAAGCAGCTCATAAAGGCACACTTGTACAAAAACAAATCAGGCACTTGGAACGAACGAGTAGCAGCACATTAATAATAGTCGTAGAATTTTGCGTTTTTTTGCGAGAATGTTTTTCGAAAATTAGTCAACCGACGAAGAATTCATGTTACAATGACTCCAAAGTTATGCCGGCTCTGTCTTCACCGACATGGGCGTTGCGAGGGAGGGGGGGGGGGGGGGGAACAAACAAACTCCTAACACCCCCAAAACAAGCAAAAAGATGTGTGAAGTCATATTTGCTATTAATTTAATACATTTAACAAAATGGGCGTCTGCAGGGGTGTCGGCGATGGGTGTGGGTGGGCAAAATGTCCACCTGCCCAGAATCGGGGGGAAAAAAAATTGAGAAATATGCTGGAGAAAGTACACGTTTTTTTTGGGGGGGGGGGGGGGAGGGGGAATATACGCTTCGTCCCCCTCCCCCGAAAAAAATCCTGGTAAAGCCAATATTGACCAATTAGATTTTCTCATAGAAAAAAAAAACCAAGTCGTCTTACTCCTTTGAAATTTTCTTTTAAGGGAAACAAAATAAAAATGTGGCTGTACTCGCACTGAAAACACTCTTTGGAACTGAATTTTGACCGGGAGTGATTTCCTGGAATATTTTACTACATTTTGCGGCTGATAACCCAACCACAAAATGCCTCTGAATGTACTTTTTGGAAAGAATGTAGTATCCATATGCCACAAAGTCTCAGTCGAGTGTATTTTCAAAGTAAAAAATTGAAAATTGTTTCTCAGTCTCAAAAATTAATGCCTTTTAAAACATTTTTTGCAAATCAAACCTTCATTGAGATAATATTTGATGAAAAAAGTGGCGTCAGGATTCAACAATTCTTTCTTTCTTTTTATGTTGAATAACTTTTTCTTATTTGAAGTCAACAAATAACGTCTTCCACTTTACTTCGTGTGGACCGTACTTCGCTGAGGTCCACGAACACGTTTATACATGTGCCGAAACCAAGTGAGGGCGCCCTCCTAACTGTATGGTCCGGTTAATTTTTTGTTGATCGACCTGCTGCAGACCAAACGTGAAGTTGTGATGCAGATTTCAAGTTCGTAGAGTACTGCAGAAGAGGTATTTAGGAGTTTTATCTTCCTGAAAAGCACAACAGAGATGTGGGAATCAATAAAGAACTTTTTGAGACGGCACAAGCGGAAATTTGTCGTAACAGGCGTCGTGGTTGGAGGTAAGTTTAGCAGCCGCAACCCTGTGTGCACTGTCAATGACTGTATTATATCCTCGATCCTCTCGTGCATGTCGTGTGACACTGTGACCATTTATAATTCGAAGTGGCTATCGTTACGGCAGCCGTTGTTTAGCGCCCTCTACGATACTTTTTTGATACGCACGCAGGTATATAATTATTTGTTTCCCCACATTTTAGCGAGCAGTGCGACAGCTCAGTCGATAGAGGGTAGGATTTTGCACCGCGAGGTTGCGGGTTCGCATCTCAGTTCTGCACTCGAATTTTTTTCCTTTTCTAACCTGAGGCTTTGGAGGATTTTTTTTAAAAGGGAAATAAAGTCCGAATTTCATAACGTTCAAATTCACTTTTTTCCTTCTAATTTTATAATTTTCTTCTCATTTTTTTATAAAAGTTGCAGTCTACCGTAACGATAGAAAATGGGAAATGCGTTACGGCTGCCGTAACAATAGCCACTGCGTTTATAATTCGCGCACTTAGACTACTTTGACCATTTTGTTTTTGTTTTACTGCCCCTTGAAGAACTACTAGAACTTGCTCAGGAAAGGACAGCTTTCAGCCGTTTAGTCGCCACGGTCACCTGATGGCCTTGCGGACATTTGTTGTTGTTGTGTTGCCATGATCAGTACTCCTAGAACTATGAGGCTCCACGTAGTGGAGCCTCATAGGCAGCTTACCCCGCAAAACTGTTTGCCTCTACAAAACACCAACTAAGTACAAAAACGTCATGGATCACAACCAAGCTATTTCCCACAGAACCGCTGCACAGTTTGCCCCTAAACTCCGTACAATACCTCATGACATACTCAAGTTATGTGCAACAAACAAACATCGGTGGGTTCTGTCGGTTTTTCGGCAAATATGATGAAAAATATGCCATTTCCGCACTGAGCCAACCTGACACTTGAAACGTGGACACGCGCAGAATGATCGCAGTCATTTTTGGTTTGATCGCTCGGAGTGCGCCGCGGGGGGTACGGTAGGAGCGGAACGATAATATGCGCATGCGTACAAGTGTACGTACCCCCCACGGCGCGCTCTGGGTACATGATCAGATGATGGTAGTCTGAGTAACTAGGACTCTACGAACATGACGAATCGCCTTTTTTAACATTTGGAGATGGGCGATAGTATCGCCATCTCCAAATGTAAAAAAAAAAGGTGATTCGTAGAGTCCTAGTTACTCGGACTACCATGATGGTAGCTGGAGTTACCCAGCCCTAAATTTTATCCTTGGTGATCAAATTTAGGGCTGGGTAACTCCAGCTACATGATGGAGGAAATAAAAAATCTGGGTACATGTAGGAAAGAATTCCATACCTGGACATCACTTGACACCCTGTGCACAAACCCCATGAGACTTGTCTGAAAAATTAGGAAAGAATTCTATATATAGTCGGAGTAATGTTCGCGAGGGAAGCTCGTGGAATTTAACGGGAAATTTCACTTTTCATCCGGATCATAAGTAAACTTCATACAACCATCTTAATCATGGATGTCTACTTACTTGTACCTCAGGTGGTGTGTCTAGTAATTTGAAGGACAAAATTGTGTTGCTCGGCATATATAGTATACGGATTAGCTTGGACCCTATCGCCAGACCATGTCCGGATGTTAAAAAGGCGATAAGTTGGGTCCAAGTTACTCGGACTAGCCATCACTTATTTTTCCCATAGATGACCTATCAGCCATAAAAAGTCAAAATAAGCAGTGACAAATTTCGAATGTTTACTGAGAAAACACTTAGAAATTTTCAGAACAGTCCCATAGGGTTTGTGCACAGGGTGAAAAGTGATGGCCAGATATCATATGGGAATCTTTCCCCACGGTCACCTGATGGCCTTGCCGACATTTGTTGTTGTTGTTGTTGCCATGGTGGAGGAAATAAAAAACTGGAAAGAATTCCGTACCTGGACATCCGCTTGACACCCTGTGCACAAACCCCATGAGACTGGTCTGAAAAATTAGGAAAGAATTCCATATACGACTGTATACGGACGTCACTTGACACCCTGTGTACATTTGTACAAACCCTCTGTGAGACTGGTCTGAAAAATTCTCAGTGTTTTCTCAGTAAGTGCTTCAATATTTTCCCTGCTAAATTTGACTTTTTAAGGACATTTAAATTGTTATCTTTTTCTAATGGTTAATAGGTCATTGCAAGGAAAAATAAGTAATGGCCATAGGGACTATATGGCATTACAAAAAAACTAAACCTACTACTAGGTTTTCGACTATAAATTATAACAAAAAGAATGTTGCATCCTGACGCCACGTTTTTGATCATGTTATCTCAATGAAGGTCAGTCATTGCAAAAATGTTGAGAAGACATGAATCTGGGACTGAGAAACATTTCCAGTTTTGTTAGAAAATAGCCTACTTGTTGAAAATTGCACTCAACTCTCCATAGACTTTGAACACAACCAAAGAAGTGGAATCAGGATATACTACATTCTTTGAAAGAAAGAAAGTTACCCCGGATAGATCTACGTAGGGTAGACGTCCTGAATTTCGGCACGTCCCGAAATTCAGCACCCCTATATAAATAGTGAACTGGCCCGCCAACGCGGTCATGTGACCGCCCATTTTGCTATCGGCCCTTGGGTTTTCAACCAAAAATAATGGAAACTTGAGACGCATTCTTGCCAAAAAAATTGGATTAAAAATCTCTCCGTAAAAGGCGAACTATTTTTTCAAGTTTTAGGATACCTTGTAAGATGGGGTTTAAGATGAAAATGATGGTTGCAACCATTTTTTTATGTCAAAGTGGTCAAAATGGAAGTTTTTTTTGACGTAACTCGTGTACAACTCACAAAATCAATATGAGCTTGATAACTATTTTAAATTTTGTTGGGGACATAACTAATATAGGGCAAAAATACAACTTTTACGGGCGTAAAAATATAAACCTACAGAACTAAACGTGTGCGTAATGCAACTTTTTCCCCACGCGCTGAAACATGGTGCCGCCCATTGCAGAAGCACGTGACTGCACGCATTGCCAAACTTAGGCACAGGGTGCTGAATTTCCGGACAACATAAATGTCTTACAAAGTCACGTGACATTACCGAAGCAGGTTCGGGATCGATTTAGTTTTGGTATCGCAACATGTGCTATGCCCACGTGCTGTGTGTCGACGGGAGTACCTGGTAAATCGATACTGCATATGTCGAAAAATAATAATCGACTCTTATGGTGCCGAAATTCGGGACGTCTACCCTATTCATGACTTGATGACATTCCCTAAGGCTGCTTACATTATTCACAACAACCGGTAATATGTTCAAACGAGCTTACCAATAACAAGTCTGCCGAGCACATTGACCAGACTCCGGAGGGCACTCCTGATGTCACCTTCGTGTGCCAGATTGATCGAAGAAAAACAAGTCACGCTTTATCAAGGACTATTTTGTGTAATGATATGTGCTCCATGCCGTTGGACTGTATGGGCTTTGAATACACCCAAGGAGGAGACAGCTGGAAACGTAGACGTTCTAAACAAATAACGGAAGGTAACCACGTTCAAACAGTGTGTTATGTCCAGTCGTAGCCAGGTGATTCAGACGTGCCATTCACACTCTGAGATTGCGATCACATGACCTTTAGATGCCATGTGTGCAAGAGCTAGCCAATCATTTCATGAAATAGTTGTGATCTAATGGTTGCGGTGAAGGGCGCCCTCAGTACCACTACTAGTGGGAGTTACCAATATGAAAAAGGGACCGATGTGCCTTCGACTTATTTCACAAATTATCTTTAATCTCATTTTATTTTATTTGGAAGCACCGCACTGCTTGATTACATTCTGGGTAGTTGAGTTTATACGTTTTTAAAACTGCTCACTATTTAGGCCAATCATATACAATGCAAACTACTTACTTTGTTTGATATTTTCAATAATAATTGTAATAATAATAATACAAATGTAATTTATTAAGCGCACATTTTATATTCAAATGTGTTACAACAATAAAACTGGGCATATAAACTAGAGTTGATTAAAACATGGATCCTCTACACAAGGATAAACGACTCATCTGAGCTTGGGTACCAAGTGTACGAAACGGTTGTCTAGAGGCTTGATAACAGCCTGTAAGTATAAAACATACAATGTGCGTGCGTGCACGAGACTCGGCGCGAGCGCCCTACATGAAACCTAATCACAGGGGACTTGACAGAAATTCAACTGCAGTCGCGTGCCGACTCTAGTCTCGCACACGCGCATTGTATGTTTTACAATTTTGGAAGTCATTTATCCTCGTGTACAGGATCCGTGATTAAAATGCATTAAAATCACCAGATACCTTAAAATTACGAACAGGATTAGAAATACATCAAAAGACATCATTTAAAAATTAGTGTTACATATCGGCTAAATTCATTAAAAATACAAGTATAATCAAATCCATTTGTACAATTCAAAAGCATTTTGACAAAGATGAGTTTTCAGCCGCGTCTTAAAACAGTTTAAGCTGGTGGTATTTCTGACAAGAACCAGTAACTTGTTCCACAGAGAAGGGGCAGATCATATATTGAAAGGCCTGATCACTTAAGGAAGCCTGCTACGAGTGGTTGGAAGTTTCAGGAGAATGCAGTTGTTCAGATTAAAACTACAAAGACTATGAGACATGATGATGCATGTATATTTTCATGTACATGTATATGGCCTACGGACACTTGACTACAAACATATATGTGGGAATGTTCAGCCTTTGTGAAAAGGCCAAACGTTTAAACGGTTCTTAAAATATTTGCTAAACATTTACAAAATTAAACGCAAAATCACATCTTTAAGCTAATAGAATTAGTTATGCTTACATCAGCGGTAATAACATCGGTCACTCATGTATGATACAATTACTATTTTCTTACTTAAAGTTAAACCGAAAGTATTGATAAAATAAGGCTATGGTATATTTAAGTGCTATACTTTTTTTTATCGAGTACTGCTATTCGAGTACTTCGATGATCGAGTACAAT